TTGCTTTAGGGTAATAGGACCCCCGAGAGCCTGAGTGCAGGACTCCACAGACAACACGGGAAGTGTACCATTATGCATCTCCGTGCAAGGGCAGATGGCCACTTGCCCAGATAGCCAGTCAGGGAGCTCTGACTCCCCCCACTCCCCCCAGGTCCCCGGGCCCACACAGCTTCCTAGGCTTCCCAGAGAAACCTGTCACCAGCACCTCACCTGGTCCCTTGGACCAGGAGGATGTGAAAGACTGTGATGTTAGGGTGGTGGCTGCCTCCTACTTACCCCAATCTGGGGAGGGGACGGGCTCTTCGCATTTTCCTCTCCCAGCCTTGATACAAGGGGCCTGGGAAGAGAGAAGCCCTCTGACTGGGGCCCTCATCTGCTTCTAAAGAGCTCATCACCACTGGAAGCCGGAATCAGACCCTCAGGTACAGCCACACCTGCATGCTCCTCCCCTCCACCCCTCACACTTGTAGACACAGATGAATATGGCTCCTCCTGCACAGAATTTCACACAGAATCACACAGGTAAGTCCTCTGCCATCACACACACACGCATGTGTGCACACACCCCGCTTACCCACATATCTTCCTTGGTCATCACTCACTGAGGGGCTCATTCAGATCCCAGTGCAGATAGGTGCTGCAGAATCATCCACTCATACAACCACAGCAACCACTTATGCACACACAGGCACATGTACATACCCCCTCTCCTTATTTTACTGGGACATACGGTGGTCACACATACTCGCATGCTGGCACAAGACCCTCCCTCATTCCAGAGGATCCCTTTGCTCATGTGTTTCTATCACACTCTCTACTCCCACACTGTGGTCCTTGTAGTGTGCACCTGCTATGTACATTCCAGGCATGTGGCTGAAGACAGTTACAATACGGCACTTCAAGGGATTCACTTGCATGGTGAAGGGAGACTGGGACTAATTTTTTTAAAGATTTGTTTATTTTAGAGAGACAGACAAAGAGAGAGTATGAGGGGGAGGAGGGGAAGAGGGAAAGGGAGAGAGAGTCCCAAGCGGACTGTGAGGGACCATCTAGGGACTGGATCTCATGGCCTGGAGATCACGACCTGAGCTGAAACCAAGAATCAGATGTTCAACCGACTGTGCCACCCAGGCACCCCGGGAGACCGGGACTAATTTAACAGATGGTTGCAAAGCAGCGCATGAAGTGCTGAAGAGGAGTAAGCATAGAGGACTGGGGAGACCAACTCATTCTTGGGGGTCCAAAGAGCCTTCCCTCATGAAGTGACAACTTTCCCATCCTCAAATAACCCACTGCTAGAGGCTAAGTGTTGTACATACATTGTCTTATCTATTCTTCACAACCACCCCTAGAGGTAGGTATGCATATCCCCATTTTACAGGAGAGAAAACTAAGGCTTTAAAAAGTGAGCAGCAAAGTCATGCAGCTAATAAAGTAGTGCAATACAGATTCCAACTCAGAGCTGCCTGAATCAGAGCCCACGTGCTCATGGCCACCATTAAACCACCTCCGACATAGATTGGAACTTTCACACTCATGAGGCCCTCACCTGCTCCCTGGTGCCTCTCAGCATCCCTCCTAATGCTACTCAGACTCTCTAATTCCCATCCCTAGGTCAGGTACACACGCAGGCCCACCCTCTGGCCTCTGCTCTCGGGCACCCTCCTTCCCAGAAGACAGGGCCACTTGTCACAGAGGAGCCATAATTGGCAGGTGCTGAGGCTGCCGCCAGAGCTTTAGAACTTTTAGAACGAGCAGAAGGGAGGGAGGAGAAGGGTTCCTGAGGCAGGGGGCTTGGGAGCTGGGACGGGGGAAGAGGGAGGGGCTGGCTCCAGTGCCCTCTCCTCTGCTCTGCAGGTGTAATTAGCCCTGGCAGATGAAAGGGCGTCTTTGAAAGCGGGTGAGATCCTTGTCTGTCAGCAGGGCGCTCTGGGTGGCATCGGCAGCTTATCCTGAAACCACACACGGCACCAGAGCCGGGCTGTCTGGGTGCTGCCCGGGAGGCGGAGAGGCGGACACCAGAGGTGTGGGCCCTGGACTCCCCACTCCCCAATATCTCAGCCCTGAGCACCCTGTCTCTTGGGGCAGGAGCCTCTCAGAACAGAGAATCCTTCAGAGTCTGATGATGCCAATCCTGTCGGCTGCTGCCCCATCTCTGGGGCCCGAGGGGATGGGTACTCCCTCCCCTCCCCCACCAAGCTGGACAGGAGGCCAAGGACAATGGCTCTAGGCAGTCCTTTCATCCTGAGATCTCAAAGCGCCATCTAATTAACCCCGCCCAGGTCGGGGACTTCCTCTGGAGTCCCTTTGGAGGGGTGTGGCTCTGGGACTGGCAGTTCCCAGATCCCAGCTTGGATAGGAGCCCCAAGAGGACAAGGTCTTCCAGAATGCTCATCCTATTTGGGACCTGGAAAACTAGAGGACCGGCAAAATGGGGGTGCTGATACCAAATTCTGAAAGAGGGGTGACAGAGGATTTCAAGGGAGCCTAAGTTTGAGACCCAAAGGGGATAGTCTCTGCTACATCCCATTTTTCCCCTCCTAGATGGGTTCAAACTCAAGCAAAGGGTGAACCCTACAACCATGCGGGGTGAAAGAGGCCAGACACAAGACTATGCAGTACATGTCTCCACTTAGATGAAGGTCAAAAATAGGCAAAAAACAAACAAACCAACAAAACCAAAAAAACCTAATCTATGTTCTTTGAAGACAGAGATTCCATTACCCTTGGGGGGCGGGGTTTAGTTCAGAAGGGGGCACAGTCCGGGCTTTGGGACAGCAGTAATGTTCTCTTCCTTGAGCTGAGTGCTGGTTACCCAGGTATGTTCACTTAGTGAAAGTTCACTCCATATCTGGCTTAGACTATTTTTGTAGGTCATGTACTTATGACACTTTTCTGTTTGCATGTCACGGTTCATTAAATGTTCACATTAAATTTTTTACACATCAAACCAAAATTTTATTTTATGATTCCTTTAAGGGGCTTTCACAACTGTCTCCTTCCTCAGCTGGAAGATCATAGGGGTCACTCCAGAAGGAAGACCTGGGGAGGCCAGATTCCTGGAAAATTTCTTGACTACGTGTGTGCAGGTAAGAAGGGGGGCATGCAAAGCTGTACAGAGTCAACACATTGGCATAGGATCCTGCACCCCATTCCCTACTACCCCTCCCCAACACTCACACAAACACGCTAATCAGCTCTACTTTGCTGAAAGCCAATGGATGCTTTGATGCCAAAGGAGCCAATGAGATTGCCGGAATCCCTGCTGGCCTCTGCCCCACCCCCTCTATCTGCTCCTGAAATCCGTTCCCAGTCAGGTCCCACCCTCTCCACCCCCCACCCATGGTCAGCTCTGTCCCTTTCATCTCCCTCCTTGGCTTCAGGGCCTAAAAGAGTTAGCTGGGGAGAGGTGGAGGGGTGTTTGTGAAGGAGCCTTTGGTCCCCACCTCATCAAATGACATCCTTGCTTCTTTGTCCTTCTTAGACCCTGGAGGAGGGCAAGAAGCATATGGCATTCCTCCACTGCCACTTCGGGAGAGGGCTTTGAGCTGGACCTTTGGGACTGCTTCCCGATAACAGAGATGTTAAGAAATCCTTGGAGAGAGTGAGAATAGAACCAGGAGAGAGATGAAGGTTGCTTTGAATGCTGACCTGCCTAGAGATGAGATCTCCTTCCAGGGTCCTAGGCTTGCTGATGGTCCACTGCAACGAACCCCTCAACCAAGCAGGAACACAACGAAAGTGCTTGCTCTTGAATTGCATCTCCAGCTGGAAGGGATCCTAAATGTCTGGGTTTCCTAGCTGGTGCCCCACAACCCCCAGCCATACCAGATACTGAAACTCTGCCTATGTTATGTGATCTCAGGAGGGATTCACCCTTTCCTGTTTTGAACTCAGTGGCTGTTCCACTGGCGACCTGATCTCCACCGGTTTGCCTGGGTCTCCGTAATCCAGCCTTAGAGCTCACCTTCTCTAGCTTTCTGGCAGATTCCAGCACTCCCAACTCATCTTTTCTAAGTAGCTCCCCTACAACGTGCTGAGAAGAGAGGCTTGTCCTCTTCCTACCTTTCTTCTACTGGGCAGAGTCCAGAACCTTCTCAAGTATTCCCAAGAATCTGTGTTTGTTTTGTTTACTAATTGCATCAGAAGCACCCAGGACAATGTCTGGCACATAGTAGGAGCTCTAAAAACACTTATTGTTTGATGAATGTCTTTTATGTTTGGGAAGTCCCTCCAGAGGTCCATCCTACATCCCTAACGCCTCCACTTATTTATTTATTTTTTTAAAACTTTATTTATTTGAGTCATCTCCACCAAAGTGGGGCTTGGACTCCCGTCTGGGGAGATCAAGAATTGCTTGCTCTTCCAACTGAGTCAGCCAGGTGCCCCAACACCCACTTCCCCCAGTTGCTGCCATTTACATTTTCAATTGTCCTGTCCCTGGAGGGGTCCCCTGCCATCAATATGACTGAGCACCTACTGTGTACAAACCTTTGTGATATGCGACTCTCTTCATAATTTGTCTTGGCTTCTCACTGTCCTCCTGCCTCCCCTCCAGCCTTTATGCAACTTCGGTGGATCTATTCTCTAAAAGTTACCCAAGATTTAATAAACTGTAACAAGAAAAAAAAGGTTTGCTAGATCTGTTTGTCCATTCTATTTCTTTTTTTGTCTCCATTTAAGAGAAACGAAAACCTCTCCATTCCTCTGTCCCTTTGTCTCTGTGTGCCTCTGGGTCTCTGGGCAGCCTTCTCTATGGCCCCCGGTCTCTGCTTCTTTGCTGAAAGTCTCCACCTTTATCTCTGGGAGTGTCTCTCTGTTTCTTCCTTGGTGCGTGGGTGTGTCTCAGGCTCCCTGGCTAGCTCTCTCTTCTCCATCTCCCTTACAACAAATAGGTAAACAGGTGGCTGAGAAATAGGCATAGGGAAAAAAGGAAGAAGAAGAAGAAGAAGAAGAAGAAGAAGAAGAAGAAGAAGAAGAAGAAAGAAGAAGAAGAAGAAGAAGAAGAAGAAGAAGAAGAAGAAGAAGAAGAAGAAGAAGAAGACAGTGTTTTCTCCCAGGTATCAGGGTCGCAGGTAGCTCCAACCCTAACTGGGGACAAGTCCCGACAGGTGCAACTCCTGTCCAGATGTTGCGCAACGCGAGGCGCGTGCCCGGAGCCCAATCCTGAGTCTGGTTCCCCGGGCTGAGGATGGGGGGTGGAGGGGTGGGGGGTCTTCAGATCAGAAATATTCTTTCAGGTCCCCAGCCTGTCCGGGAAACAGATACCCCCACCCCCACCCCCACCGCCACTGGCTCTGCTCCTGCCCACCTCGGCTTGGCTTGGCTCGCGGGGGGCCGTAGGGGACGGCCAAGCGGTGGCTTGCCGGAAGAGGACAGTTTGGGACCCGGGAGGGGAGTTCCCAGCGTCTGGGCCGTGGGGGGGAGCTGCAGGCCGGCGGGGTGAGTAAGGCCCAGCGGACGCAGGAGGCTCAGTGGCGGCGGCGGCGGCGATGGGGAGGAGGGTAATTATGCAGGGAGGCTCTCGCCACAGCACGTCCCCACAAATGAGAGGCCCCGGGCCCCAGACACCACACAACAAAGCAGGAGGCAATTATTTGGCTCCAGTGGGAGGGGACAGCCCTTCGCCGGCCCACTGCCGCTGAGCCCCCGGCCTCCGCTGAGGGCGCTGGGGTGGGGGTGACGGCCGATCTCCCCAGCCCCCTGTGAGCCTGAGCCGGGGAGGGCCCGGGGGACTCCCGCTGGGTCACCCTCAGAGGGGGTCCAGGTTGAGGAAGGCAGAGCGGTAGGAGGCCCGGGGCATGATTAGAGCCATCCCTCAGCCCGCCAGGAGCCTCCCACCAGGCCTCAGGGAGGCCTCGTGGACACCCCACAGGAGCGAAGCCAGGAGGGCCCCGGGCGCCTGGGGAGTGGGGAAGGCGCTTTGTTGGTCCTGGGGAAGCCAGTGGCCAACATCTGAACCCCCTCCCGCCTCCCTTCCTTGGCTGTGGCCACACAACTGGCAACCAGGATGCTCAGGCAGGTGGGGAAACCACAGAGGAGGGAGCAGGAGCCAGGGAGATTCCAGAGCACGTGGCCAGTCCTGGAATTCACACAATTGATATGCAAATAAGCCCAAATTTTGTCCTCTTTCCCGCCCACCCACCCCAAAATCTTCAGATGGGCCCCTGTGGAAGTAGAGCAAGCCTGATCAGCTGGAGGGGACCCCCCCAAGCCTCTGCTGGCCTCCCTCATCCTCTCCCTCTCCAGCCACCCAGGTTTGCTTCAGGAAAACTACTAGCAAGTCCTACCCAAAATGTTGGATTCATGTGGGACCTTCCTGCAAAGGACTTTCCCTCCTTGATGAAAGAGCCCAAGGTACAGATGGAGAAAAAGAGGCCTGAAGAGATTCAGGTACTTTCCCCTGTTCTGACAAAACACCTGGAGGATGGCAAGGCTCCTGGAACCTTCTGACAACAGCCCTAGGTTATCAGCATGCCAGCTGGGGGAGGAGAATAGAGCTGCTGGCCCAGTAGCCCTAAAATCTGCTCTCTGGTCTCAGTTCTGCCCCTAACTCACTGGGTCACCTCAACCCGGTCACTTCTCTTCTCCAAGCTTCAGTGTCCCTGAATGTTAAGTGGCCATGTCTGGAAAAGAAGGTTCTTCCAGATGTGGAGTCCTCTTTTTGCTCCGCAGCCATCCAGTGTTGCTGCCCAGAGGCTTCTGAGCCAACTGTCTCCTTTGTCCTTACCAGCTCTACCCTTGCTGTTGCAGACCAACCCAGGATGAACCCCTGACTCCTGTCTTTCTCCATTTTCAAAATCTCACTTGAAATCCACCTGAGGGAGCCTCCTCTGATTAATTCTGCTCAACTAATTGCTCCTTTCTGTTGGGGCCCCCTCCATCTATGAAAGGCTCAGCATTCATAACTGTCTCTTATGTTTGCCCTTGCTGGGATGTTGCTGAAAGAGCTTCTAAGTAATTTTGAGAACATATATAGTGTCCCATTGTGCCCCCACCCAACCCCAGGATGGAGACAGGGATTGTGTCTCTTCCATAAGACTGAGGGCTTCCCCAGCACCTGGGTTGTATCACTGGGACAGAGAGCCCCCATTAGGGTGGGACCGAGTCTCTGCCTCAGATTAGGGTGGGACTGTGTCTCTGCCATCAGATTAGGACTTTTCCCCAGGTTGAGGACTCGGTCTCCTCTATCTGCCACCCCTGGATTTGGCAGGAGCCATCTGACAGTGGGCTGGCCACTGGGGACCAGACAGGCCCTTCCCCAGGTCTTCCCTGGCTGGTCTCTCATTTCTTAGCTTCCCCTTCAGCCCCGGACCACAGCCAGGGTAGTTGCATTTGTCATCACCCTCCTGCCAGGGGTGGTTCTGCCTCTTTCTTCCTCAGGAAACTCTGTTCCCAGTCGGCCTCATCCTCCTCTCTCGGCCTCCTGCCTCCTTCATCCCTCTCCATCCCTCTCCAGGGCCCCAGGGCAAGTATTAAGTATTTGCCATATGCCTACTGGCACATTCCTGGGGCTGGCTCCAGGCTCTGGGGGAGGCCTGGGAGCCCTGCTCAGCTGCCCATCACCACCAGGGCTGCCTCACTATCCCTGGAATGCCCGGGTCCCTCCCTCTCTCCTTTCCCAGGGGCCCTGGAATCTGCAATGCTGGGGTCCTGGGAGTTCTAGACTGCTCTCTCCACTCTAGAGCTGGAAAGGCTATCAGAATAAGCCTGAGCATCCTCTTGGAGCCACAGGCAGCTTCCTGTGTGTCCCTCCCCCACACCTCTGTCACCACCCCTGGGAGCTCCTCACTTGGGAACCCTAAGGGTTTATATGGATTTGCGTTCTATATGGATTGGCCCAGCCCCAGCAAATGAATGCAAATGCGATGCAGGCCAGCTGCAAAGAGGCAGCAGCACTGGAGGGGCCCTGACGCAAGGAGAGGACTCCTCATCTGGAAGAGATTCTCCTTTCTTTTCAGAGATGCTAATTTGATGCTCAGGGAAACTGAGGCTGAGAGAGAAGAAATGACTTATTCATGCATTCCTGTCTGGGATGCCTAGTCCTTTGGGAAACCCTAGGAGCCACTGACCTAAGTTGTGCAATAGGTGTGCTCTCTTCTTCCCCCAGATCTCATGTACCTGTGGCTCTTCTTCCACAGTTCCATTACTTTCCTCCTCGATGCTTTTCACGATGCTTTTCACGCTCCCTGCCCCCTGCCACTTCTTTTCCTCACTCCCTTGCTCCCTGAGTGTGGGTGATAGAGGTTATGGCTCCTGTGGCCTCTGAGGAGAGCTGAGAGCCCTCACCTGCCCTAGTGAGAGCTCCTCACCAACTTAAAGTCCCTAGCATTCCAGTATTTGCAGGAGTGCCAGTGATAAGACAGATGTGTTCAGCTTAAAGACCTGTGACACTGGGGGGTCTGGCTGACAGATTCTGGCATTACCACCTCCTCTGAGAGCAGGAACTTGGGACCCCTCCCCCACTCCAGTAGGTAGATTTGGGGTTGCTGGAGAGGCCAGGAAAGAAGGCCTGGTGCAAAAGGAGGGGTAGTCAACCATCTAGAAATACATTCAATCAATGCATTTTTTTAAAAGAGTTTATTTATTTATTCATAGAGACAGAGAGAGAGAGAGGGGCAGAGACACAGGCAGAGGGAGAAGCAGGCTCCATGCAGGGAGCCTGACGTGGGACTTGATCCAGAGTCTCCAGGATTGCGCCCTGGGCTGCAGGCGGCCCTAAACCGCTGAGTCACTGGGGCTGCCCAATGGATGTTTATGGAACACTTACTATGTTCCAGGCACTAACTGGGTGCTGGGGTCGGGGAAGAGAACGAGAGAGCCTGCCCTCAGACAGCGCAAGGGGGCAGTTCTCAAGCATGGACTGTACCAGCATCACCTGGGATACTCATGGCAATGAGAGGTCCCTCTTCATTCAGTAAGTCTGTGGGGCCCAGGAATGTGCGTTTAGATGAGCATTTCTCTTTCTCTTTACCTGTGATGTTGATGCAGGTGGTCTGGGGAACCATACTTTTAAAAGTGCTGGTGGCTTGTCCTGCATTGTAAGAACAGCCTGGAGCACTCACAGAGCTCTGGGGAGGATCGGGGAGGAGGATGCTGAGAGGAGAGTGAGCTGGGATAGCAGGAGAGAGGCAGGGTCTCCCCTCATCACTGTGGAGCAGGCCTGCCTCCCTCTTCTGATGCCTCCTCTCACAGACTAGGAGTCCACACACTCAGGCCCCCCAGCACCTCCTTGATTCCTACCCCTCACCTCCCAGTCCATAAAGGGTGAGCACTGGTGGGGAGGGGAGGCAGAGACCCCTTCGGCCACGCTCCCCACACTGTCTACCTGGTCTCAGAGGGGCTCCTGGACTCAGTGTCCAGGCTACAGAGTGAGGGGCCAAGAGGTAGGGATTGGAGGAAGGGAAACACAGGGTGAGACCAAGGCGAAGAAGGAGGTTGTCCCACCCCCTCCCCCCCAGCGCCTGCGTTTGATGCCGGGGGTGCTGAGACATCTCCTCTCCCGGAAACCGAGGCCAGACAGATAAACACAGATGGAGGGAGAGACTCAGCTGCTTTATTTATGGGCCTGGTGACAGGCCCTCTCCTGTCTCAGAGTCCCTAATCTACCAGGCGGAAGAGGCATCCCACCCCCTCACTACCCTCTTCCCTCCCTCCTGAGACTGGGGCTCAGCCAGGCTCCGAGCCTTCCCCCGCCAGTCAGGCACAGGCCTGTGTGCCAGCTCCTGGGGGCTGGGAGAGGGTATCCAGGGGCTCGCCCTCAACAAAACAGAACACACATCCTACTCCTTGCCCTCCCCACCACGTCCCACTGTGTCTACACGGGCCATCAGGAGCCCTTGGCTCTGCAAGGAGACCCACCCCCATGAAGGTGCCTGGGGACAGTAGGATGGGCTAGATGCCACCTCAGAGGGTCCTTCCCACCAAGAGGTTGGACAGTTCAAGTGTCTTGACTTGGGAAGTGCCTGAGGAGAACCTCTGGGCTGGCTCCACATGGGCCTATCCAGAGCAGGGGTTGTTGGGCGTTCCCTGAGGTCCCTGTAGGGTCAGACCCAGAGCTGAAGGCTCCTTGCCCCTGCAGTGCTTCCCTCTAAGGAATTCCCGCTCATGGCAGTTAGCACCCACACAGAGGGGGCTCTGGGGACCCATGTTAATTCCTCCTTCTAGCCACTTTTGCCTTCTCCCCACCCACCCTGACGCACACACCCTGGCATCCTCTTACGAAGAGTTCATTCCACTGTGGCTATCAGAGTGGGATCCAACAGTGGCCAGGCCTCCCATCAGCTGAGAAACCTGGATTTCTCCAACTCCCTGCCCTGTGCCCAGCTACACAGCCCCTTCGTTCTGTCCCTTTTATCTAGGTGTACCCCAAATCTGGGTAGGGGGGAGAAGTAACCCAGCCTTCCAGGGAGGCTCCCAGGTCAGAGGTCAGAGAGCAGCGAAAGGGCAGGAAAAGAGGGAGGTCAGGGAGGGGTCAAATCCCTACCTGGCGATGGCTTTGAGGTTGGACACAAGGAGACTTTAAAGCCCCAGAAGTTCAGGGATTTGGCTCATGGCATCAGAGGGCTGGCTCCCTGACTCACAGAGGCCAGACATGGACTTGTTCAACTTGCCTCTCTCTCTCTTTTTCATTTAAGTGACTTTGGTTCATCCGTGGGCCAGGGAGGAATTTCACCAAAATGACACGTTTCCCCTCCCCCTTCCATTTCAGCTGGTTCCCTGGTTTCCTGCCTGTCCTCCAGCCCTCCCCTTGTCCTGCTAGCATCCTCCTCCCCCTGGGGAAAAAGGGCGACTTGGGATCCTACCTCAGAGGTACTTATTTACTGTGAAGTCCCAGGCAGTTTCTTTTTTGGATAAATAGGCATGGCTTAAGGATAAATGGCATTCACTGGACTCTTCCCCCTAAATCTACTTCATGTTCTCTTCTGGGAGCTTCTCCCCACTGACTGCACTCAGTCTGCACCCTAGAGGGCCCTCCCAGTCTCTGAGCCCCACCTCAAGCATTCGATCCATTTGCTGTTGTCTGCTCTTGTTTCTGGACTCTTGATGAACCAGGGACCTGCTCTTTCTCCCCTGTTGGTCTGGGAGATCTTTGTGCTCAAGAACCGTGTCTCCCCTATCTAACCAACAGCTCCTTGAAGGGGTCGCCTTCTGGATCTACTTCCAGCACAGGGCAGAGGCCCCTGCCTGCTGGTGGGGGGTCGTGGTGGAGAGGAAGGAAGGCACATTCAGTTCTCCACTCCTTAAACAGGTCACTGCAAAGGTGAGTCCAGGGAGCAAAGGGAGCAACAGGGGAAATCTTCCTACTTTGGCAACTTGTAAGTTGAAACTGAAAAGAAGAGAGGAAGAAGAGAGTGTTTTTCCCCAAGGTTCTCCCAAGAGCTTCAGAGCCTTCCTCCAGCCTCACCCCCCTAGTCCACTTGCTTCCCCCCTTGAGGACCAAGACAGAGGACAGTAGGGTCTGTCCCATCGCTTCCGTAATTGCATGGCGCTCCCTCCTCCTCCCACTGGCCTGACGGAGGGCCCTGGCTACCTGTCAAATGTCAGTCTGCTCAGCCCCACCCAGGGTCCTTACTCAGGGCAGAACCAGCTGAGGAGGCAGTGCCTCCTCTTTCTCAAAGCAGCTGCCAATCCCGAGACCCCCTTCTCCCTGAGGACAGGTGGTGTCGATATGCAAAGTGGCTTGCGGACCACTCTGAATTCAGGAGTGTGTCTCTACCCGTGACAGGAAAGATGAATGTGTGCTCAGCCTGGGTATGTTTTCACCTTCTCCTGTCCTATCCCCTCCCTCAGGTGATTTGGGGACCCAGGGTCCGGGAGAGATGCTGGAATTCCATTCTGATTTCTGATGGGTGGAAAGCTGCTGTCTTCCCTCGTGCCAGCTGCCCCCAAAGCTAAGAAGAGCTCTCGTCTAGTATGGGCCAGGCTTGCACATCTTCCTTCCTTCCTTTCTTCTTTTCTTCCTTTCTTCCTCCCTCCCTCCCTCCCTCCCTTCCTTCCTTTCTTCTTTCTTTAAGGTTCTATTTATTTACCTGACAGAGAAAAAGAGAGAGCACAAGCAGGTGGAGCAGAAGGCAGAGGGGGGAGAAGCAAAGCAGACTCCCCACTGAGCAGAGACCCCGATGTGGGGCTCAATCCTAGGGACCCTGAGATTATGACCTGAGCCAAAGACAGATGCTTAACTGACTGGGCCACCCAGGTGCCCCCATTTTCTTTTTAATCTTCACAATAACCGCTGAGGTGGGTCCTATTATTACCCCCACTTTACAGATGGGAAAATGAAGGCCATGACAGAGTGCTGTGCTTCCTGCCCCGAAGGCAGCCTACTTTGGCTTAGAGCCAGTCTCTGTTGTCTGGACAGCAGCAGTGACCTACTGTGGATAAAGCTCTGCTCTGGGCAACTGAGGGAAAGAGCCAGAGCACAAATGAGGTGTGTCTTTCTCTTGAAAAGACAGCTTCTGGAGGAGTTTTCAGTCTGATGGAAGAGGCAAGACCACTGTCCCCACCTCTGGAGCTGCCTGCCAGGCTGAGAGAGGTGTCTGATTGGTACTAAGTAAAAATCAGCAATTCCCCTGACCCTCCATGCCAACATCCTGGGTGGCACCACCAGAGGTCTCCACGACCACATCTGTATCCTAAGTAGGAGCCTATCTCCTGCTGACCCTGTCCTGGGAAGAAACAGGGATGGGATTCCTCTTCTCTGAGTTGCTGGAGCAAAGGACAAGAGAAAAACCCTTTGCCAGGACACCTGGTGGATCAGTCGGTTAAGCATCTGCCTTTGGCTCAGGTCTCCATCCCGGGGTCCTGGGATCAAGCCCTGTGTCAGGCTCCCTGCATGTCCCTCTGCCTGCTGCTCCCCCTGCTTGTGATCTCTCTCTCTCGCAAATAAATAAATAAAATCTTTAAAAAAAGAAAAAAAAAAGAAGACCCCTTTCTGAGGCTGAAGGACTCTTGTTGAACCTAAAGGCCTGCTGACTTCCAGGGCTGAGGACCTCCCTGGGAGGGAAATTCTCCTGATGGCATTGGGGCTCCCCCAGCCAGAAGTAGGGGGATGGCTGGCATGAACTCTGACAGCATCTTGGAATTCCTTGCTATCCCATTTCCTCTTTATCCCGGCCAAGCTCCGAGGATTATGGCAGTGTGGGCAATAAAAAGTGCCTAATTGGTTGTTGTCCAGCCGAGGCTGCTCCCGCGGGGGCGGGAAACCGGCCGAGTCAGTTTCACTTTTGCTAGTGCCCAGCTTCCTGATGGTTGCTGGGTGCTAGCGGAAGCAGGGCACCCAGTGGTTGCCAGTAGCTAGTCCCTGATGCTGCTTCCAGGTGGGTGTGCCCCAGGAGGCAGAGGGCCCCCAGAGAGGACCAGGGCTGCTCTTGCCCCGAGCAAAGTGGACACACTCCTATGGGCCTCCGTGGGAGTCTGGAGGAGGTGCAGAGGATGCCCTCTGTGCTCTACTCTACTTCTGCATGAGAGGCCATTAGATGCAGAGCACTGGCGCTGGAGCCAGCCGACTTAGGTTGGGATCCTGACTGGGCCCCATTATCCAGTCGGATGATCCTGGGCAAATTCCTTAAACTGGCTATGCCTCAGCTTTCTCATCTGTAAAGTGGGGCTAAGTACACAGGGAGTGCTTAGAGAAGTGCCTGGCATGTAGTGAGTGCTCAATGAAAAGGGCAGCCAGGAGCTCGATCTTGGCCTGGCGATGGACGTGGGGAGATGGTAGACAAGTCAGACTGAATCTGGACATGGTGGGAATCGGGGAAGAGGGTGGTGAGATGACTTCCGGGGCCAAGAATCTGGTCTCCTGATGTCTTCTCTTCTGGCAGTGAGAATCCCTGCAAGCCAGCCAGGAGGGCCCGTGAGACCTTGGAGTGGAAAGTTCTCTGCCCCTAGCAGAGCCCTCTCTCTACCTCCCACCTTGCCTCTCCCGATCTTCAGCAGGAGGGAGAGCCACTCTTCCCTTTCCAGCTCTGAGTCTAGGAATGGCAGAGCCAATCACAGGGTCCTCACCTTCCTGGCCAACCTGCTCTGTCCCCTGCATCCTTTTCCCCAGGGAGCCTTCCACCAGATTGTCCCTTCCGCTGGAACCAGCCACCCTACTTCCTCTGTAGCTCTCACCTTGTCCTCTTTCCCCAGCCACCAATTCCCAGGCTCCAGCCCATCCTTCCTCTAGTTGCCCCAGCCCTGGGACACCCTGGAACCCTGCAACCTGAGGCCCTTTTCTCTGCCCCGTCTAGCTGAGTGTCCAGGGTCCCCCATTAGACTGGGAAGTTAAGAACTGTGTTTTACCACTGAATCTACTGGATCATGCAAGTCATGTGTGGCCCTCCACGTCTCAGGCACTATTACTCCCTTGCCCATTCCTCCGGCTCCCCATTTTGATCCAGGAAAGTGGCACAGTCACTGGGCTGCCTGCCACTCTGACTGTACCCGGGGGCTTGGCAGACAGACAGCCACCTGTCTTAGGAGGCTCAGGTGAATGCCAGCAGGCAGTGGAGGCCGAGGCCTCCCCACCAGAGACCCATAGAAACCCCTCCAGGGCTGGATGCTGTCAGAACAGACCATTTGGTTACCAGGTCCAAACCCAGCCAGGCAGTGGCTGATGCTGAGGAGCAAAGTGGGACACTCCAGAAACCCCTTCATCCAACTGCTGCCCTCAGAACTCCTTTAGCCTTTTTCCTGCCCCTGTTCTGCTGTCTGCCATCCCTTAAGTGTGTGTGTGTGTGTGTGTGTGTGTGAGTTGCTTATGGGTGGGGGGTGGGGGGAGGAGCGCTGCTTGGCCCCTAGGGGGGGCAGCTGAGATTTATGGGACTGGATTTTTACAGGCTGGGGAGAGGCCCCAGGCAGGAGCTGTGGAGCCCAACAGAGGAGCAAACGAATAAAAACCTCCCGACTTGAAAGCTGAGCAGCAGGCACCCCCAGGCCTGTGGGTGGTGAGAGATTTACAGCTCTTGCACAAGGCCTGGAGGGGGCCTGGGGAGCTGCTAGGACACTTCAGAGCCAGAATAATTCCCCACCAAGGCCTTCACCTTTCTCCTCTAGGAAAAAAAATTACTCACCAATAGAACAGGTTGGAGCTGCCAGAACGATGGTTATCGCTGTGGGGACCCCGCCCCACCTGGAGACTAGGTGACTCCCAGCTTCCTCCCCCACCCCGACTCTCCTTTCTGCCCCCAGGTCAGGGAGAGGTGCCTGGGGCCAGGTGGGGGGAGCAAGGGGGGTGACTTCCAGAAGATGCCTCCTCCTGCAGGTAGGGACGCTAGCGTTCCCATGGCCCCTTGTCCCAGGAAGTGGGGGCAGGAGGGGATGGCAGGTTCCAGCCCATTCTGGAAGAGCCCCAAGATTTAAGGAACACTTTCAGAGTATGTATGAGGGGTAGCAGCCTTCCCTGAAGGCAGAAAAAGAATGGCACAATAAGGACACAAAAACACAGAAAGCTCAGTGGCCCTGTGCTTGGTGGCCATCTTTCCTTTAAGCCAATGAACCAGAGGCTGAGTGGGGGCTCTCATGAGCAGAAGGTGCCCAGGCCAACCCTACCCTCAGTTCTTGCCCACCAGACTCAGCTGCCAATTTTCCCTCAGGCCTGACACCGGGGCTCCTTTCCTGGCCCAGGAGAGAATTGTCTCATAATCAATGGCCCTGTGTCTCGGGCTTGACATCACTGGGGGGCAGCTCAACTGGTTTAAGGGTGTGTTTCTGCTTCCTTACAGGCTCTGGACCCGACACCCCATCACCCTAGCGACCCCCCACATCCCCTGCACCTTCATGGAGAAGCCCTGAAACTCAGCTGGGTGGAGGAGGAGTGCCCTGCTAACCACTTAAAAGGGCCCGGGGTAAGCATCCTGGGACAGGTGAGGAGCTAGAGTCTGAGCTGGGCGGGAGGGTGGGGGCTGCCCGAAGCTGGAAGCTCTGGGCCTGGGGCCTGCAGTACCATAGGCAGAACGGGGAGGCAGCTCCGGGGAAGGCTGACCCACCCTCTCTGCAGTCTGGCCTTCCCCTCCCTACTCCTAAGTCCAGCCTCCCAAGACTAGAGCTGGCGCTGAGACAGCCAACTGAGTAATGTCTCTGGTGCCCAGCCAGGTGGGCACAGACTTGCCCAGTGCCAGGCCCCACCCTGAGTGGTCGGCCTGCCAGTACTCCCCAGGAACAGGCCCGAGGCACCAGCGGGGAAGTGGTTGGGGTAGAAGGTGGGTAGGAAGAGTAGTTACTAGCCTCTCCTTCTGTCCTTTCTCCCGCTGATTGGCAAGCAGGGAAGGGAAGGAAGACCAACTTGAGGTCAGCCTTCCTGGGGCTGAGAGGCAGTCAGAGAAAAGTGGCTTTGCTCCCTCGGTCCTCAACCCCCCACCGCCACCCCCACTCCCCTGGCCACCAGCTTCAGACTATAGGCTCAAGGAGGAGTGGGCCGGGCTGGTCAGGACCTGCCTCCAGCCTGCCTTCCTCCCCAGCAGGTCGGGGGAAATTACTCTCCTGGTACTGCTTTTTATTTTTTGAAGCCAGATCAAAGGTGGGACCCAGCTGGGAGCCCTAGTAAAATCTCAGCAATGTGGAGCCTTCAGAGTTTCAGCCTAGGGAACCTGGAGCTGTGGGAGGGATGGGCCCTGGCGGCAGGGGGCAGGGGCGAGACAGGAGTCAGGAGTGGAGCTGGGAGGTCGAAGCCTGTCAAGGACCAGTGACTTGAAGAACCCCGCCGAGGCTGTGGCTGCGGTCAGCTTGGTTTCCACAGCCACTCTCTCCAACCGGGGACCCACCCACGTATGTATAGCTCCCAATCCCAGCGTCCAAGCCAACTGGAACGGTGTTCAGATTAGCCAAATGTCATCCCACATTTACTTCACTGCACTTTTCCATCACCTGCTCCGGGGCATTATTTTGTGTAGTCAGGAAGCTTTGAGATTAGATAACCATGTTCCCTCCTGCTGAAAAAAAAAAAAAAAAAAAAAAAAAAAAAAAAAGCACATTCCCCCTTTCCATGCCTGACTTGAGACAAGAAGAAAAGCATCTTCATATTTCTTTTATACTTTCTTGGTGAGAACTTGAAACTCATTCAGTCCCGTGTGCCCAGCACTGTCTCTCTCTGCGTCCCCTTGCTCCTGTCTGCAGTGTCTTCTTTGTGCAGGTCAAATTGCCATTCTGGTTCGGGGAGGCCTTCCTCCTCTCTTCTTTCTGGAATCACAGTGCCATCCCCCTTATCCTAGCTGGAAGGGGTGAGTAGGATTCCTCACCCAAACTGGTTCTCAGGGTGAATGTGTGTCTGGCACCATCGCTGGGGACATGTTGTGTGGGCACCCGGACACCCCCTCATCTCTTCCCCCCTGAGTCCTGAATCTGAAGAGTCTTGGTCCTGACTGGCACCCAAGGTGTATCCAACAGAACAGACAGACATTTCCCCGGAGCCTTGGCTGGCCCTGAGAAGCCCTCCAAGGTTACATGGATGCCCTCCTCGTCACCCCAGGCAACAATCCTTTGCCCCAGTTTCAGTTGCTCCCAGATGTTGAGGTCCGTGACAAGGCGGAAGGATGGACAGTGTGTGTGCACATGTGGGTGTGTGCACAAGTGCGTACACGGGCACACACACCTAGATGGGCCTGGATATAGAGCAGAAACAAGGAGAGTGCCCCTCTACAAATTCTGCTCCCGCTGATGCACTGTGTGACCTCACCCAACTCCATCACCTTCTTGGAGCCTCGGTTTCCCCTGGCCATAAAATATGGGGTTAATTGTCCCTCCCAGGGAAGCTAGGAGGGTTAATTGGGCAATGGCTCTGAAGTGTCTAGGAAGGGAAGAAGATCTATAAATACAAGTGATCATTAGAGGGTATTTCGCAGCCATTTTGTGGGCTCCAATGTATTATTACCATTATCATTGTTACTGTCATTGCCACCATCATCCACTTCCTGAGTCTCTGCCAGCTGGGTCGGCACTGTCAGGTGAAGAAGTGATGCTCCTGAGCCCAGTAACCCAGCCAATGGCCTCACTGAATCCACATCCTCCTCACAGGGTATCTGGGGAACCCGCAGGAAGGTAATGATGGTCCCCAAGATGGGGCAATGACAGGAGAGGTTCAGGGACCCAGAAGAAAGAGGGAGACAATGCCCACCCGGGGAAATCCACTTTGTCCCTAGGAACATTTCCAGCCTGCCATGGGAAGCCTCGAGGTCGGATGGAGAGAGGCTGAGTGCAGGTGTGAGGCTGAAGCAGAGAGAATGCTACCAGACATGAGATGAGCTGGTTGGGAGGCAAACGGTTCTTCAAGGAGTCTTTGTAGCAGCTAGGACATACCCTGTTTCCAGGTGAAGCAGGGCATGGGCCTGGCAAACAGTAGTCACTCAATGCATGCTTGCTCAACTCAATTTCTATGCTTGCCTTTCCCTTCCAATAAGGTTAAAAGCCCATGTACTTTTCGAAATGCCTTGGATGCCCCCTAGTGGGCATCCACAAAGGCTGAGAGGGCACAGGTGCCTTCTACCCTAAAGGGCTTCTCCCTGGGAAGGGAGAGGGGAGGGGACTGCCCTTTCTCCCTGAGGCTCCACAGACCTCATCCCAAGAGGACAAGGGGGTAGAAGAAACCAGGTAAGAAGGAAGAACCCGGGCAGCCCAGGTGACACAGCGGTTTAGCGCCGCCTGCAGCCTGGGGTGTGATCCTGGACACCTGGGATCGAGTCCCACGTCGGGCTCCCTGCATGGAGCCTGCTTCTCCCTCTGCCTGTGTCTCTGCCTCCCTCTCTCTGTCTCTCATGAATAAATAAAATCTTAAAAAAAAAAAAAAAAGGGAAGAACCCTGTGGGGAAGGATGGATGGAATGTTCTTGCTGGAAGATTCCATGGCAGTTGGTGACAGCCATAGGTCTTGCAGGGGAACTAGTAGGGGACAGAGGGAGTTGACAAGTCAGGGCATGGGTCAGGAGTGGCATCCCTGGGCAGTGGAAAAAGGGGGGTGGCCAAGCGTGTGCACCTGGGGGAGGCAGGGTGGGGTAGTTGCCAAAGCATAATAGGGGGGATACACTTCATAGCCTCTGTCAATGTTTTGTGCTCATAAAAGACTAAGGAAACTTAGATCATTGAAATCATAGATGGGCCAGGGAGAAAAAAGAGGAATCAATATCATTTAAACTAGGTGTTTGTCCCACATTTCTCTAGGGATGTAAGGGTATTGGGGGCGATTCAACAAGTCTTCAACTTTGATTTCTCTGTAGGTGGAAAGAAAAGGGATGAGAATGTGGAAAACCAGAGGAGGGAAATGGGAGAAGCAGAGTTACTGGGAAGATCCTTAAGGGAGAATGAGCAGGCTTTCAGAGGCTCAGTTGGTTGTAACTCTTAAAATTTAAAATAAACAACAACAAAACTTGGGTTGTAGTAATGAGTGAGGACCAACAGATAGTTATGGGCAGGACACTGACGGTCTTCTAGCTTCTGGACAGCCTACACCCACTGTGCCATCTCTTTCATAGAAGGCCCCAGAAGGAATCTGGAGCTTCCCAAGGACAGAAAAAACTGCAATTCTGCCTCCCTCCCTCCCTCTGGTGTTCTTGCCCATCCCTGGGGACAGAGGTACTAATGAATTAGATGGGGGCAGCTACATGCAAAAGAGAAGGCCAACAAGGATGTTAGGAAGCAGGAAAAGCAGGGGAGAATCAAGAAGGAAGATGAAGAGGGTGACAGGGAGAAGAGGTGAAATGGAGGTGGAGGAAGCCTGGCATGGAAGGGAAGTCCAAGAAAAGTGCTAAAAGGATGCACTCATTTAGTCAGTCAACAAACATCAACTGTGCACCTACCATATAGCAAGCAGTGTGCTGTGAGGGGAAGGTGCAGGGGTGAACAAGACAAACACAGGGCTTTCAGAGGTGGCACAAATGAGAAATGGGGAGAAATGGACCACTTAGAACAAGAAGAGGGTGAGAGTAGTTGGAAATGAGAAGGGAAATATGAGAGCGAGAACCTGCCCCCAGGCCCACCTGCGGGTGAGACACAGCCGGAACCACCTGTCAGCCCTGGCTCCCTGAAGACAGAGGGCAGAGACAGGCAGGGCAGGGGGAGGGGGGGGGTGTTCAGGGGAGAAATTCAGGAAGGAGAGGGACAGGAGTGGGGGAGGCGGAGGAAGGAGGGGTAGATTGTTCACAGTTTTCCACTTGGGCACCCGCAGTGGGAAAATGTCTTTGGGCTGCTGAGTGGTTGTTGACATTTGGCTGCCTATTGGAGTCACCTGAGGAACTCCTCCGTCCCATCACGGGGGTCCCATCCCCTGAGATTCTAATGTTCTCCACCTGGGATGGGACCCGGACTTCTGAATTTACTATTAGCTCTCTAGTGAGTCTAAAGTGCAGCCAGGGAGGAAGCAGACATTAGAGGCTGCCTGCCTGGTCTCCTTCCACTCTGGTGACAATAGAGGGCCATCTTGAAAGCAGCAACACATGGGAAGAGAAGTTGTATGGTGGTCTTAGGGGGTTGTAAATGAGGCTCAAAGGCTCCAAAGTCCTGACAAAAGTCTAAGAGATTTCTATCCTTAGAAAGTGCCCCCTTGGGCAGCCCTGATGGCTCGGTGGTTTAGCGCCACCTTCAGCCCAGGGTGTGATCCTGGAGACCTGGAATTGAGTCCTGCGTGGGACTCCCTGCGTGGAGCCTGCTTCTCCCTCTGCCTGTGTCTCTGCCTCTCTCTCTCTCTCGCTGCATCTCTCATGAATAAATAAATAATATCTTTTAAAAAAAGTGCCTTCTTCCTCCACTGTGCCTCTGGTAAGACAGGAGCAAGAGAGCCTAGAAAGAAAGAAAAAAAACGAGGCAGTGGCGGTCTTTAAAAGGGAAGAACAATTCAAGTAACTCAAAACTGTTGCCAAGTTCTCTGCACCCTGTTCCCCCACCCACACACATGCACACTCCCTCCCCCCAACTTCTGCTGCCTTCATGATGGGGCCTCTGGGGTGAGAGAAGCACAGCTGCCCCAGCTTTCGGCCCACAAAAGATTTGGCAGTGGCCCAGCAGGATATTCAACCTCACCTCCCCCCCAAAAAAACCTCCCTGCACCCTAATATAGCTGAGTCACTGAACCCGGGTGGAGTCCTTAGCTTGACAGTGAAGCAATCTTAACTTGAAAAATGGCATGGGAACAGAATGTATGGTCTACATAAACAAGTCCTATATAGATAATAATTGTATGCAAATATTCATTCTTTAACTCAGCATACATTTCCTGCCAGTCCTCTTGGACCGCCCCGCCAACCTTCCATCGCAGCTCAGAGCACGTAGCAGGGGAGTCAGACAGGCATATAAAAATGCAGTGGTAGGGGATCCCTGGGTGGCGCAGTGGTTTAGCGCCTGCCTTTAGCCCAGGGCGCGATCCTGGAGACCCGGGATGGAATCCCACGTCGGGCTCCCGAGCCCGGTGCATGGAGCCTGCTTCTCCCTCTGCCTGTGTCTCTGCCTCTCTCTCTCTCTCTCTGTGTGACTATCATAAATAAATAAAAAAAATTTAAAAAAAATGCAGTGGTAGCGAATGAAGCGCTCTGCAGTCTAGAGGAGGAAAAAGCTATGGCTCAGGCCAAGTTACGTGTTCAGGCTTTGAGCAGGGTCTTGAAGGATGTATAGGAGTTTACCAGGATAAAGTAGGACAGTTAATAAAAGAATAAGTTTTTAAGAAATGTGGAAACTTGAGGCAAAAGGGTAGGATTTGTAGGAAGAGAATAGGGTGGGGGAGGAAAGATAACACAAGTGGCTGTGAAGGATATTGTTCGCCTCCTAGAAGGGAGTTTGGGGCTTTATAGCCAGCATAGTGAGCCAATGCAGGATCTTAACGAGAGGAGTGACAGCTTCTAAAGTCTTGTTTAAAAATAAAAGTCTTGTTTTTCAAAGGCTAAGGCCAGGAGGGTAGACAGCAAGAGAATATTAGCATTTATTCATCAATTCCTATGTACGGGGCATTGGCTCTGTATTGTATTTTATGCCTCCAATCCTTTATGATAGCGTTTTTCAAAATGCCAGTCATGGGATCCCTGGGTGGCGCAGCGGTTTGGCGCCTGCCTTTAGCCCAGGGCGTGATCCTGGAGACTCAGGATCGAGTCCCACGTCGGGCTCCCGGTGCACGGAGCCTGCTTCTCCCTCTGCCTATGTCTCTGCCTCTCTCTCTATCATAAATAAATAAAAATTAAAAAAAAACAACAAACAAAATGCCAGTCATGATCAAGAAAAGGAAGGCAGGCAGAAAGGAAGGTGGGGGGAGGGGAGGTGGAGGGAGGAAGGAGAACAGGATAGAAAAATACCACCGTGTCACGGGTAGGAAGGTCTAGTATTGTTTGCGGAAACTTTGTTAGACATTCTCGTGGGAGGGTAAGTGTACTGTATCAGGATTCAAATGTACTTCTCATTGTGATTTATGGTTTAAAACAAGAAAGAAAGAGGGCAGCCCTGGTGGCCCAGCGGTTTAGCGCTGCCTTGGGCCCAGGGCGTGATCCTGGAGTCCCGGGTTCAAGTCCCACGTCGGGCTCCCTGCATGGAGCCTGCTTCTCTCTCTGTGTCTCTCATGAATGAATTAAAAAAAAAAAATTTTTTTTTTTAAACAAAAAAAAAGAAAGAGAAGCCGCTGCCCTGGAGCACAGTCGCCTGGCGGTCGGTAAGCGGAAGGCGTGGACTGCGGAACCTGAGCCGCCTCCTTCCCGCCGAGGGCGGTGCGGACTCCCACGCACGTCACCCACCGAGGGAGGTGGGGCCGGGCCGATTCCGTCCACCCGAGGCGCTGGTCGGAGCGCGTATGCCAGGGGTGCCCTCCAGACGCACAGCATCCGAGGACGAGCGGCGGTCCCGGGAACCTCCCTCTAGAGCGCTTCGGGTGATGGGGGGAGGGGAACCGCCCGGGGATGGGGGCGTCGCCGCAACAACCAGGCGAGGCCCGACGCCTTCTCGCAGGAGTGTCGCGTCGCCGCAGCTCGCCGCTATTGTGCGGGGGCTCCCGTGCCTGGCGGCACAAAGTCGTCCGGGGGCTCACTTCCCACCCCGGAGGCGCTGCAGGGCGCGGGACTCCATGAGGCGGGTGGCTTTCCACTCACCGGGCACGGGGCTCGCGTAGCCGCAGAGCAGGAGGCCCTACCGCACCAGGGCGACACCGGATTGAGGTGTAATGTATGTACTATTTATAGGGCATTTCTGGGCCTCACCCTAAGGACTTCTGATTGGCTTTAGGGTAGATCTATCACTCATCTTTTGGGTTCGAGGTGGGTGGAAGGTCAACCACAACCAATACAAAACCACTCCTCAGCTAAGCCCCTCCTTATCTAGCTTCCTGTTGCTGTCCATCAACCACCTCGTGGGCGGGACTTTGCCTCCCGCCAACTGGCTGGCGAACACGTCGATCACTCTTTAGTAGGTTTCCGGTTGGTGGCCTCTACCGTCCATCAGTGACATTTCACAGGCCTATTGGCCAAACCAACGTCGCTCTAGATGTCTCTCTTTGATTGGTTGTTAGTGCTGTCGGTCCCCAATGTTCTGGGCTCTTATTGGTGAACGCTGCCGTCGCTCGGGCGGTGGCGGGCTCCGGGATTGGCGGGTGCTGGGCGGGCGGTGTCAGGCTCTCGGTGGCGGCGGAGGCGGCGGAGGCCAGGGAGGAAGATGTCGTAATGAGCGGTGGGTCCTGGCCGCTGCCGGCGGGGTCTTCCCGGCCCCCAAGGGTCGGGAAGACGGGCAGAGGCCGCAGGGACGGGGAGCCGGGGCCGGGGGTTCCCCCCTGGGGCCGGGCCTGGCGCCGGGGCCCGGCTCCGGGAGGGGCGGGGGAGGGAGGATTCCCGCCCGGAGGAGGAGCGGGGCTGGCCAGCCGGGCGGAGGCACCCGGAAGGGGGCGTTCGACTCCCCGCCCCCTCGGAGCCCGCTGGGCGGGAGGGTGGCGCTTCCGGGGGCTGGCGAGAGGTGCGGGCACCCGGGCGGGCCTGGCACCCCCTCTGCCCGGTTGCCGACCCGCCCCAGTGCTGTCCGGCCCGTGGACGTAGCCTGGGTCTGCTCCGAGGAGGCGGCCGACGCCCCTCGCGCTTGCCCTGTGTTCGGGGGACCCTCCTGCACTGATCTAGGTGCCCCCCGGCGATTCAGGGCCCTCCCGAGTGCAGAGAGGGGCAAGGGAATGCTTGAAGTGCAGGCGGCGCCAACCACATGGGCACTGCTGGGCATAGAACCCAACCTGGTTCCCGATATATCCCAGTGGAGAGATGGTGTCAGGACACGAGGGCACCTCGTAGGGCAGGTGACTTCTCGCCTTAGACTGCAAAGTGGGCAAAAACCTCCGTTTAATGTTTTCACTTGGGTCCTTGAGCACCAGCTAGGTACATGCAAGTTCTTCCCAGAATTGTGAGCCATTTAAGAACTTGTTGACAAGAATTCCCAAACTGTTTGCTGATGCTCTGTGGGGGGGGGGGGGGACTGCTGAATCCCAAAAGCCAGGCGCAAACCTAAGGAGTGACAGAGGAAATAAAACAAAACGGATACTTACTTTCTTCCTCCGCCCCACTTCCATTCCCATTGCTGACTTAGGGTTTTCAGCCTCCTACCCGTGCTTCTTGGCTTATGTTCCCAGTGGCTTTCTAATTTTAGTTGAAAAGGAACTGTGTCTTCTCTGGGCAATTGAAAAACCTGTCTTCACTGCATTCCTTGGTTTTGATTCTTAATTAACTTGATTCAGTGGGACTTCCTCTGGCTTTTCTCAAGGCACATTCTCCCAAAGTTTTTCTTGAGGTTACTTCTTGCTCACTTGTTTCCTAGAGAAAGGGAGGGAGGAGCTAGTAGATCTGCTTTAAGCAATGAATTGGTTCATGGTCCCCCATGACACTGATTTTAAGGGATGCTTTATGGGTGAGGATTGTTTCAAGGCACACTAGACTGCATTATCTAAAACTGATATGCTCTAACCCAGAAGGCATTAAGTATCATAATGGAGGACTAGGTGTTGAGTTGGTATTTTGGATAAGATTTTTTAGGGCTAGAACGTTTAGGGTGTTGATCAGTTCACAGAGGGGCTGTTAAAGGAAGAGTGGTGGAGTCCACACCATAGAAGTCATTTTGACTAATAACACAAACCTGTTGTCTGCAATAATGAGTGTAATTGCAGTGTCTTGTTTTGTCTTAAATTCTTGTGTGCCATGAAGGGGGTGAATCTGTCAGACAACCTAGCATTGGGCTGGTGATGTCATTATTCTAGTGGCTTCTAACAGGCATTAATACCTTTTGGAAATGGATTCTCATTGGCTGGGGCCATTGGTAAGTTTTCTAATTCTGGTTCTTCCACTTGGTTGTGTAGAGGCTTAACCTCTTCATTTGAAAGCAGCAGCAACAAGAAGAAAAAAAAGCTGGTCTGACTTGATTGTGACCCCCCCTGAGCTGAAGACACAGTGTCTTGCCAAGGAGACCCAAGTAGAGTCAGTTCATAATCCGATCCTCACCTGACTGCTGTGCAAGGAGACCTGACTCTAGGAGGAAGAGTTTAGCATTAGTGTTGACAGCACATAGACTGGCCAGTTTTGTTTTTTTTTTGGGGGGGTGTTTTGTTTTGTTTTTCTTATATTAAAGTTTGGGCCTCTGGAGGCCTGAGAAGAAGCTGTAAGATTTTGGCAAATGTCTGGGTAAAGGAGCTTTAGGGCGTAACAGCAGATAGGGTAGTTCATTTGGATATCTTGGCCTTGAGCTTCCTCATTCTTCTGTTGATTAATAGCAGCCCTCTGGAGAATTTGCAGGGTCCCTGTAGCCTGACAGTCCTTTGCCACAGGCATGTGATAATTCCTGAGTCTGCTTTAAGCAACTATTGCCCAACCAGGGCCCTTCTGAAGACATTCTAAACTTGGTGCTGTCATCTAGTAGACCCTGGTATTGGTTCGAGTTCAGCAATCTCTAAACCTTTGTCACTTCATTTCTATGATGTGAGTGTAGCCCATTCTTTTATGACTTGTCTTCACCTCCTTCATTCTGTTTACACACAAACTGGAAGCTTTGCCTCCAAGGATTGAAAAATAGAGTGATTCTTTTGGAGCGGGGGTGGGCAATGACCACAGAATGAAATATGCAGAGGAACACTGCTTTAAAGTACGTATGTAGTATAAGAAGGTGTAGAGATGTGAACACTTCTGAGTTTAAGTGATTTTGTGGTCCAGTTGAAACCTTGTGGGCTGAAGACTTGAAGTAAAATCTATTTGGAGAAGCTCCAGGACTTTCTTAGTAGTTTATTGGGTGATGCATCTGGATGAAGCTATCCTTTGGGTAGCTTAACTGGATTAAGGGACTTCTAGTGAGTTCATAAACTAGGAAAACTTGGCCTACATGCTGGACCAAGTCAGTACAAACCAGACTAGGAAATGGACATCATTACAGAATGCATTTGCTGACGTTTTTGCTTATTTGCTTTTTGCTGTAATTAAGAGGGTAATAACATGGGGCATTACCAACTCAAGGGCACTGTCAGCCTAAGTAGAGAAGGAATTAGAGGGGTAGCCCTGGTGGCGCAGCGGTTTAGCGCTGTCTCCAGCCCAGGGCGTGATCCTGGAGACCTGGGATCAAGTCCCGCATTGGGCTCCCTGCGTGGAGCCTGCTTCTCCCTCTGCCTGTGTCTCTGCCTCTCTCTCTCTCTCTCTGTCTCTCATGAATAAATAAATAAAATATTAAAAAAAAAGAGAGAGAAGGAATTAGAGATCACCCAGGAAGAGATGCTCTCAGGTGGCACTGGTAGATTTGTTCTAGTTGACAGGATTCCAAAATGGAAAACGGATTTTTCTGCTGCCTCATGGGCTCCTGGAAAAGAGAACCCAGGAGTAAAGCTCAGTCAGCCCTCAGTGCTTGGGGGAAGCCATGGCTTCCACTTTGTGTCTAGGAAGTGCTCTTTCTGAGTGGGTTACCATGCTTCTCATCAGGTGGCTCTGGGCTGGTGTGCTTTGGCGAGATGAGCTCTGCTCAGGACCAAGGGAGTGTGAAAAGGCTGAGTGTCCAGTTGGGGTGCTGCTCATTCTGTCCCCATGAGCTGCTCTGAGCAGTGTTGAGATGTCAAGGCTGCTTTTGTCCCAGGAAGAGCACGTGTGCAGGCCCAGCTGTTTGAATGCTTCCTTTGGACACCTCGTTCCCTTAGCTACAGTTTATTTCAGCTTCAGAATGGCATGCTGTACCTGGCCAGAAGCCTCACCACGTCACAGCGCTGAGGTTTAGCTTGGGTGACTTGTTTTTGCTGCTAAGGGCTCTGAGATGCCAGTTTGTCCTTATGCCATGACTTCGGCTGTTAGATGGCTTCTTTCATCTCAGCCGTGGGGTGGAAATGGCCCAGGAGCCAGCAGCAGGCACTGGCCTGCACACTGCCAAATGTCCTCTTTCTAGAGCTTCCTCTTTGGGGTATTTGTTACTTCTCCTGTGGCTCAGTGGAATCACAAAGCAGCTTCTCAGAGAGTGTGACCAGCAGGAAGGGCCGTGTGATTGGAAGTGGAATATTTCTGCCCCTGGTCAGTGTCTAACTGAAGTCTTCTCAGATTAGCCTAAAAATGGCCAAAACATTTCCCAGCTTTCAGAACAGTAAATGGTAAGGCTGCCCTCTCTTCCCCCGGAAAAATGAAGTCAGCACTCATTTCAGAACCAGTCCACAGCTGGGGTGACTCAAATAACTGTGCCAAAGCAGAGAAAACACTTGTTTGTACAGAATGCCTTTCTAGGGGGGGAAAACTATATCTTGCTTTCTTATTTTCTTCTGTTCTCCAAGACAGCTCTGAGGCCAGGTATTCTTTATACCATTTCCTGGGACTGCTCTGTCAACGTGCAGCTTTCACCACCACCACTGCTGCCCTGGGTTGCCACTCACTTCTCCAGAGTCCTTTCTGGGACTACTAGGTGTGACCCAGGCAGGATGAAACTAGCAAATGACAGTAACATTTTGAGGAGAGGTATTCACATAGCAGGTGCCCTCTTTATCTGAACTCATTCAGAAAAGAAGTCCTCCCCCATCCCAATATATATTAATTGAAAGAAGCATTGAAATGTGGTGCCTGGCATGTGGTTATGAGGTATGGGCTTGGAGATACTTGCCCAGGAGCAGGACTGGACTGTGCTGGTCAGCACACAGGCACTTGTCCCCTCATGAGGTGATGGGTAGGCTTGAGAGTTCCATCTGGGACTGCATCAGCTGAGCTGACCTGACAAGTGGATCCCAGCCTCATGCCAGGACATGCACATCTGTGGGTTTTCTTAAACTCCATTTAGGCTATTCTGCTCTGCAGTCTCCAGGATTCATTGATTCATCCATTCAAAAATATATATACTAACCACCTACTATGTGCCAGGTAGGAAGGATGTAGCTGTAGGTAAGGCAAGGGGAAGTCCCTGCTTTAGGAAGCCTATGGCTTAGTGGGTGATGATAAATAAGTAACTACTAAGTATTAGATAATGGGAAATGCTAAGGAGAAAAACAAAACAGAAGATAGAAGAATGTGAAAGGGTGCAATATATCGGGTGGTCAGGGAAGGTTTCAGTGAGAAGGTGAGTGAAACCAGCTGGAGGGGAGAGTCAGCCACTCAGTCTAGGGTGGGAGGCAGAGGGTGAGAACTCAAGCAAGGACAACAGAAAGTGCAGAGGCCCTGAGAAGGGGCCAAACCTGGCATGTTGGAAAACAGCAGGGAGGCGATTGTGGCTGAAGCAATGAAGGGGAGTAACAAGATAGGTAAGAGGGGTCACAAAAGACAGGTCACATAGAGCCCTTATGTGTCGTGCTGGGGACTTTGGTTCTAACTTTGATGGGAGAGGGGATGCTGCTTTAGGGCTCTGAGCAGAGTAATACCATGATCTCACTTAAGTGTGATGGGTCTCATTCTGGATGCATGTCAAGAATAGACTTGATGGGGAATAAGGTCAGAAGCCCAGCTAGGAGGTTTTTGCACTTAACCAGGGGAGATATGATGCAGATCTGAATCTGTTTGATAATAAGAGGTGGTGGTGAAAGCAATCAGGTTCTGAATATATTTGGAAAGTAGAACCAAAGTGTTTGCTGATTGTCAGATATTGTCAGATATAGAGTACGGAAAGAAAGAAGGGGCAAGGATGACTTGCAGAATTTTTAGCACCAAGCCACTAGAAGGACAGAATTCCAATGCCTTTGCCCAATGCCTCATTGTGCGGGGAAGCTTGAAGGGGACATGGAATTAGGACAACATCAGGGGTGAGTTAGACTTGAAACGCTCATTAACATACCCAAGTGGAGACGTCAGTAGGCAGCTGGATATTACAAGTCCGCAGATAGAAATTTGGAAGTCGTCATTATGTAGAACCTATATATTGTTGTTTTTTAAAGCTGTGAGGCAAGATGAAATCACCCAGGAAACAAGTGTAGACAGAGGAAAGGTAAATGCTGAGCCGGCACCCTGGGGCCTACCAACTAATTAGAATTTGAGAGGAGAGGAGGACCCAGCAAATGAATCTTCGAAGAAGGAGCTAGAGAGGTAAGCCAGCCTAGCAAGTGTGTCTGAGAAGCCAAGTGACAGAAACTGTTTCAAGGAGAAAGAGGGGTCTGCTGTCAAATCCACACATAGACCGAGGCCTTCGACTCAGCAACGCGAAGCACGAGCAGTTTTTGTGGCATGGGCAAAACCCTGGAGCAGTTCAAGAAGGGGTGGCAAGAGAGGAATCAGAGGCAGCAATTATGGGTCACTCTTGCTAGGGATTTTGCTTGAAAAGAAGATCTTAGCTGATGAACGGAATTTTAACTTCCTGATGGAATCGTGGGCCCACATAAGAGTCCTGGGCTGAGGTTGGGGTCAGAGTTGGGCACAGGGAAGATAGGATGGCTCCTGAGGTGCCTGGGTAAAGACAAGATCTTGTGCACCCCCCTCCTTTGGCCTGAGGCATTAGCAAGCCACCACCCACAGCTGTCTTCCTGTATTACAAATTGGTGAAGTTCTTTGCACCCTTCTCTTCTGTATGGTTATTATGGTGCTGGAGACTTGCTTCTCAGCGGTTTGGAGTCTTCTAACTACCAGTGTTGCTGCTGCTCCCTCCAAGCAAGCCAGTTCTCTTAGCTCATTCACGAACTCCTTTGAGGTCCAACTTTGTTCTCTTAAACCAGCCATGGCTTGCTTTTCCCTTACCAGCTCTAAATTCTTCCAGGCCAGGCAACTGGGAGAAACTGGGCTTAGAAACTGTTTTGTTGGCTTCCGGCCCAGCTGAGCTGACCAAAATAGCCAGCAAGACTGTTTGTGCAGAGTGAAATTCCTCCAGGGGAAATACCATAGTGTATTGCCAAGAAAGCCATGGTAGGAACCCAGGAGGCAAAAAAAAAAAAAAAAAAAGCCAAGTACCCTCAAGGTCTGGCTAAGGAGTTTGACCCAAGTTCTCTCCAGAGTGAAAAGAGCTTCTTAAAGCCTATTGTGGTATTTCTTAGGACCTCTTCTGTCATTCCTTGTGTCTCAAAGGCAGTGTTCTCAAGCAAAAGACCAGTGGAATGGCCCTCAGTCTGATGGCTAGGGCTTTGGGGTCCTGTTGAGGCCTCTTCCTGTTACCGGTGCTCCCTGAGCCAGCTGATGGAAGGACCCCTAGGACAGACACCCCTCCTTGCTCTGTGACAGGGCTAAGTGCTAGGAAGGGAGTGTGGGGCCTATGCACTGGCACATAGTAGGGACACTTGACCCAGACTTGGGGAGCTGGGAGGAAAGAGGTCAGGAAGGATTTGCCCTGAGTAAGTCATAAATCGAGCTTAAGAACCTCGGTTAGAGGGATCCCTGGGTGGCGCAGCGGTTTGGCGCCTGCCTTTGGCCCAGGGCGTGATCCTGGAGACCCGGGATCGAATCCCACATCGGGCTCCCGGTGCCTGGAGCCTGCTTCTCCCTCTGCCTGTGTCTCTGCCTCTCTCTCTCTCACTGTGTGCCTATCATAAATAAAAAAAAAAAAAAAAAAAAAAGAACCTCGGTTAGATAAATGAGAGAGAGAGCAGGCATATGTGCATGCACGAGTGTGTAAACTTAGGCTCCCAGTGAGAGAGAGCAAGTCAACGTTCCAGAAGTGGAAAACACTGAAATGGAAAACACTGACCTGCTTGTAGGAAAAGTTGGAAGAGAGATAAAGGAGAGGTAGAGAGGGGAGGGGCAAAGCATTTTGGCTTTTACAAGTTTATCTTAAGATCATCTGGAAGCTCTTGAAGGGTATAATCAGAGGAGTGGCTGGATGGGATTTGCATTTTAAAGATTCTTTTGACCCTGATAGTGGAGGCTGGAGAAGAGCTGGCAAGGCCAGAGGCCTGGAGAGCCATTTTGAAGGCTTTGGGCCATATTCCAGGCTGAGCGGAAGGTGATCAGTGCCAGGGTAGTGAATGGCGAAGGGAATGGAGAGCGGTGAGTGGATTGGAAAGAGGTTTATATTCAGGTGGTAGAATCATGAGGACTCCATGAGTCATTGGCGATAAGGATGACGTTCAGGTTTCCTTGTGATTAGAAATACCAGAGAGGCTGGTTGAACCCAAGACTCATTACCCATCAAACCTGCAGGCACTGAAGGGCCCCTGGCATTGCCCCATGCTGGGCATGGCAGTGCAGTACAGACTGACCCGACCCACCCTGGGAATCCTCCTGTGAATATCCACAGACATTAAGCCCATGATTATTTATTGGGTGGTGAGCATTACCAGAGGGGTTAACCTCCTTTCAGGGGTCTGAGTAACTAAAGGGCCGGATCCATAGTGGACTCTCAGTAAGTTTTGCTGGGAAAAAAACTGGGCTGAGACCTGAAGGGTAAGTGTTAGCTAGTGATGAGAGAAGAAAGAGCTCTGATCAAGGAAAGGGCAGTGGCAGAAATGAAAACTTCAAGGATCTGGAAGAGGCCCTGTAGAGGCGAGGCTGGGAGTGAGAAAGCTGGGGGAAGAATGGGCAAAGGTGACAACTCAGTGTGGGCAGTCCTGTGGCTCCCCAAGTGGAAGGCCTGGATGGACCCTTCTGCCACCCAGGAGACCAGGAATTGTCAGTCTGTGGAGATTACCTGAAGCTACGTGGGCGGGCATGGTCACTGGTGGAACCGGTGTGGGTGAGAAGGAGGGTGTTAAGGAACAGTAGGATTGAAGGGTGGCAAAAGGAAGAAGAGGCAGAGAAGTAGGAGAAGATCTGTGGGAATTTTGAAGAGGAGGGAAGAGTCAAAGGGTGAAGATCTGCTGAAGAGGGTCTGTTGGATCTAGCAATGAGGAGGTCCTTGGTGACCCTGGCAGGAGCAGTGTCAGCAGAGAGCTGCTGCTCAGGGAAATAAGCAAATGAGAAAAGAGGGGAGCAGTAAAGTGCTGGCAGCTTTTCCACCAAGTTTGGCCAGGGAAGGAAGACAAGAAAGGAAGACTGTAGCTGGAGGGGATGGCGGTGGAGATGGATGATCTGTTTGTAAAAAGCCAGAGACTCAGAGGATGCCCTTTCTGCGGGTGTTGGAACTAAACTGGCTTCCGGTATGGGGAAAGGAAAGTCCAGGTGGTGCCATCAGGCCCTAGACCCCCCCCCCAACCCCGCAGTCTGAAAGCCTTGCTTGAGGCAATTCGAAGTTTTCCATGGAGCCTAAGAGAGCTACTGTTGCTTGTGTAATAAATCACCATAAAACTTCATGAGCCAGGGGACTGCTGGGAAAGTTGTAGCCAATCTGAATTAATGAAAAGTCTGAATGACTAAACTCTGAAAGGAATGCAGCTTTTCTTTCTTTACTGAAAATACTCAGTAAATCCCACTTACCAGTGTTGCTAAATGTCAGTGACCGGATGTAAACTGTTAAAAGCAAATGGTACGATTAAAATGGTAGAAGTGGTATAAAACAATTACATGATTATGCCCAAGAGTCCCTTTGAGTCTTCTTACACTAGTTAGCCTCACTTTGAGTACCATGAAGACAAATTTAAGCACAATTTATGTCCAATTACACGTTTTTAAATTTAAGGTTCCAAATTAATGAGGTTCAAAGTACCTTTGATCAGAGTCTTGCAGCTATGTATCTACATTACTTCTGAACCACTTTTCATTTCCAAACACCCAACTGGCAATGCTTCTCTTTTCCCTTTCATGGTTAATCCCAGAATATAATGCTGCAATGGCAGGGAGATCAGTCCCTTTTCTGGTTGCCCAGGCCTGCAGCCCCAGGCCACAAAGCTCTGAGGACACTAGGAGATACACTAGGAGATACTTACGTTGATTTGAAGCCCAGAGGGTTATTTCAAGAGCCAGCTAGGTAGGAAAATGAAACCAACTGAAATGGTACAACGTCAGGCACCAGCAGTTGTGCAGCTTGCTTCAGTAAATCGTACTCTTAACTTCCCCACTGAAGAATCGCTCTGAACGTAGTCCGATCTCCATACCGTTTGAGTCCCGGGTAACAACGCTTGCAAAGGGAGAGAGGAAGATAGGAAAGGGAGATGAGTAAGGAACACAAGACCCGTTTTCATTTCGTTTACACTCTGTCCTGTTCTAGGGTCCTTCCATTTCCTTAGCAGAATATGTCTGCTGGAGAGTCAGTCACCAATTTTAGCTAAGTGAACTTGAGCCCAAGGGGAGCCTCCTGGGAGAACCCCTGCCTTCCCTTCCCAGCAGTGGCTGTAAGTAACTCAGCTTGTGTTCTTAATGGCAGCGTGGTCTGAGGATTTAAAAAAATCTTAAAGATTCAGTCCAGCTTCCTACACCATCTAGACATCTCATTTCCAACAGAGACACACATCCTGCCTCTGTCTAAATGATTCCAGAAAAGGGAGAACATTACCTCAAATGGCAACTGATCCCATTTTTTTAAAGTTCTCCCTTCTAGGGATCCCTGGGTGGCACAGTGGTTTGGCGCCTGTCTTTGGCCCAGGGCGCGATCCTGGAGACCCGGGATCGAATCCCACGTCGGGCTCCCGGTGCATGGAGCCTGCTTCTCCCTCTGCCTGTGTCTCTGCCTCTCTCTCTCTCTCTCTGTGACTGTCATAAATAAATTAAAAAAAAAAATTAAAAAAAAAAAGTTCTCCCTTCTATTAATCTGAAATCTGCCTTTTTTTTTTTTTTAAAGTAAGCTCTATACCCAACATAGGGCTCAGATTCATAGCCCTGAGATCAAGAGTTCACAGGCTCTGCCTACTGAGCCAGCCAGGCACCTCAAAGTCTGCTTTCTTGATGTTTCCACCCCGAAGTCTTTGAACCACATATGGGATAAATGTCCTGGTGGATATCACCAGTCCAGCATCCTGGCCACACCATCACTGCTGTCCTCTGAACAAGCTCCAATTGAAAATGCCCCTTGCAAAATATCCCTCAGAACAAAACGTGACACTCCAGATGTGGCTCAAATGTGCAGAACACACCAGGATGATTATTTTTATTCCTCTATGATTGAACTTTTGAAAATTCAGTCCTAGATTGCAGTAGATTTTTGGCAACCACATCTAGATTCTATTACCTCTCATTTAGCTTCAGTCAAACCCACTGGGGCTTTTTCACGGGAGGACTGCTATTAAATTCTATTGTTCCGTCCTGTATGCACATGTTTTTTTTTTTTTTTAACCCAAGTGCAGGATGTACTCAACCTCAAAGTTTAAACCACTATTTATTGATGATCCACTGTGCTCACGGCTCTCCATAGTAATTATTGACGCCTCCCAGAACCCCAGGAGGATGCTGTTCCCTCTGTCTTCCCCATGGCACAGTGAGCCTGAGAGGGAAGCTCCAGCCACCCCACTGATGATGGCATGACTCCAACCCTCATTTAAGTCTGGAGCCTTATGCTCTCAAGCACAGCACATGCTAGTTTTTAAAGATCTCTTTGAACCCTAATATCAACACCCATTTTATTTATAATCCTTCTCGGTTTGTGACAGCTGTAAGTTGAAACTGCCTGCTTGGTCTTTGCATGGTTTTCCAAACTTCGGTGGTGGATTGAGTACTCTATAGGCACATTTTCCAGCCTCTAGGGCACAGAACCAATTTTAGTGAGTCACAACCAGCATTGAAAAAAATGAAATAGAGTAGAAAAATACCCAAGTCCATCACACATAGTAAGAGCAGATTTTATTTCAGGAAACTCACTGCATGAGCATAGAACAGAGAAGTGTGTGGGTGCACGCATACTGGGTCTTGATGTAAATTGTTTTTATAACTGTGGTTCATGGTCTAAATAGTTTGAACACTACTGCTCTAAAGGAAAAATGTTTTTGAGTCATCTTAGATTGTTTTCATTATAATGCTGCAACTTAATTACGCACATAAATCTGTTTATCAACTCACTGATCTAGCTCCTATAAAATTAATTAACTACCAAAAAGCCAGTAAAAGTCACATCAGCAACCTCATTCTGGGAGATTGACACTTGATGGAACCCGTGTCACTACTGTCAGCATGAGGCATGGTAGACTTGACACCTCATGCTCCTTGAGTTTCCCATGCCTCTACCCTGCAGTGTCTAGTGCCAAGCAACACAGTCCTCCCACGCTTCTGAAGAGCTGTTCTCCTTCACTTTGCACAGATGTATCATGAATTAAATGTACAGAATTAAGTTGTCTTAATTAGCCCACGCAGTTAGATTGGTGCCACTTGGCAACAGTACAGCTGTAAACATACACACAGGCCCTGAAACAGGCAAAGCTTGGCAAAGCAACGGTCACCCAGTCAGTGTATGTTCATTTTGAAAGGATAACCATCACAATGTACATAAGAATAAAAACATGCTGGGCAGAAAAAGCATGAGCCTCCTTAGGAGAAGCTGCAGACCCTTGTCTTGGGAGCCACCCCTAGTTTGAGACAACCCTGATTGACCTTGCAGCAGCAAACCACTCAGGATGTGTGGATCTCCGCACTTTTAGGAGGAGGCACATTTGGCTTGGCCTCCAAACCATACTCTTCTGCCTGCATTTTTTTTCCCCTTCTTATTCATAAGGATATTATGAAAATTTCGGTCAGATGCCTTGTTGAAATAGAGTGTATACCCTTTCCTTGATATATCCATGCAAAACCTCATGAAAACAGCATGATTCAGTTTTTGCAACCCTGTGCCTTCTTCCTTAGGGTCATTGTTGTCTTCAGTAATTATAACGTGCCATTCAGTCTTGTTTCTAGGATTTTGCCAAGGATCAGTGTCTGTAATATTTCAAGATCTCCCTATACGATTTTGTCTAGAGCTGTGCTTTTGGCTTCTCACACAGTTTATTTCTCTGAAATAATAACCTTGTTTCTGTACTTCCCAAGAGCTACCTTCCAAAGGTTAAGGATGCGAGTCTCACTGCCTAGTGTCCTTTTCCTTAGTGATTTATGAACTACAAGATGGCATAGATTTCTTCCCCACCCGACCCCCAAATTCTCATGATTTCCATTTTACTTTAATTCTTTAAATCCGATTTAAGTTCAGAGTAGAGATTCCCTTCATTACTTCCTCAACGTTCCTTATTGTTCTTTCTTAAAAGGGGGGCGGGGCACAATAGGGTATATTCATTGTGGGAAAATGAGAAAATCCAGAAAAACAAGAAAAATTCTTGAAGTCAAGCAAAATTCTACTGCCAGGAGATAATAATGGGTCTTAACATTCCAGCATTTTCAAAGACATTTCCTGCTGTGTTCACATATAGAAATATATACACATTTAACAAAAATAGAATTTACTCTGTTTTCATTCTTCTCATTATATTCAGTCATTAGTTCTAGTCTTGGTGATGCCTTTGGGGCCATACCTGTTAGCCTATGTAAAGTCACTGAAAGTGGTTATCCACATGCTCAAGATCATTACCTGGGCTCTGGTACCTTTGTGGTGAAGGCTGAACATAAAGCACCTTAGATCTCCTTTCTCGTGGAGCAGGTGTGTCTTTGTCAGGGATCCTAGGAGAGAAGCGACTGTCAGCCTGGCATTTGGCTATAGAAGGAGTGAGCAAGGAGCTTGGGTTAGATCTAGAGGATTAACCAGAGGTGCAGGGCTGGGATGAGGGTGGCTCTCCTGCCCACCAAATAGGGATTCCATCAACCTAGTTAGAGTTAGCAGTACCCTGTAGAGATCCCTCCATTGGATGACTGAAGCTGGTCTCAGCAAAGTCTTGTGTCTTCCTGTTGTCCCAGGCTTTATGATGCCTGGAGACAAAACCAGCTGCCCTCCCAGCCCAGGATGGACAGATCGGAGGAGAGGAGAGAAGGCCACCCACCGAACAAGATGTAGGGTTGCTAACCTTGAGTGGGGAGGCATGAGGAAAGGTTAACCTCTTGGAGAAGCAAAGAGAGGCAAAAGGAGTACCTGAGGCCAATGGGCTTGGGTTCTGTTTGGGCCTCTTGTGACTTATTCAGTCTCTTTTCTTCCAGCAGATCCACAGACCAGCATGGCTGCCACTGCCGCTGTCAGCCCCAGCGACTACCTGCAGCCCGCCGCCCCCAGCACCCAGGTGAGTGGGCAGTGGGTTGGGGGGGGGGCAGTGCTGCATCAGCCTGGAGGCATTCTCTGAAACTGACATTAAACCACAGCAGAAAACTCTGTACCGGCTTCTCTGTAAACACCCTGGGACATGACCCCTGGGAAGATTCCGTGGTTCATTTTCTCTCAATGAAGAAGCCAGGGCCACTTACCTGAGGTGGCACAGTTGAGTTGGGGGAAAAGCAGGATTAAACTCCAGGTCCCTTCCACCAGACCCACTGACCATAAAAGGGAAATAGAGGCTGTGTCCCTACAGTCCAGAGGCTCTGTCCTTGTAGCCTCGAAAGAGCACCCTCCCCACTTTACCTGAGTGTTTATTCTTCCTCCCTCCCTTCCTTCCTCAGCTGAGGAATCAGGGGCCCCTCAGCCCTCGTGATGGGCCAATGGACTTCTGCCTAAAAGCTGAGAATGATTCTGTGACCCCCTGAGAAACATGGGTAGTGGGAAAGGTGTTTGTTCACCTTGTTATGGGGGCTTCTAGAGAGTTCCCCCCGAGAAAGGCACTGCCTACCCTTTCTCCCTCAGAGAAAGAGGAGACAGCAGGGAGAGGGAAGATGCTAGCACCCTGCCTACCACAGAGGTGCCAAAGAGCCTGCCAAGAGGAGGAGACCACGAAGGGCAGAGGGTGGCTGGGCAGCAGGTTCATGTCTCACTTTTCCTCCGCTCGTTCTCTCGCAGGATTCCCAGCCATCTCCTCTAGCCCTGCTTGCCGCAACATGTAGCAAAATTGGCCCTCCAGCTGTTGAAGCTGCGGTGACGCCGCCTGCTCCCCCCCAGCCCACACCACGGAAACTCGTCCCCATCAAACCTGCCCCTCTCCCTCTCAGTCCTGGCAAGAATAGCTTCGGAATCCTGTCCTCCAAAGGAAACATCCTTCAGATTCAGGGGTCACAACTGAGTGCATCCTATCCTGGGGGGCAGCTCGTGTTCGCTATTCAGAATCCCACTGTGATCAACAAAGGGACCCGATCAAATGCCAATATCCAGTACCAGGCGGTCCCTCAGATACAGGCGAGCAGTTCCCAGACCATCCAGGTACAGCCCAGTCTCACCAACCAGATCCAGATTATCCCTGGCACCAGCCAAGCCATCATCACCCCCTCACCATCCAGTCACAAGCCTGTCCCCATCAAGCCAGCCCCGGTCCAGAAGTCAAGTACGACTACCACCCCTGTGCAGAGTGGGGCCAACGTGGTGAAGCTGACGGGTGGGGGCGGCAATGTGACACTCACTCTGCCCGTCAACAACCTTGTGAACACCAGCGACTCTGGGGCCACCACTCAGCTCCTCACGGAGAGCCCCCCCACCCCTCTGTCTAAGACTAACAAGAAAGCCAGGAAGAAGAGTCTCCCTGCCTCCCAGCCCCCTGTGGCTGTGGCGGAGCAAGTGGAGACGGTGCTGATTGAGACCACCGCGGACAACATCATCCAGGCAGGAAACAACCTGCTCATTGTTCAGAGCCCTGGTGGGGGCCAGCCAGCTGTGGTCCAGCAGGTCCAGGTGGTGCCCCCTAAGGCCGAGCAGCAGCAGGTGGTACAGATCCCCCAGCAGGCTCTGCGGGTGGTGCAGGCGGCATCTGCTACCCTCCCCACCGTCCCCCAGAAGCCCTCCCAGAACTTTCAGATCCAGGCGGCTGAGCCGACGCCTACTCAGGTACCACACTCACCCTCTACACCCGCCTCCCTCTCCTTCGCACTGAATGGCTGACACTCTGTTCCCCCTGGCTTGCTTTAGAAGATGATACTGAGGCAGCTGCTGATTTGACCTGAGTGCTAGGAGTCAGCATCATCTGGGGTCAGTAGTAAGTGGCCATTTCTGCTGACATGTGGGCTCTCTTTGGTTCAGGTGGTTATGTACTGCTCATCCTTAGAAATCAGATAAGACATCCCTATATACCTATATTGTGGTCCACTTTTTCTTTTTGGAGAGTTTTTTGGAGGGTGGTTAGAGGACAGATACGTACTTTTTAATAATAAAGTTTATTTTTTACTATAGAATCACATACAGAAGCAAGAATGAAATCTCAGAACCATAGAATTTGATGTAAAGTGAGAAAATTCTGGTCATTGTTAATGGCAAGAAAAAAAGTAGGAAGACACAGCCCAGCTTGATGGCAGGAACACTTAGGCTAGATCCGTCTGGGATGTTAATAATTCAATAAGAATGTTATTTGGGGCTTATATTAAGGTGCCATACTACTCTGGAGTCTATTTGACTCTGTGAGGTGGTTTTATTCTTCGTGTATGCCTAGTAAATGCCAGAGATTATGCCAATGTTGCAGATGGAGAGCCTGGAACTCAGAGGAGTTAAGAAGTTTCCAAGAGCTCATGGGGCACAGGTGACATGGGGCAGGATTCAACCCAAATTTCTGACTTCAAACCCCATGCTCTTTTCTGCTTTTCACCTTGACTTGCTACGTCTTGGTATGGCAGGTGCTACAATTAAAATTGAGGACAAGGTGGTTGTTGTTTTTAAGGATCTTTTTTAATATAAGAAAGTAGTTCCTGCCATTGAGGAATTTATAATCCAGTTGTCTGGGGAGAGAGAACTGAGGCATCACAGTGAGTGACAGTAGGGAGTTGTGTTCTTTCCAGGTGGACAAGGAGTGCCTTTGAGATTGAGTTATGGACATGGAAGTCACACAGAAGGAAATCTGAAGCCTGCCCTGGAATCCTCCCTCCTTGGCATATCATGTATTGCCAAGTGATTTTCTTTAAGTTGTTTAATTTACTTACTAGAATACCTATCAGGTTCCATTACCAGACTTACCTTATAGATGAGGAACTGGGGGTGATAGCTGCTCAGGTGCACACATCCTTGGCAGAAACCTCCCCTCCCTTCCCTGAGGTCCCAATCTTGAGATTGATGGAGGCAGGGCTTAAACCCAGGTCTTCCTAAGGAAATAATCATACATATGCAGAAAGTTTTAGCTACAACATTATTTTTTAAAGGTGACATAGTTTTCCAATATCCTGAGGTGCTGTATATTACACAAATAATACTCTATTAACTGTAAATGTAGGCAGTTTACAATCTTATAGCTAAATAAATTCCTAAAAGTGGGGCAAAGGATATGCACATCCCTCCCCTCCCCACAAAGGTATTCTATTCACTGTCAGAGATGGGCAGTCCACAGCCTGAGGTCAAATCTCACCCGCCCTTCTGTTTTTGTAAATAAAGTTGAAGTTGAATTAGAATACAGACATTGGAATGCTCACGTGTGCTGCATTTGCACTACAAGGCAGAGACCTCATCAGTGACCTGCAGTTTAAAACATTTACTATCTGCCTTTACAGAAGAAGTTTGCTGACCCCTGCTCTATATTAGGAACACAAAATGTTCCAGTAACAGAAATTTCAGGTACACAGGAAATAGTAATATGCAAAAGGAGCATGGTGAGATTTGTTTCTTCATTAAGAGATGAAAGGAGGCTTATTTCTTTGCTTTTAACTGAGAAACACGGCCCCAAATAGCCCAGGAATTAAAAATAAACCTAATCAAAATCACAGGAGGATTTTTTTTTTTTTTTTACACAAATAACTTTTTGCTCCTGGATCATTTGAGTGTAAGCTGCCACCATAGTCCCTGCTTCCAAATGTTTTATAGAAAGTGTCTCATTATTACCTGCAAGGAAATTCTGCATAATAATATAACCATCAAGCCTAGGAAATTGGCAATGAAACATGCTAATATAATATCTTTCATTCCCCGATCTTTACTTGATGTTCATGACCTTGACACTTTCGAAGGCTTCAGGCCAATTATTTGGAGAATGTTCCTCACTTTAGGTTTGTGTGATGTTTCCTCATAATATGCGGATTGTGCTTTTCTTTTTTTCGTAGAAATATCACAGGTGTGATGCTGGGTTCATTCTCACTGTATCCTAAAAGGGGTGTGTCATTTCAATTTGTCTCAGTGTTGATGGTGATTAAAGTGATGTTCACCAGATTTCTGCACCTTGTTTTCTGTGTAACAAGTTAGTATTTTGTAGGGAGATACTTTGAGATTATGTAAATATCCCATTCCTCATCAGACTTTTCCCTCCACTTTTTTTACTAAAGAGATTTTCTTAAAGCTAATGTTTCATTCATTCGTTCATTCATTTATAGATTTTATTTATTCATGAGAGATACACAGAGAGAGAGAGAGAGAGGCAGAGACATAGGCACAGACAGAAAGAAGCAGGTTCTCCATAAGGAGCCCGAAGCGGGACTCAATCCCAGATCCCAAGATCACAGCCTAAACCGAAGGCAGATGCCCAACCACGGAGCCACCCAGGCGTTCCTAATGTTTCATTTTAAAAGAACTTTATATTCACAGAAAGGTTGCAAAGGTAGTACAGATGGTGTCTGTTTCCCTCCATCCTCTCCCTTGATTTTCCCCTTTGTGAAACATTGTACATTACTGGCTAAGTTTGTCAAAACAAAGAAACTGAAATTGGCACATTTGGAAGTCACCAGGTTTTCCATTTATGCCCTTTTTCTGTTCCAAGATCCAGTCCACATACTATGTTGCACTTAGTGGGCATGTCTCCCCAGGCCCGTCAGGGGACAGCTTCTTGGTCCTTGTTTTCCACGATCTTGGCAGTCATAAGGTATATTGGTCAAGTATCCTACAGGATGTCCCCAACTCTGGGGTTAAGGGCTTTTGGAAAGAATACAGAGGTCAAAATGGCCCTCTCGTGTTATATGAGGAATACGTGATGTCCATAGGACATTTTGGCGGTCATGATGTTAACCTATATCTCTGGTTAAGACCGTGTTTGCCAGGTCTCTTCATTGTAAGTTGCTACTCTTACCTTTCTCTGTTCTTTGGAAGGGAGCTGCTATATTTCTCATCTTCAGGGGTGGAAATTACGGTCTACATCTTGGATGAGAAAGTATCTACGTAATATTATTTGGAATTCTTTTTTTTTAATTTTTTATTTATTTATGACAGTCAGAGAGAGAGAGAGAGAGAGAGAGAGAGAGGCAGAGACACAGGCAGAGGGAGAAGCAGGCTCCATGCACCGGGAGCCTGACGTGGGATTCCATCCTGGGTCTCCAGGATTCCGCCCCGGGCCAAAGACAGGCGCCAAACCACTGCTCCACCCAGGGATCCCTATTTGGAATTCTTCTAGAAGGAAAACCTTTTTCTTCTTTGTTCAGTTTACTTATTCTATCATTTATCCCAATAAGGGCTGATGTATATTTATCTTATACTTTGGGTTATAATCCAGGATCATGTTACTTATTTTGTTGCTCACATTGTTCCAGCTTTGGCCGTTTGAAGCTCCATGAGTTCAAGGATACATACTTCCTTGAGTATATACCCCCTGGCATACTCCCACCTCCCCCACCCCCCAACTTTGAGATATTCACATACTGTGAAATTTACTCTCTTAAAGTGTACAACTCAGTGAGTTTTAGTATATTCACCGAGCTGTACACCCATCCCTATGGTCTAATTTGAGAACATTTCCATCACCCCGAAAGAGACCTTTAGTAGTCCCTCTTCATGTCCCCTTTCCCCCAACCTGCCCTGGCAGCCACAAATCCATTTTGTTTCTGTGGATTTGCCTGTTCTGGACATTTAATTTAAATGTAATCTTACAACAGGTGATCTTTTGCAGCTGACTTCTTTCACTTAGTAATAACGGTTTCAAAGTTCATCCATGTTGTAGCAGATGTCAATGCTTTTTTTCTGTGTATTTCTTAGCTACAGCCCTGGGATCGACCGTTCTTCTCATTGGAGAGTATGTAACAGGTGTTTAGTTCTGCCATTCTTTTCTCCATTTGTTTATTTATGTCAATAAGGACTATTAGGTTCCCATTTTCTTCAGTGGGTTATAATCCATTAGTATTAATGTTTTTTATGTTCAGGTTATCCCCCTTTGGACAGGGGGAGCTGCCCCACACACACACACACACAAACAGGCTCCTGTGCCCTTTTCCTACATTATCCGCGTTCCTTGCGTACCTTCTTACTTTCTGGTACCACAGGTGTTCCACGCTCTACTTGTACTTTCCCTGCCCCCAAACTTGGAATCAGCTCTTTTTCTCTAAGGAGCTCTGGTTCCTTTTAGTTGAGCATGATATTTAGAAGCAAAGACCAGGGTGCTAGGTAAGCTCAGTGGCCCGGGAGTGTTGCTCCCAGCGCTTCTCAGTAGACACAGCCAAGAACCATATATATATATACACACATACATATGTACACATACATAATGGCTGAATAGATAGAAATGGATATAGACACACACATACACCTACATATATATACACATTTATATCTATGTTCCTCTCTTTATAGCGAAACCCCAGAGTTTCCACCAATGTCTGATTCCTGTCCAGTGCCACGCACTTCATTCTAGCTTCTCCGTCTCTGTATTTGTAACTCTCTTGTGGGAATCCTCACTTCCTTTAGCCTTAACATTTTCCTTTCTGGATCTCAGTTCTCCCATGTGGACACACTCCTCAGCCTGCTGGGGTGGGGACAGCCGTGCCTAGCCACTGTCCTCACTGCTCCACAGATGCCCTCCTCATCCCACTCAGGCTCCAGCATGCATATCTTTAAGACTTTTTTTTTTTTTATCTTTAAGACTTCTGAGACACATTCCCAAATTTCCCTCCAAATTTCCCCCCAGACCACCTACACTCCTCTTAATGTGAGTGCCTGTTTCCCTGCTGTCTCACCAGCAGTGAGCATTATATTTTATTTTTCCATCTTTGCCAATCTGAGGCAGAGGACTCCTTGATCATGCCTCCTAAGAGCTGTTTTCATTTGTTTGGTGGTCATTCATGGTGCATCTTCTGTGACGTCACCATTTAGTTGCCTTCTAATTCTGAGGGCTGGTGTTATATTTTTCTGCATTAAGTAAATCCAGTGTTTGGTTTCCAGTCAACAATCAGCATTTGCCACCTTAGTACAGGAATGCCATTGGCAGTGTGTGAATATAGGTCTGGGCCAGTTGGAGAAGACGTGGTGGATCAGAAAGCATCCCCCCAAAAACTTCTCACTTGGGCAGTGAGGGTGGTGACACTACATTCAAACATGTGCAGGGGTGGGGGGTAGTAGTGAGTATCCCAGTCTCTCCTGGGACACTGACCTTTTTTCTCTGACCCTTCCCAGGTCTACATCCGTACGCCTTCAGGTGAGGTGCAGACGGTCCTCGTCCAGGACAGCCCCCCGACAACAGCTGCAGCCACCTCTACCACCACCTGTAGCAGCCCTGCGTCCCGTGTTCCCCATCTGAGCGGGACCAGCAAAAAACACTCGGCCGCAATTCTCCGGAAAGAGCGCCCCCTGCCAAAGATCGCCCCCGCTGGAAGCATCATCAGTCTGAATGCTGCCCAGCTGGCAGCAGCGGCCCAGGCCATGCAGACCATCAACATCAACGGTGTTCAGGTCCAGGGTGTGCCTGTCACCATCACCAACACCGGCGGTGAGGGAGGGCCCCTCGGCCAGGGTATGGGCAGCAAGCCTGTTTGCCCTACCCAAGGGAACTATGGGCCAGCCTGGGATTTCCAGTAACCACAGCGAGGATAACTGCTCATCATTTGCCTGATCCCTTCTAGCTTAAGAGTATGTCCACTTAGTCCTTACAGTCGCCCTACGAGATCGTTTAAGACCTATGTTGGCCCCACCTGACAGCCAAAGATCTTGAGTAAGTTGGAGAAGTAAGATGTACTCAGGAAAACTCTCCAACTAATATACACATGCAAATTAGTCTGGGACAGACCAAAGAGCTGTTCAAGGGAGGTTCCAGTAAAGGGACTTGAAAATAAGGCTTTTAGAAGGAGACAGCCTTGAGTTAAGGTGGGAAGGAGAGGAGGGGCCTGTGGCAGAAGGAATGGCTGGTCCTGCACTCAGTTCAGCGCTAATATTTGGTAGCATTTAGTGCACGAAAGTGCCTTGCACCAAATCAAAGGAATATTGTAGCCACCTAGCAAAAATGGTTCCTTGCGTTTCAGCTGGGTGTTCTTTAACTGGGTGAAGAGCACTTTTCAAGGTAGTGGGAGCCCTCTGAATCTCCTCTCTTCATTCTTAAATGAGTTTATGGCACTTATGCATCATGCATTTGGTTTAAGGGCATGGGATGAATCCATTCAGAGAGACAGTGTTGGGTCAGTGACACTGCCCCTGCTTCAGAATAGCTTTATGTAAGTCATAGAGGACTTGGTTTTGTCCTGTTTTCTCACTCTTAGTACCAAAAATCCCTGGAGACCTTCCTGATAGCAGAGTTGGTATCTCACGAGGGCCTCAGGTTGGAAGAGTTTCCAAAGAAATACTCCAAGACAAGCCAAGACAGGAGCCTTCCCCACTGAGGTCACATGGGCAGTGTCCTGACTCAGGACCCTGAGTGTGACATTGACTGCCTGGGTTCAAATCCAGGTCCTACCATCGATTAGCTGTGACCTTGACATACGTTGTTGGGCCTCAGGTTCCTCAAGGGTAAAAGTGGGAAAATAGTATCTGATTCACAGAGTTATGAAGGCTAAGCAAGTTAAGACATCTGAAGCCTCAGAAAGGGTATCCGGCTCCCACACCCTCAACTGTGCCCTCCTCTGGCCCACAGGGCAGCAGCAGCTGACAGTGCAGAATGTCTCGGGAAACAACCTGACCATCAGTGGGCTGAGCCCCACCCAGATCCAGCTGCAGATGGAGCAGGCCCTGGCTGGAGAGGCCCAGCCTGGGGAGAAGCGGCGCCGCATGGCCTGCACATGTCCCAACTGCAAGGATGGGGACAAGAGGTAATGGGGGGTGAGGGGGAGGGCCCAGCCCACCAGCCTGGCATGTGCCCTGTTGCCCCAGCCCTTCTCTGGAACACAGACAGGAAGGGGATGAGGTAGCAGCTCCCTACCACCTGTCCTCCTCACTTTTTCCTGTCCCCTCTGACCTGTCCTCGAGTCCTCTCTCCATCCTGCCCTGCCTCGCATTTTCTACCTCCTCCCTTTCTCGGCTTCCCATTCCCAGGTCTGGAGAGCAGGGCAAGAAGAAACACGTGTGCCACATTCCTGACTGCGGCAAGACTTTCCGGAAGACATCCTTGCTGCGGGCCCATGTGCGCCTGCACACCGGCGAGCGGCCCTTTGTCTGTAACTGGTTCTTCTGTGGAAAGAGGTTCACCCGGAGCGACGAGCTCCAGCGGCACGCCCGCACCCACACAGGTCTGTTGGCCTTCCCCCGCAGCATCCGCCTCCCCGGCCCTGCCATGACGGAGCTACCACACTGAGCGGGAGCTACACACCATTCTCAGGGGGTCCAGGACTACCCAGCAAATTCTTTCAAGCCAGCCCTTTAGTGCAGTGCTTTCTGAAGGGATGGCATTTACCTGCCATAGCCTTCATGACTTCTGCCCTAGCCAAAACCAAGTCCTCTATGACTTACATAAAGCTATTCTCCAAGAAGCCCTGACGTAGAGTGCCGGGCACTACACCATGTGTTCTAGCCATGAGCTAATTTAATCCTCGGAACGACATTGTGGGGAGGGCTCTTGGTGGTGCCCATTTTATCAAGGCATGGAGAGGGGGCTGGGTCACCCAGCTGGTGACTGGTGGAACTGGGTTCAACCCTGGGTCCTCTGGTTCCCAGGTCCACACTCTTAATCACACTTTCCCACATCGCCTTTCCTCCTAGTGTTTACCAACTGACTTTCCTCACATCATTTCACTCTTTTCACTCATTTGTGTCCAGTGCCATGTGTTTGATCCCGCAGGCATGATATCAGAGTTACAGGTTTTAATGCACTGGCAAATAAATACAGAACTCTAGATAGAAAAATGTTTGTCCATCTACCATCTAACACTGCTGCGGGTTTCTCCCTCGGGCCACAGCACACGCTTTGAGAACTGCTGCTAGAGCAAGAGGGCCTCTGTGAGCAGACCCTTATCCTGGGACAAGGATGGGGCTGGTGGGGGCCAGATTGCAACCTCCCCCTCAGGGGCTAAAGAGTAACTACTCAGAACGGCAGCTGGCAGGTCTGCCAGGAAGGGGCTTTCCTAGGATGGGGAAGACGTGGAGCCAGGGTTAGTAATAGGGACAGAGATAGGAAGGAAGCAGGTGACAGCCCTACATGGGAAGAGCCCTGGTTGCAGGTACTGGGCACGAGTAGGGCTTTTCAGGCAAGGGACAGGGTAGACTGGGAAGTGACGCCACATGGGGGTGTGGAGAAAGGAGAACCGCCAGAGGCTCTAGGTGAGACCACAGGGAGCAAATGCCTGATCAGATGGGCAGGACAGGATGACAATGATGTGCATCTTGTCTTTCAGGGGACAAACGCTTCGAATGTGCCCAGTGTCAGAAGCGCTTCATGAGGAGTGACCATCTCACCAAGCATTACAAGACCCACCTGGTCACGAAGAACTTGTAAGGCCAACTGAGGCGGGTGGCCCCGAAGATACAGTCCCCTGTCTGTGTCCTGCCTGGGCCCCTGGTGGAAAGGAGCCCCCTCTCCTTCCCCTGCCCGGACTGCCCTGGGCCACTCTCCGCCCCTCCCTTCTGTTCTGCGACTGTCCCCACAGGAAGGGGCTCTGCTGCCCCGCACTGGCCTCTTCCTCCAGCCCCTTGGCTCCACCCTGGCCCTTCCCTCTCACCTCGAGCTCCCGGCCTGCCCAGACCATGGACATTGGCCGCGCCCAATGAGACGTTCTAAACCAGGACGAGTGGGAACCCTTATTTCCAAAGGAAAAACATGAATTTCACTCCGTCGAGGAGCAAAGTGAGCCCCCCTCAGTCTTCTCCCCCCCAACACTGCCGGAGTTGCATCGTGCCATGTCTTTCTCTCCCCTGCCCCTCCCAGGCCCCGCCAGCCACCTCGGCCACCCTGGGCCCCTGCGCCCAGGGTGCCATTGGCATCCACTTCCGGAGAGGCTCACGGGGCTGCCTCCACTCCACATGCCCAGCCCTGCCACAGCTCTCCTCCAGCACATTCCAACTTTCTATTTAAAAAGTCAAGCTCCCCACTGATGCCCTCTTTTTCTATGGAGAACGTTGCCTTATATTCTACTTCAGATGATGAACACTGTGTATTGTGTGTGCTTTACGGTTTTATTTAATTGCTCCCTTCCTGTCCTCGTTACTCACCTCCCCCACACCTGCTTCAGTTTAGGGTTTGGGGGGCAGTGATGAGCATATGGATTTTTTTTTCTCACTCTAGCAATTCTCTTTTCTCAATGACACAGCATTTCACTCGAATCTGGATTCAGATAAAAACGCCTTCACCTCTTGATCCTCTTCCCTCTCCCCCTCATCCCACCCCAGCTGGCCCCAGCCCTACTTGTGTACAGTGTATATTGTATAATAGACGATTGTGTCTACTACATGTTTAAAAACATATTGCTTGTTATTTTTGAGGCTTTTAAATTAAACAAAAATCCAACTTTATTTTTAGTTGTAACTGCTTGAGGTATGTTTTATGAATTAAGTGACAGATTTGTTATCCTTTATTAACGATGTACTTTGTTGGTCAGCAGTGGGCTGACAAAAATTTTTTCTTGCTAATAAATTTAGTTGCCTGAGGCAAATCTGCAACCGGCAGTGCAGCTTTTATCTTTTACCTGGGAGAACTTGGAGAGGAGGACTCCGGAAGAGGGAGCCCTGGCCTCTCCCAGCAATCCACATGGGGACCAAGGCAGGACCTTGCCCTCCTGGCCTCAGCCCAAAAAGGGCAGCAGCCACACAGACCTCCTGGTGTTGGCACAAGCCCCCAGAGCACCAGGATGGGACCTCCGGCCAGGGCCTAGCATGGGTGTTCCTGCTTCTCTGAGCCAGTTTTGCTGGCGCACACTCTGCCTGCAGACTCAGGTCACAACGATGCCTTCCTTCCAAGCGAGTGAGTCCCTCTGCTCAACTCCCCAGTCCCTGGATGAAGGCTTTGGCCTGAGAACCTGTTTGTAAGAACTATAGGGAAGAGAGCCAGAGGGACCTTGGCTTAGTCACCTCCCAGAGGCTAGAGTCTGGAGAAAAAGTAGTTCCCTAAGGCCAATATACTTTCCCAGGGTAGAGGGCTGGGATCCCAGTCACAGATTTCTGTTTTCCTTTTGTCCCCCATCCCGACATTCCAGAGAGGGTAGCACAAGCTCTGAAACTTTGGTGGGTATCTTGGAGCAGCAGGCAGAGCTATGAGGAGGATGTCAGTGCATGTGTTCAAACCCAGCTGGGGGCCAGAAGAACATCTGCTGAAGGGAGAGGTGAGTCACACACAGAACAGTATGTGCCTCTTCACCTCAAGGGGCCACCGCCAGGGTTGCTCATCTGTGCAGGAGTGGCGAGGCCTGGTTTTGCACTCTATGCTCCCTCTGTTTCCTTTGTAACTGGCAGCCTGCATCTGCAAGCAAACAGCTTTTCCTCAGAGCCAGCCCACAACCTTGCATCTAAAGAAATAAAAAGGATATGATCTCAGACAGATCACAGGTCCTCTATCCCTGATCTCTACACATAAGCCCTTTGAGTGAAACCAGACCAACAGCTGCATCTACCCTGGCACAGAAGCCTCTTGACCAGCTTCCATCAATCCTCTATCTCATCGCTGCCCTAGCAGGGGGAAGATGAGAGGCGTGTTCCTCCTCCCTTCTTCCAATGTAGGTTACGAGACTGGAAAAATGTCTTCGCTGTGTTCTGAATGGAGATTGGTGGAGAGAAGGAGAATGTCAACACATTGAGCAATTTCTGCCACACACACACACCGCCTCCTCCCCCCTTAGCTTTGCTCTGCGGCACAAAGAATGATCCTTTCCTGAGAGCTGATTCCAAGTCATGTGATTTATGCTTCAGGTGTGGGAACTGACCCAACCTTTGGTAATGAGGGTGCCAGCCCCCAGCACGCAGGCTCAAAAGCCAGGGCTGACTAGCTCTGCCTCCCATGGGGTGCCTAAGTCAGGCAGCGGGAGAGGACATTCTGCCTGCTGTGGGTGATGGCATGGGCAAAGAATACAGAGGCTTGGTGGCAAGCTAGGCCCTCATCTGCCTTAATCCAGCCCTCGTTCACTGGAGAGTTGCTGGGGGTGGAGGCTGTTGATGGTGTCATGCGGCCCCAGATCACCCAAGGCCACAGGCCTCCTGGGGTACCTGGTAGGCCCTGGTTGAAAATCTGGGAGCAGCGCATCCCCTCACTGCACCCTCCTGTCTGCTCAGTGATGCTCAACACTGTAGCTCTTTGGCCCCAGACACTAGGATTACAACCCAGAAGGAAAGGGGCCTGGGTCCATCGTTTCTGAGATCCTCCCTTCTGAAGGCAAGTCCAGGCAAAATGCCTTTAAAAAAAAACAAGCAAAAACTAAGCCAGCAGATAGAGGTCAGAGTTCCTTCAAATTCCTTGGTCCATCTTTACAATCACCTCTGAGAGCCCTGTGAGGCCCCACACTTAAGTCTGACCATAGCCTCTCAGCTCCCTGGACCCATCAGGGGCTCATGGCTGATGGAAATTGGCTGAGCTTTACATGGTGATGGATTCCAGGGACCCTCACTTGGTGATTCACTGTTTTGGGAGACCTCTAGTGATCTGGCCAAGGTCTTTAGCGTTGGGAAAAAGTCACTAAAGGGATTGCAGTCTTATTGGGACTGGTGGCAGCTAGCTGGATTGCCTAGTCAAAGAGTGGAAGAGAAAGAGGAAGAGGCAAGAAGTGAGCCTGAAAAGATGGACTATAGGACGGGGGTGGGGGGAAAGAAAGCAAACCAGGGCGGGTTAGGGCAGAGAATCAAGGCTGGAGGAAGAGTCTAACACTTGCTCATCGCAGTCCCGGGTGAGAGGAAATGAGAAGTGGCCATGGGACAGGCCAAAACCAAGGACCAACCAGGATTTCTCAAAGAAAACTAAGAAGCCACCAGGTCATATTCCTAGGGTCCTGCCTGGGAACCCACCATCAGGCCCCCTCCCTCTGCCTGTGGCCCCAATTACCGAGGCAGCCAGGGCTGGGACTGAGACCGATGCCCTAATACCTCACTCACCCTGGAAAGCTTAACATCCCTCCAGGTTGCAGAAACACTCGGCCCTACCCCCACCAGGCCCCAAGGCCTACTCACCATGGCTGGCACCCAGGTACAAAGAAGCTTAATGAAGGCAGTTTATGCATAAACATTACAGAAGAGCATTCCCTGGCTGGGATTTTGAGAAGGAGCCAGAGACAGTAAGGGATGTGCCCCCTCCGTTGAAGGCACTTCTAATGAAGGCTGGGGCTGAAAACAAAAGGACACATTTGGGAAATGATCTGTGAGCACACACAAGGGTCATGAGAGGGATTAACAACAAAACCACAGGCAGGCCACCCAGGGAAGGGTCAGCCTCCTCCATATCCCACTGCAAGCCTTTGAGGACCGGCTCCCATCTGGGCCTCCCAATAACCATACTCTCAGGGCTCAGGTAGCTACTGGCAGAGCACCAAGTACCCACTCCTCTGTGTGTCCTGGGTGTACCCCAGGCTGGGCTCAAGAGTGCCTGAGCTTCAGGCCCCCAGCACACCTCCTCTGGCCTGCCACCGGCCTCCTGGGAGGCTGCATTTCACTAGCATCCTTACCATCTTCCTGGGCCTCTCCCCTCTCCCCATCCTCCTTAATTCTCCCAGGCCCTCTTCTCATTCTCATCCTCCCCCATGGCCTCAGGGGCTCGTGACCCTTAGCCCAGTCTCAACAGCCTAGACCTCTCCCCTAAGCCCCAGATGTGATTATCAAACCTGGCCAAACATGTGTGTCCTATAAACCCTCATACTGAACAGGTCTGATCGGCCTCATCTTCCCCCCAAACCTCCTCCTTCACCATGCCCCTCTTCAACAAACAGTGCCACCCACATCACCCAAAGTTATCCCGGTGAGTGGCTCCCTTCACCTCCAGCCCCATCCTAGACTCCGGCTCCAGGCTCCTGGCTCCCAGCTTCTGCCCTGACTCCCAACGTCTCCCTGCCCCTGCCTTGCCCTCCCTTACCCACCAGCCACTCGGTCACCAGATCTAAGTCCCCAAATACAGTCATTAAGATTCAAGTGAAATATAGAACACAACCAAACAATCAGACGAAAAGGTGACTTAAGAACATAAATGCAAAAACATGGGAAGAAGACAGGCAAGGCACAGTCCCTAAACCCACATGCAGCTCTTTTGCTTCATACTGAGAAACCGGTATGCCTCTTCTGTACAGTAAAGTATTACAACACATTTTCTATTCACTTAAGGCTCTCTTTCAAGAAGATTAATAATTTTACAAAGTTGGGGATGGGAGGAGGGTGGCAAAGTGTTTAAAAAAAAGCAGTTAACAATAAAACATTCATTTCTCCCACGCAGACAAAACCCCTGCTGGGATTTTAGCAGTAGCAGCAAGGCCGGCCCCTCTCTCCTTTGCGCTGCAGGGCTGCTTTGTGATCCAGACACCGAATCCCACTAGGCAGAAAAGCACAACACAAGCCTACTTATTATTTTCAAAGCAGAAGGGAAAATCTTAAAAGGCAACGAATTGCTTCCTTGCTAATCACCGAGGATGCGAGAGGCTGTTGGAATCTAGTGCCTTTTCTCTTCATCCAGTCTTAAAGAACAGCAAGGATTAAAAAAAAAAAAAAAGAAGGAAAAGAAAATGTTGTCTAAAAGCCTGGCCCTAAAAAAAAAAAAAGGATCCCTGGGTGGCTCAGCGGTTTGGTGCCTGCCTTCGGCCCAGGTGTGGTCCTGGAGTTCTAGGATCGAGTCCCACATCAGGCTCCCTGCATGGAGCCTGCTTCTCCCTCTGCCTGTGTCTCTACCTCTCTCTCTCTCTCTCTCTCTCTGTGTGTGTATGTGTCTCATGAATAAATAAATAAAATCTTTTTAAAAGATTTAAAAAATAAATAAATAAAAGCCCGGCCCTTTCCACCTGTCCGATCATCAGTCCTCCCTACTAGTCTGGCCTGCTCCTCACCGTCTTGCTCTGGGAGAATCACACTGTTTTCCCCAATTTCCCTAACACGCTCTGCCTTTCCGCACACTGTCCCCTCTTCCTGGCATGCCCGGTCCATTGTCTGTCTGGAGAACACTTAGTCAACAAGACAAATCAAATGCCTGCCCTTTACGAAGACTTTCGGACTGTCTGACCCCTGCAGACAAGTCTCTTTTCTGCTCCGCTTTTCCTCATGAAGTATCTGCTAAAGGACCTGTAACTCATTAGCCCTCAGATCTGTTTCTCCTATTGGGGAGACTACAAACCCCTTGTGGGCAGGAAGCATCTCACTCTCTTCATCTTAGTATTCTCAGACCTAGCTCAGCGCCTGGTCCAAAAGAAGCCTTTAACAAATGTCTATGGAATGAATAAATATCTATCCTGAGCTCTTGGCTTTTAAGCAAACCATTCAAATGATCCAGTCTTGATGCCCTAGTATCCCAGGTCCAGAGCAGCACAGCCCAGGAGTGCCAATAGTGTGGCCCCATGAACAAAATCATCTGTGTTAAATGGCATTAATTATGCATACACAGGTTCAAGTGCAGGGGCCTGGGAGGAGCTGAGAACAGCAGTGTTCACATGTGGAAAGACAACCTCAACAGGAAAGTATAGTTCAGTCAACTCTCAGTCATGTTGATGGAAGAAAACCATGTAGCAAAAAAAAAAAAAAAAGTCCAACCAGTGGAGAATCCACAGATCAACATCATTAAGCCTTGAGATATGTATTATTTCATTGCAGCAAATTGGGTCTTCCAGATTCCATTTGGCTCAAGCCACATCCATATAATAAAAGATGATAGGTTATTTAATGTAGGGCTTTATGAAGCTTAACACCTGGTAATGCAGACACCTGGATAGGGCAGGAAGTTCCCCTTACCTGGCACAGTCCTGGGGTGCCTGCCTAGATGGCTCCTGCAGCTCCCCTTCCTGATGTTGGTGGAAACCTGGACTACAGAGAGGACTTGACCCAAGGCTGCCCCAGCCAGGTCAAAGCCAGAATGGGCCCATGAGGTTTTCCATGTCTCAGCCCTTTTGGTCCACAGCCTGGAAATGGCTTTGCACAGTCACCTGCTCCCCCGTGCCCCAGCTATGGCTGGCATTCCCTAGGAACTAGACTCCAACTACCTAGGAAAGACAAAATGTGAAGAAGTGGAAAACCCTGCAAAGATGAGGAAGGTCCAGGAGCAGGAGGGGCAGCGGCAACGTTTCCATCTACCAGAACACTGCCTGGTGTGAACTCCCACTGCTCCAGTAAAGGAGAAATCATGAGCAAAGGGAGCAGCATGCTCTGACCTGGGATTAAAGAAATGAGGCAGAGAGAGAGTTCAGAGCTGGAAGGAAGATGGCTCTGGTCTGGGATGGCTTGATCCCAAGTTTCCCTTCCCCCGCTTTCCATTCAGCAATCTTCCTTCCCATCCCACAGTCTCTTCCTCACTCCACCGCGTTCTCCCCGCACTCCAGAGGACCCCACACCCCCCTCCACCCGCACCCTCATGCACCCTCCACAGGACCTATCCTGTGTGATCCACAACTCGCCTCAACCTCTCCCACTCTCCAGCCCCGATTTCTTCCCTCAACCAGAAACCGCCCCTCCTCTGTGTCTCCCATCACCTCGTCTGAGTCTGGCCCCTAATTCTGGTTTTCCATTTGTCCTTTCCCAGGCATCCCCCTCTCCCCGCGCCCGCCCCCAGCTTCCCCCGAGGGGGGGTCCTTCCTGCACTAGCCTCGCCTCTAGGCACCTGCTGGGGGCCAGCCACTCCCCACCGACCGCTCTCTGCCAGCTCCCGGGGACTCATTCCCCGCCCCCACCCCGGGCGGCTGCGTGCCCTATACCTTTAACAAACCTCCACGTGCGTGCTAACGGCGGTGACAGCATTTCCTTGTCTCTCTGCTCCCGCCCCCGGAGGCGCCGCCCATTGGCCGCTGGGTTCCTCTGTTCTCGCTCTTATTGGCCACGCTCCCGGACAGCGCCAACCAATGGCCTCTCCGCGCCTGTCTCCCTCCTCCGGCCCTGAGCTCCCATTGGCTCCGAGGACTTAGGACCTGTTAGCAGGGCCTGGCGACGGGCGAATTCTTCAGTCCCCCGGGTAAACTCCCGAGCTGAGAAATTGGTTCCGAACCCAACGGAACCCAGCGCTGGGCGACGCCGGGTCACGTGACTGGCAGCCTCATGACGTGCGGGCTGCGAGGCGTCACCGTGACGTTTGGGCGACCTACCGGGTGGCCCCGCTACCTCCACCACCTGTGCGGTGGCGGTGTCGTCATGGACCTGGGCCCGATGCGGAAGAGCTACCGCGGGGACCGAGAGGTGCGGCGGCCGCGGGGGCAGCCCCCCCGCAGGGAGGGGAGGAACCCCACGGGGTGGGTTTGAGGGTCACCCCCATAGGACGAGGAGGGTCACAGACAAGCAGCGGGGGGAAGCGGGTCTCTGGGGAAACGAGGATGCGAAGAGGCAGCGGGTCGCGGTGGGCGAGAGCGCGAGCGCTGGGCCGCGACCCTGCCACCCGCGGGGCGGGCGCATCACTTCGGGCAATCACTGAGCCTCCCTGGGCCTCAGTTTCCTCACCTGGGGAGTAAGTGCCTAACTCTCAGGGCCGTTTGGACTTTGATATTTGGAGAGCGCTTGCAGCAGTGACCATCAGCTTCTAAATATTTGATAAGTAACCCATGGGGGAGGGGTATGACTCACAGAGGGCGGGGAGGAGAAAGCTCCTAGGTCTCACTGCCTTCAGCCCCTTCCCTTCGCCTTTGGAGGAGTTCTTTCCCTTTTCCCTGCTCCGAGGAGGGCCCAACAGAACAGAGCCGCAGTTTCTAGATCTCGTTGTGTGTGAGCATTTCCAGAAGTCCTTGCTAAACATGCAGTTTTTCATTAAACCTCACACCTACTGAGAATTTGTGGGTGTTGAGCCCACAAATATGGATTTTATTTATTTATTTATTTATTTATTTATTTATTTATTTATTTATTTATTTATTTATAAATGCTCTCCAGGTGATAGGTTTGACACGCATGAGATGAAACCCTGATTCATCCGTCGCTACTGTGGGACTTGGCGAGTTATGCCACGTTTTTATGCCTCTGTCCTCACCTATAAAATACAGCTAGCAGAACCTACTTCCTGGGTACTGTTTTTTGTTAGGAAAAGTTCCTGGAACAATACCATGTGTGCAGTGAGAATTGTATGTATTTGTTAAATAAAACTCTCCTTCCCCAGGCGTTTGAGGAGACTCAGCTGACCTCCCTGGACCCCATGAAGCAGTTTGCTACCTGGTTTGAGGAGGCTGTTCAGTGTCCTGACATAGGGGAAGCCAATGCCATGTGTCTGGCTACCTGCACCAGGTGGGCATAGTGTGGGTGGGTACAGGTGAAGTAAGAAACTTAGGAAGCTCCCAACTTGGCGGAATGCAAATTTATGAGGATAGCTCTGTTATTAACATGCTTTGTGGCTTCTGGCAAGTAACTTGTCCTCTTTGGGCTTCGGTGTCCTTACCTGTAAACCAAAGATCACACTCTACTTAATTCCATTTCAGTAATAACAATGTAGTGCCTCCTTCATGTCTGTTCCTAAAGCGCCCACCCACACCACCCTTATCTCCCTCATCTCCCCATCTACCCAATTCCCATCTGCTCCTTAAGAGCTACATCTCCTGGAACCTCTCCTGAAATCTAGCACAGTGCTTCCTTGTATTATTTATTTGACAATCAATCGTATACTCCTTGAGACACCTCTGACATTAGCCTGTTATTCCACTCTTGTCCCTGCTCATTAAAGTGTAAGGCCTTGGGGATACCTGGGTGGCTCAGCACTTTAGCGCCTGCCTTAGGCCCAGGCGTGATCTTGGAGTCCCGGGATGGAGTCCCACATCGGGCTCCCTGTGTGGAGCCTGCTTCTCCCTCTGCCTGTGTCTGCCTCTCTCTTTCTCTCTGTCTCTCATGAATGAATAAGTAAATAAATAAATAAATAAATAAATAAATAAATGAATGAATGAATGAATGAATAAATAAATAAAATCAATAAATAAAGTGTAAGGCCTTGAAGGCAGGGCTCTGGTACTGTGCCCCTGGATATCCCCCAGAACTCTGAGCGGAGGACCTGAAGGAACCACCCTTTCTGTGATGGCTAAGCATTGGCTGATTGCATTATAATTGGTCACCACCCTTAAAACAATGTTCCATGGTGCATGCAGAGAGTGGGAAGAAGGAGAGAGAGAGATATCTTTCTGGACACCAGGCCTATTGGATTAGAGTCTCACTTTTATGACCTCATTTAACCTTAATTACCTCCCTAAAAGCCCTATCTCCATACACAGCCACATTGGCAGTTAGGGCTTCAACACTGAATTTTAGGGAGACAGGGCACCTGAGTGACTCAGTGATTGAGCATCTGCCTTTGGCTCAGGTTGTGATCCCAGGGTCCTGGGATCGAGTCCTGAATTGGGCTCCCTGCGGGAAGCCTGCTTCTCCCTCTGCCTATGTCTCTGCCTCTCTCTCTCTCTCTCTCTCTCTCTCTCTCTCTCTCTCTCTGTCTCTTAAATAAAATCTTAAAAAAAAAAAAAAAGAATTTTAGGGAGACACAGTTCAGTCTATAACAGGCACCAGGCAGTGATGTCATAGTTGCACCTCTAGGACAAGCCCCCAGGGGGAGGTGGGAATGGGGAGCCTGCATGCCCGGACAATACAGAATAAGGGGGTGCAGGTGCCAGGACTCAGGGGAGCACCCAGGTGAGGGGTGGCAGCAAGGACAGTGACATGGGCTCTGACCACTTGCTCTGGTCTTTGCCCCAGAGATGGAAAACCTTCTGCCCGCATGGTACTGCTGAAGGGCTTTGGCAAGGATGGCTTCCGCTTCTTCACTAACTTCGAGAGTCGGAAGGGAAGAGAGCTGGTGAGGGGCCTGCAGGGGCCTGTCCTTCCTTCCCTCTGGTGCCAGCCCCACCCCTGCCCACTTGCTGGCTGTGTTTGGGCACTGTCCTGCCTGCGGGCCTTGGCACTCTTCCTTTTCTTTGCCATGAATGAGTGCTCGCTCTGACCACCCCGCCTCTGCCATCCACTTACCTAAGTAACTCCCAACCCTTTGGCTTTCAGCCCCTGTGCTACCTTCTAGGGAAAGTCGTCCCTGATCCCTATGCTACCTCGGCTGCCATTCACCATCATCTTAACGTGTCACTTTACTTTCTACCTTCTTTTCAGTTTGTGACTGCATTTTTTGGTGTGTTTATGTGATTGATACTTGTCTCCCTTGCTAAACACCCAGTAAGCTCTGTGGAGGCAGGGGCTGCATCCGTTGTACCTCTCCCATTCCCCCAGCACCTCTCCTGGGGTCAAGCCCAAGTTGATACATTGTGTACATTCAGTCATGAACCCAAAGGACTCCCGGAATCCATACTGGCCACAGGTGCATTTCTGAGGACTTGCAAATCTATGGATGAGAGAAATGGCAAGCCTCACTTTGGAATCCATCTGGCTTAGGTTTTCAGCATGGGTCTAGCACTTACTGTGTGAACTTAGGCAGGTTCCTTAACCTCTCTGAGTCTGTCTCCTACACCCGTAAGAGTAGGCATACCTTTGAGGGTTTAAATGAGATGTTTTGTTATCCCTTGTACGCCTGCATGCTGCAGACTTCCTACCTCCTTTCTGCACGGTGGAGGTGTTCTCCCTGCTGTTTTGATGGCCGACGGCGAATCCTCTTTTATTTCCAGGATTCCAATCCCTTTGCCTCCCTTGTCTTCTACTGGGAGCCCCTCAACCGCCAGGTGAGTGAGCAGTTCCAGGACAACCAGGGGCTCATTATCGATGAACCCAGTGAAGGTCCTCAGGCTGGGAAAACGACCTGCCTCTCAGATAGCTCTTAATGAACTGGTCTAGTTGGAGCCAGCAGTTGTGGGGCAGTGGAGAGGGGTAGAAGAGAGGAAGGGGGCCTGTGTTGGTAGGGAGGGCAGGAGGCATTGCAGACCGTCTAGCCAGGGCCATCCTTGAGCAGGTCCGCGTGGAGGGCTCTGTGAAGAAGCTGCCTGAAGAGGAGGCTGAGTGTTACTTCCACTCCCGCCCCAAGAGCAGCCAAATTGGGGCTGTGGTCAGCCACCAGAGTTCTGTAATCCCCAATCGGGAGGTGAGTCGGGTTTCTTCTTAGTTCTCTGGGTGGCAGGGGCCTTAGCTCATCCCCAGCAGCTGTCCCCGGGGGATGCCAAGGCCCTCTCTCCAGCAAAATGAAAGGATAGTCTCCCTGGGGAAGTAAAGATGGGGAAATGGGCTTCCTTTATCTGACCCTCTGGTTGGACTGTGCTTCTGGAGGAGAGAAGCCAGCCTCCCTTGTTCACCTGTGTTCCAGTGGCTGGCAAACAGCACATGCTTAGTAAATGGTTATTAGGTGAATCACTGACTCAGTCTGGGCCTTCCTCAATCTCCTTCCCCTGGATAGTATCTGAGAAAGAAGAATGAGGAATTGGAACAGCTCTACCAAGAACAAGAGGTGCCAAAGCCAAAGTACTGGTGAGTGATGCTTGGTGGTTGTCCAGAAAGGGGCACCAGAACTTGAAACAACTCCCCCTGGAATTATAGATCTGCTCCCCCTGGTAATTCTCGTCAGAGTCATATTAGCAACTTCCCTCAAGGGGTCCTGAGGTGGAGACAGGGTGGGGGGTAACCTGTTGGAAAAATGCACAGAGCACCAAACCCACTGTTTCTCTTGAAGGGGTGGCTACATCCTGTACCCACAAGTGATGGAGTTCTGGCAAGGCCAAACCAACCGTCTGCATGACCGGATCATCTTTCGGAGGGGCCTGCCAACAGGAGACTCCCCTTTAGGGCCCATGACCCACCGTGGGGAGGAAGACTGGCTGTATGAGAGACTTGCACCCTGACTAACCTGCTGGCGCCAACTGGATCTGGGGCCAGGTGCTAAGAGAGGGTGTGGGATTGGGAGCTGGGCCCTTCTAAACTCAACCTATTTCCCTCCTCACCCCTTACATTTAAGGCTCTTCAGAGTTCAAACTCCAAATTCTGTATTTTCACTTGATTCTCAGTTAGGTAGTCTTGTGAAGCATAAGCAGTGGCATAGAGAATCACAAACGGAAAAAAAACAAACAAACCCATAATTATTTTCTTGACCTTGAATATGATTTATTGGACTAGCTCCTCTAGAGGTAATAGCTGGTGTGATTCCCTCTTCTGGTGACACTAGGTGGGCCGGGGGCTGCTCTGTTACCACCCTGTCACTGAGTCATACTACCCAAAGCTGACTGGTTCCAACATAAGCACCTGAGCCAATCTAGCCAATCTGTTTTTTCTTGTCAACAATTTTAAATTTGAAATGGAGAGACCCAGAGTATGAGAGGCACTGTAGCCAAGTCATTAATGGCAGCCAAGAAGCAACAGCCTCCAGCTGCTGCTCTTGTAATTCCCTTAGTGACCTTGGGTCCTTCTTTCCCACGTCTGGGCTGTGTATAACACCTCCTCCTGCCTCAAAACACCCATTATCCCTGTTAAAAAAAAAAAAAAAAAGTTTTTGGCTTAAACTAGGCAGGATCAATTTTCTGTTGCTTGCAACTAAAGGAAACGTATTTACTAATAGGATATTTTTATAGCATTATACCTTACTGATAACTGCCTCCTGTTATCTGAAGCACAACAATGTGGAAAAGAGATTAAATTTATTCTCTGGAGCTCCAAAGGACCCATAGGTGGAAGTTGCATGGAAGTAGATTTCCTCTTGGTATGAAGAGAGACTTGTAACAACCAGAACTACCTATGAGGGAGTGGGCTACCTGTTAGGTAGCGAGTCTCTAGAAGTATTCAATCTCAAGTAATCAGGAGTTTTACATATATATGTATATTTTTAAGATTTTGTTTACTTGAGAGTGAACCCAAGCAGGGGGAGTGAGAGAGAAAGAAGCGGGCTCCCCACTGAGCAGGGAGCCTGATGCAGGGCTTGATCCTAGGATCCTGGGATCATGACCCAAGCTGGAGGCAGATGCTTAACCAACTGAGCCACCCAGGTGCCCCTAGGAGTTTTATAGAAGGGATTCATGTGCTGATACCGTCAATCAAGCTTTACTTTTCCATGTTTGTTTCTGAGAACTGTGTGTGTGTGTGTGTGTGTGTGTGTGTGTGTGTACACATATATTGTTATAGAGATTACATCATTCTGACCACTCATACATCCTTCACCTACTCCCCACCTCTACTGATGACTCCTAGACCCTGGTTTTCATCCATGCTGGAATTACCCAGGGAGCTTTAATCATATGTGATTTAACTGGGCTGAGTGAGGTCTGAGCTTGGGGAAACTTAAGGCTCCCCAGGGAATTCTGTGCAGGCAAAAGAACCCCCTCCCCACCGCCCACCATTTGAGATCCTTGCTACTCAATGCAGTCCACAGACCAGCAGCAACACCACTTAAAAGCCCACCTCAGACCCACGCGTCCTGTTCTGCATTTAACAAGACTCCCCCTCACCTGGTGACCAGATGCCATGTCCCCAACGGTGTCACCAGCCTCCGTAAACGTATGACCATTCTTCCTCACCATTGGATTCTTTATGAAGCTGATGTTTGTGCTGGACTGTATTTGCTTTTCTTGAGTGCAAGTCTGGTGACCAAGGACAACTTGAGGGCAGCCCGGGTGGCTCAGCGGTTTAGTGCCACCTTCAGCTCAGGGCGTGATCTTGGAGACCCAGGATCGAGTCCCACGTCGGGCTCCCTGCATGGAGCCTGCTTCTCCCTCTGCCTGTGTCTCTGCCCTTCTCTCTCTCCCTGTGTGTCTCATGAATAAATAAAATCTTTAAAAAAAAAAAAAAAGGGACAACTTGAATGAATGGCCTCCAGCCTCCCTGGAGGGGAGCCAGGCTGGGTAAATGTTTACTGTGACTAAGCCAGAATCAGGGAACTCTTACTTGTGCACGCTTGCATGGAACTCACCAACTCTGTAAACTGTTCCATTCCACTGCGTGGGTGTGTGCTGTACTTCAGGGTCTGTCATTAACTGACTCCTGCAAGGGTGGCCCTGTAGGTGATGATCGCCCCCCTTTAAGCCTGAGGGTAGGAAGGTACGATGCTAACTAACCCTGTGGCCACCATAGGCAGGGTGCTGGGGTGCCCCTCTCTACCTTGTCTTGTTATTGGGAGCTATGTATCCCCCTTCACCCCCAGCTCTGAGCCTGGTTTCAGCTGTTCCTTTCCTGTTTTTGACAATCACTGTGCCAAGTCTGTAATAAAACCTCGTCAGCCGTGTGTAAGATTAATGTTCAACCTGGCCTGGTCGCATCCCCCCACCCACCCCCTCTCCCGCCCAGGAAGGAGAGGGGTTGGGGGATTTAAACGACCCCTGCAACCTCCCTCCTCCTCTCACTAGAGGTTGGGCGGCCAGCAGGGGGAGCCCTCCGCCCAGGGTAGGCCCCTCCTGGGCAGTGCAAGCCGGTTCCAGCTGGCCCCTCCTGCCTCCCCCACCTGGTTGGGTCCTGGCCCAGTGAAACTGTGGTTGATAACCCATAGCCTCTCACAGTTCCTGCGTATATTTGCACTCTTGGTTCCTCCTCCTCTGGCCTCATGAAAGCGTGCAGCTGCCTCTCTCCGACTCCCTGGCCAGACAGATTTCCCTTTGGCTTTTAGAACCCACCACCTTTCCCCAGCTTCAGGATATTTGTGGGGGTTCCCTGGAAGATTCCTGCAGACATCACTTTGAGGCTGGAGCAGGCTCTCCCTTACAAGGCAGAAGGGCCTTAGATCTTCTCGCCTAAGAGGAGTAATGGTGGCAATGTGGTGCCAGTATTGGGCAGAAGGAGGCCTTGGTGGCCCAGGTCCCAGCCCCAGCCCTGGCCTCCCTCAAGGGACCTCAGGATGCGCAGAAGTGGCAGGTCCCTATGGTCTGGTGCCTCGGAGTATTCCACCTCACGGCTGATTAGCTCTCCCCCAGCTGGTGCCAGAATCAGAATCCTAAGCTGCAGGCATTACCCTCTACCACCCTTCTGTGGAAGGTGACTGTACTCCTTTCTTTGCTCCCATCCCCCAGGCAGATGAAAATCAAGAGTGCAGGGGGCTGTGTGCAGCAGTCATGTGCACAAGCCAGCTCTGGCTTCAGTCCCAGCTCCACCATGGCAAGCAAGTGGCTTCACTTCTCTCAGCCTCAGCTAACTCGGCAGAAAACAGGGACAATGACCACACCTGTCTCGGGTGATGAGGGGATTGAGCAAGGAATCTCCTGGAGTACTTGCCACAGGGCCTGGTCCATTGTAAGCTCCCTATAAACATTGGCTATTCACAGTGGACAGGGCTAGAGTATGGGGGAAGTCAGCTCCTTCACGGGACACTTGATGGATTGGGTAATCAGACAGACTCTAGAAAGTCCCATGGGGTGGGAGGGATAGGGACAGAGTCCTCGGAGAAGGTAGCACACCTGAACCAGCCTTCCTTCCCTCCCTCCAGCTCCTCGTGTCCCTCACTCATCTTCAGAGTTCCCGCTTGCCTGGGTGAGGCCACCCAACAAAGGCCCCCTTGTATGGGTTTGTTTGTTTTGGTAATAAATTTGCCAAGCAACACTCCCTGGGGTGGAGTGGCCCAACAGCCACAAAGAACTGACCTGGAAGCTACAGGACCACATTGTTTAGTTGCCACCTTGCTTTCTCCCTGTTAGCACCAAGAACTCCAGAGATCTGTCCAGTTTTTCCTAGTTCCCAGGTCCTGGCTTGAGAAAAATCTGGACCTAGCAACACAGGGGAGCACACTCTTTGCTCTTCCTTAAGAGTAGAAGTTGTGGGCTACAGTGGAGTTCCTTAATAAGAGCAAGAGGAGGAAGGCCATACTAACCGAGCACCTACCATAGGACCACGTGTGGGGCACTTCATGCTGACCATTCCCACGAAATAGACCTTATTACAGCCATTTTACCAAAGAGGCACTCGAGGTTCAGAGAACGTTTAATAACATATATTCCCCAAATCACTCAGCTATGAAGCGGTGGAAAGAGAATTTGAATCCTGATTCCAAACCAAACCCCTGTGACTTTGGGGTTAGTCACCAAATGTCCCCTCCACTCTCTTAGAGTTCCTCAGGGTCTCTCCATTGACCAAAAGGAACTGACCACTGAACTGAAACCAGCCCCTTCCTTTGCTAGATTTGCATACTCAGGACTCTTTCTTTTTCTTTTTTTTTTTTTTTTTGACTCTTTCCTTTCTTTTCTTTCTCCTTTTTTTTTTTTTTTTAAATAAAAAAGACCTTATTTTTAAGTAATCTATAGACCCAACATGGGGCTTGAACTTAACCCCAGGCCTCCTAGATCAAGAGTCATGTGCTCTACTGACTGAGCCAGCCAGGCCCTCCCCACCCCCACCCTGTTTCCGCCCCTGGGGACCCTTCCTGATGTTCAAAAGAAACACCTGAGCACTCAGAGTTCCACTTTATTCCCATGCAGAGAGTAAAGACAGAAGAAACAGTCTTCAGTACATAGAAGACGAAAGCATAAATAGGTTCTCTGCTTTTGCAGCACTGTTTATTACAAAGAGAGAAACCTACATTTTTTTTTTTTTTTAAGCAAAATTCAAGGCTCCAGGACTCATCCCTGGGGCTTGTTCTTCTTAAATACCAGGAGGAGGGGAGAAGAATTTGGGCCCATGAGCCAGTGCAGTGTCCCTTTGAGGTTGTGTGCAGGGACCTGTGGGGTCCCTCGCCTGGTCCTTCTGCAGTACCCCACCCCCCCAGAGAGTGTCAGAGTGCCAGCGGGTCTCCTCTCCCCTGCAAAGTTCCAGAACGGTTCCCTCTTTGGCAGGAGGTGAGCTCAGGTTTGGGGTCTCTGACTCCTCCAGCTCCAGAAAACCACCCCATCAGGTGGCTTCTGGAAAATTCACTCTCAGAATCGGTCCAGGGAACAGTTCCAGGGAGAGCAAGTAGAAGGAGCAGCAATTGAAACTCACCCTTGAGCCTGTGCCCCTGGAGGAGGTGAAGTCTGCTCCCTCTATCCCTTGCCGTGCCCACTTCCCTGCTGGGCTGCCACTTGCTTCCAGGAGCACTGTCCTTCCTGTGGGACTTTGCAGCCTCTGTATGTGTTGGGGAACGTGGGGGGACCCGGGAATAACCCAGACCTTCCAGAAAGCTGGGGCACATAAATAAAAAGCTAAACCCACACGTTTCCTGCCAGCAGGCGTCAACGCCACCCCCCCATCCCCCCACCCCTGGTGTCAGCTGTGGCCAAGGAGGCCAGCGTGGCAGGCCCCTGTCTCAGATCCAGCTGATGGCAGGAGTAGGGAGGCAAGAGCATCCTACTTGGCCCCCTTCACTGTCCTTTGCCCTCCTTATCAGCAAAGAGGTTGGGGTTCTCTGCCAGTGTGGCTCGGACTTTCTTCTTCTCCTTGAAGCGACCCGAATTGGAGACTTTGACGTGCTTGCCCTTTGTGTTCTTGTCCACGATCTTCTCCAGGCGGGTGTTAAAATCGCTGTGGGGGTTCCCGCCCTCGGGCCGAGGGGACTCCGTGTTGCCCTCTGTTTGAGCATAGGTATCAGGGATCTCGTACAGCACCTTGGGAGTGGATTTCTTTTTCCGGAGGAAGGTCAGCTTCCACCAGCCCACTTCAGTCATGATGTTCCCTGGAGCTGAGGGTGGCACTTTCGGCAGGAGCTGGGTGGGACAGAGAAAGGGGTCAGTGGGGAGAAGTAAGGCATGAGGGGGGTGTTGCCTGGAGCAGCCCTCTCTAAACTCCTGATCATGGGCTATTTTAATAGTTGGGGCCTGAAAGAATTGCAGGTGGGGCCGAATGAACTGAGGATTCGGATAAAGCTCTACAATATGAGAAGAGAGGGAGTCTGAGGAATGGGCAGCTGAATGGACACCAACAGGAGAGCCACTGAGCCCAGGCCGAGGGGCAGCAGGACAACCACACACTCTTACCATGCAGGTGGTGGGGAGCTTTGAGATTCCAGGCCCTTCAGGGCTGCAGGGAGGTGACTGGCTTGCCCAGGTGGCCCAGCACCCAGACCATCAACATCCTTCCCAAGCTCTTCCCACTGGGGCGCCAGACCCTACCACCAGGAGCTGGGAGACAGTTGGCTGGTATCAGATGCACAGAAACACCCTGTGCATTTTGCTTAGAATTCATTACAAAATAAGTAGGATTTAGGATTTTGAGAGTAATTTGGGCTTCCCAGGGGGTACCAGCAGGAGTGAAGGAGATGAGGGTTTGTTTTTTTTTTTCCTATGGGAGGAACTGCAGGCTGGGAGTGGGAAATCCTGGGGACTGTACCAGCCTCGACCTCTAGGAAGTTACTTCTCTGGATCTCAGTGTCCTCACCTGTCCCTGCCAGCCTAACATTTAGCTCTAATGCTCATCCCCTGCCTTCAGAGGGAGGCATCCTTTGCAAAGTAAAACATGGTAACAGAAATAATTATTGAGGGATGGCTCCTTTCCCCATCTAGCTTCCATGAGGACAGGAGTTTGCAGGGGAACTGAACATTGTTTTTTTAATTTTATTTACTTATTCGAGAGAGAGAGACAGACAGAGGGAGAAGCAGGCTTCCTGCAAGGAGCCCAATGTGGGACTCGATCCCAGATCCCAGGATCATGCCCTGAGCCAAAGGCAGACACTCAACTGCTGAGCCACCCAGGCATCCCGGGAACTGAACATTTGGAAGGAGGTTTGGTGGGGCCACAAGGTCCACATGAGAAATGGTTATCACGGGCTTGGGGGCCAAAATCCAGGCTTTTCCACTGACAAGCCATGTGCCCTGCTGTGATGTGTCCTGACACAGATGTGGCCTCATCTTTAATTCATTTCCACAAAGGTGCTGTCTGAGCTAGTGGGAGTTCTGGCAAATGAGGTTGCCTGGACATCGTTGCCAGGTAGGATGTGTAAGATGGATGGACACAGCAGGCTGGCAGATTCTGAGCAACAGAAGGGCAGGACAAGGGATGAGAAATCCAGGCATCTCTGGGCCTGGAGAGGGTGGTGGTCTGGTTCTCAGGACTCTGTCTGTGGCTGGGAAGGGTCCTGCCGAACGGGTAGTAGCCATCATGCACCAGAAACCTAGGTGGTCAGGCCACCCCAGCACAAGCTAATAGATCACTTCCTTTAAAAACTGATGGCCTTAACTACATTTTCTTAAAAGACCAGAAAGCAATACGACAAATGATTAACAGTAGTTTTCTTTTTTTCTTTTTTTGAGAAAGCAGAAGAATTTTTTTTTAAGATTTTATCTATTTATTCATGAGAAACACAGAGAGAGGGAGAGAGGGAGAGAGAGGCAGAGATACAGGCAGAGGGAGAATCAGGCTCCATTCACTCCCAGGTCTCCAGGATCAGGCCCCTGGACTGAAGGTGGCGCTAAACTGCTGAGCCAGCCAGGCTGCCTAATAGTGGTTTTCTTTTTCTTTTTCTTGTTTAAAGATTTTATTTATTTATTTATTCATGAGAGACAGAGAGAGAGATGCAGAGACACAGGCAGAGGGAGAAGCAGGCTCCATGCAAGGAGCCTGATGTGGGACTCGAACCTTGGTCTCCAGGATCACACCTTGGGCTGCAGGCGGCGCTAAACCGCTGCGCCACCGGGGCTGCCCTCTTTTTCTTTTTTTAAAATTGGAGTTCAATTTGCAAACACATAGCATATCACTCAGTGTGCATCCCGCCAAGTGCACCCCTCAGTGCCCGTCACCCAGTCACCCCAACCCCCCAACTCACCTCCCCTTCTACTACCTCTTGTTCGTTTCCCAGAGTTAGGAGTCTCTCCTGCTCTGTTCTCTCTGATATTTCCCACTCATTTTCTCTCTCCTTTCCCCTTTATTCCCTTTCACTATTTATTCATATTCCCCAAATGAATGAGACCATATAATGTTTGTCCTTCTCTGTTTGACTTACTTCACTCAGCATAATACCCTCCAGTTCTATCCACACTGAAGCAAATGGTGGGTATTCCAACAGTGGTTTTCTTAATGGAGAAGGAAGAGGGGATGTTTTCTCCCGGTATTTCTGATTTCTGGATATTCCATAATGAGCATGGATTTTTTTTGTTTTTTGACAGGGAGCATATCAAATTTGGGGAAAGATGCAAGCAGGATGCTGACCTAGGCTTGGGAAGGATTGAGTGCCTGCCTCCATGGGCTCCTGGTTGCTGTTTCCCCTGTCCCTCCATCTACCCAGCCCCATGCCCAGAGTGCATTCCTGATGGATTCCTTCCTACCTCTTTGTCTGGGAAGCAGCTCCCACACTGGCAGCTCTGTCCCTTTAGCTGAGTTCAAGTAGCAGGAGAAGCCCAGGGGAGATCTTGTGCAGCTCCCACTTAGAAAGTGAAGGAGGGGGTGAGAGTGGCCAGATAAATACTTCCAGGGCACCCTGGAGAGGTGAGTGCACAAGGGGACAGCCTGAGAGGTTTGCATTGGCAGCTTGCCCCACCTGGGCTTAGCACAACCTTGCACAGAACTTGGTGTTCCAGAATGGGTTTTCTGGAAGTTGTGGGGAGGGCACTTGGTTGGCCTGTGGGTGCCCCAGTCGCCGCCTGGTCTGGGGCAGGGCCCGTGACCCCACCAACGCCCATCCGGGGTTGCCAAGGAACTCAGGGAGTGGACGATACAGCTCCTGAGCTGACAGTAACCACCTGACTGCCCACCTCCTTGAGAGGCAGTGCTTCTGTCTGCACCAGCTAAAACACACCTGCCTTAGAGGGTGCCGCAAATTGGCATCTGCAGGGGTTTACTCCCCTTGGAATGAAGGAAGTGATAGATCATAAGGAACTTATCGTAACACCATAGGGAAGTGGGAATAGCCCTCGGACCCTGCCCTGGGGCCTCCACCATGGCACAAAGGCATCGGCGCCCTTGTCTGTTGGCCTTGAACTCTGGTCTAAGATACCTTTTCCATCCTTTCTGTCTGAGAGGACATACAAGCACCAGGAAGAGGCGTTTGCCTCTTTCATCACGACTGACATATGGAAGTCAGAACAGAACAGATAAATTAGAGGACTGTTCTTTGTTTTACAAAATAACCAAACTTTAAGATTCTTTGAAGTAGTGAGCCACCCCAAGATAGTATAAAGCTGATTTGCTTTAAATCAAAAAAGTGGGGTAGCCCAGGTAGCTCAGTGGTTTAGCACCTGCCTTCGGCCCAGGGCGTGATCCTGGAGACCTTGGATCGAGTCCCACGTCGGGCTCGCTGCATGGAGCCTGCTTCTCCCTCTGCCTGTGTCTCTGCCTCTCTCTGCCTCTCTCTGTGTCTCTCATGAATAAATAAATAAAATCATAAATAAATAAATAAATAAATAAAGCGATGTGACATCAAAAGTTGGGCAGAGCAATATACCTTCAGCCACATGCCCATACCTGATCATAGAAGGCAGGAGGGAACTGCGGGCAGGAGGTGTAATTGGGACTGCAAGCAGATCCAGCATTTAGTGACAGGTGGCAGGCCACGCAGGCTGTTTGTGCAGGGCCCTTAGCTGGCCACGCTGAGGGCTGGGCCCTTGCCCTGGGGCCCTGCAATCCATGGGATGATAGAAATCAGCCCTGAGGATGCTAGCTACACCTCTGCGGTTTGCACAGCTTTAGAATCCACAAAAGGACCTCATGGGACAGCCTGCCACCCCTTGCCTATGACAGCCAGCTCTATGGCACCTATGTGGTCACCCCAGGACAGGTCCCACCGCCCCCACTGAGCCCTTTCTGAGCTGGGACAAGTTAACCATCAATTGCGTTGGAAATGGAGGGATAGAGGGGAGTAGAAGCAAGTCAGATTCTAGGCTTTAAGACAATATCCAGGACCCCCCCGCCCCGCCAGCCCATGTCCCTCTGCCAGGCCCCTGATGGCACTTCTCCATTCTGAATAAGACTGGGGTGCCCTGAATAGGAACAGGGAGATGTTCCCACCAGATAGCCAGAAACATCCTCCAGGTTGGGGGGGTCGGCTCCAGCTTAGCAAGTGTTAATAGAGAACTGCTCGGAGTGAAACTTTCCCAGAAAGAGCTCTGCTGGAGGCCTGGATTGACTCCAAGAGCCAGTGGGATGAGTCCGACTTCTCCCTGCCCAACCAAGGAGAGATGGGAACCGGCCTGCCTGGGTTCCCCTTCCCAGTTAGGCTTGCCAGCCATGGAGGCAGAACCAGGTGCCTTGACTGGGCTCTGTGCCTTGGTTTCCCCACCCACTCACCCTCTGCCTGTACCTGTAATCCTGACTGCTCCCGGCTGGAGGCGAGACCTTCCTTAGAGAAGGAGCTGAGTGTAGCAGCTGCCCGGGCAGGAGACTGGGAGAGGTAGGGGTGCCCCCAGGGTGCCACGCCAGGCAAGGCTCAGGCCAGGAGAGCTGGGTGGGAGCAGCTGCACAGCAGGTGCAAGAGAAACAGGTGCAGGAGCGGGTACCTGCTCCACTGCGGCTCCTGGAGTCAAGGTGAACCTGAAACCCAGCCCCTCCCGGCTAAGTAAACAGAAGCAGAGGCCGGATCGGGCTGATGAATATTCATTACCCCAGAAATCCAATCCCAGTGCCCCTGCACCCACCCAGAAGCCAGGGTCCTCCAGGGATCGCCTCAGCAGGAAGAGGAAACCCCAAGGGAAGTCTGGAGCAGGAGAAACAAGGGAGCCTCTCTCCTGTTTCCCCACTCTCATGGGCCTGGTTGCACCCCCCAGCTGTAGCCAAGGTCACCCTCACCCATTTCATGCTCAGAAGAGGCTCAGACCCTCTCCAGCACAGAACCTGCCTGGACTTTGCCCCTGGCACAGCCAGGAAAGGGTTAAGCACTGCTCCCGTTGGCCATGTGGGACGGGATGCACCCCAGCTCCTTTGAACTCCAAGTCGAAACCAGTCTCTGGTTAAACTGGTTGGCAGACCGGTTCGCTCCACCCCAAAGCTCAATAGTCTTCAGCTTAGGCTGGCACTGGGCTGGGGGGCTGAGGTTCCCTCGGGACCTGAAGGTCCACTGCACCCAACTTATTTGATGTTACAAAGGGGGCAAAACCTGGGGCCAGCTCTCAGGGAAGGAAGGGTGAGGGGGCTGTGGTGAAGTGGGAAGAGGGAAAGGCATGGAGACGGTGTGTACACACAGGGGATGGTGCCCTCACTGATCATCCATCAGAGAAGGTTATTCTGCAGCCACCCTTGGGTGGCCTGTTCTTGTTGGCATTCCCTCCCCTAGGACAGGCACCCCCAGAGTGAGAAATGTTTGCTGCAGGTCCACTGTCCCTGTAGCTGCCTGTCCCAGTGCTGCCCAGCTTTGATGCTCCATCCACCCACCCAGCCACCTTCCTCTGAGGACTGAGTGCATACAAGCCAGGCTCTGAGACAATGTCATGTCTTCCTTTGCTCTCCTACTCCCCTCAGCCAACTCCCAAAAAACTCTCAAACCTGTCCTACCATTTCCAACCCTGCTTCTACTCAGTTCAGCCTCTCACGGCCTTGTGGGTTCATATTGCCCTCCATCCTAAACAGCACCCCTGCCCCTAGGCCCACGGTCCTTCAAGTGTCCCCCCATGGCCTGCAGTGGAACCCACTGGGCCTGGCCTTCTAAGGATAGGCCTCTCCCAACCCGTCATGAATACTCTCACTAATCCCTTTCTCTGCCTACTTCCCTGGGTGCAGAAGCTGTCTAGGAAGGTGAGATTAGGAGTGCATGCTGTACTCTTGGTCAGGAACAGCCTCCTGGGTGAACCAAGACAAACTCCTATTCATCCCTCAAGACCCAAATTATTTATTATGCCTCCCATGCCACCAGAAACTGTGTTGTTCCTACAGAGTTTGCTCACATGCTTCTATTTAACATGATATATACCACAATTGATTATATACATGTATGTACACACATACATAGTATCATAATGATCTATTTATATATTTGGCTCCCTTAGAGAATTTTAGCTCCTTGAGTTGTAAATTATCTACCACTGATACAGCCTGACATACTAGAGACCTAATGCAAGCTTTATAACACAAATGAGAGTTAAGAAGTCCTGTCTTTGGCTCAGCGGTTTAGCACTGCCTTCAGCCCAGGGCCTGATCCTGGAGACCCGGGATCGAGTCCCACGTCGGGCTAACTGCATGGAGCCCGCTTCTCCCTCTGCCTGTGTCTCTGTCTCCTTCTCTTTCTCTGTTTCTCTCATGAATAAATAAATAAAATCTTAAAAAAAAAAACAAAAAAACAAAAACCAAAAAAAAAAAAAACAAATGAGAGTTAAGAGGTCCTATCTTTACCCTAAGAGATTCTTTTTTTTTTTTATACCACTGTTGTTTTTTTTTTTTTTTTTAATTGGTCAGCATTGGTAGGAGTTTGAGTTTGTTACAAAACCAGACCACTGGCCTATGGAATGTGAGGGGAGGAGTCCACTCTGTCAGATGCCAGCACCAGGACCCCGCAGCATGGTACCCTGTGGCGGGCCGTCCTCACCTGTGAGAAGGCGACAGGGCTGCACAGATGGTGGCTCACAGGGAAGCGGTCCCTGGGGCCCTATTCCTTGGCGATGGCGAAGGGCTTCTCCACCTCAATCTTGCCACCGTCTGCGATCCTCACATCCTTCAGGGGCTTGTCCTAACTGTTTTCGTGCTCTCCACCTTCCGTACTACCTCCATGCCTTCCAAAACTTTGCCAACACCACGTGCTTGCCATCTAGCCAGGCGGTCTTAACCGTGTGATAAAGAACTGGGAGCCGTTGGTGTCTTTGCCTGCATTGGCCATGCTCACCCAGCCAGGCCCATTGTGTTTCAGCTTGAAGCTCTCATCAGGGAAGCGTTCACCATAGATGCTCTTTCTTCCAGCGCCATCTCCCCGGGGAAAGTCTCCACTCTAGATCATGAAGTCCTTGATCACACGATGGAATTTGCTGTCTTTGTAGCCAAATCCTTTCTCCCCCATGGCTAAGGCCACAAAATTATCCACTGTTTTTGGAACAGTCTTTCCAAAGAGACCAATGACCACCCGGCCTATATCTTCATCTCCAATTCATTTTTTTTAAAGATTTTATTTATTTATTAGAGACACACACAGAGTGAGAGAGAGAGAGAGAGAGAGAGAGAGAGAGAGAGAGAGAGAGAGAGAAGCGAAACACAGGCAGAGGGAGAAGCAGGCTCCATGCAGGGAGCTCGACGTGGGACTCAATCCCAGGTCTCCAGGATCACACCCTGGGCTGAAGGCAGGCACTAAACCGCTGAGCCACCGGGGCTGCCCTTCATTTCCAATTCAAAGGTCGAAGTACACCTTGACGGTGACTTTGGGCCCCTTCTTCTTCTCACCGGCCGGCCGTGGAGGGACCTGGCAAGAGCAAGAAGAAGTCGGAGCCCACGACGAGGGTGGCGGTGAAGAGAACCATCATGTTCCACTCAGAGAGGTGCAGCATCCACCAGGCTTACCCTAAGAAATTCTTAATCTTTCCTATTGCCTTTGTCCCACTCTCAATGGGTCAGATAAATGTAAGAGAAAACCCATCTATTTTACCTGTTGTGATTTCAGCTATAGCAGGCCTCCTCTTAATTATAATCTTCCCAGGGGTTTATATGAACCAATTATTTCGCAAGGCCCTCCTGCCTCTGCAGGAAGTGTGCATAGTTGGAGTATCTGGCTGGCTCAGTTGGTGGAACATACAACTCTTGATCTCTGTGTTGTGGATTTGAGTCCCACACTGGGTGTAAAGATTATTTAAAAATAAAATCTTAAAGAAAAATAAAGAAGTATACATGGTTGTCCCAGGAAGGTGCCCACAGCTTTCTAGATCTGTCACTTTGTCTGAAAGCCAAAGTGTCCTCTTAGAGTGGAAAACCAGTCTAGAAGACACCAGAAGAGACTAAACACTCATCTCAGCCTAGGTATTCGGAAGAAACTGGAGGGATGGTGGGATGGGCCCTAACCTGGGCAGTAACCAAGGGTCGATGGCACCAATCCCATCTGTACTGGAAGGGCTCCTACTGGAGACACTCATCCCCCCACTCCTTGACTCCAAAATCTAAGCCTTTCTGATGCCTGGGACCTAGGGGGAGCGGGCATAAGGCTGTTCTCTGACACGCACACTGGAGAAGGAGCCCCAGTGAGAATTGTAGTGGGCAGGATTTGCTGAAAACCACCTGTGGCCTGCCACTGGAGAACGCTACCAGAATCAGGTGCTTTGGAGGCTCTGGCCCATCTTTCTGAGAGGGACCAACCTGGGAAGTAGGCCAAACCCTTGGCCTTCAGGAGATTCATTTCTGGGAAGAGCAGTATTGGGAGGGGAGTTTGAGATAAGGCTATAAACTATGAATATCTTTTAAACAGGCTGCTTTATTGCTTTATAATTTTTTAACTTTTAAATGCACCTCCTTAGGGGGTGCCCAGGTGGCTCAGTCAGTTGAACCAGCCACTTTAGATTTTGGCTTAGGTAGACATGTAAATAAATTTTACCTATTTGAAAAAGAGAGACAGCAAGTGCAAGCAAGGGGAGAGATCGTGGGATTGGGCCCCTGTGTCTGGCTCAAGGCTCTACTTGGGGTCAGCTTGAGATTCTTTCTCTCTCCCTCTCCCAAGGCCCTCCCCTTCCCCCGTTTGCACTTGCTCTCTCTCTAATAAATAGATAAAATCTTTAAAATAAATAAATTAAATAAACGCACCTCCCTAAAACTAGGTTCAAGAATGATATTCCAGAGACGCCTGGGTAGCTCAGTAGTTGAGCATCTGCCTTTGGTTCAGGTTGTGATCCCGACTGAGATTGGGCTCCCTGTGTCAGGCTCCCCACTGGGAGCCTGCTTCTCCCTCTGCCTATGTCTCTGCCCTTCTCTGCATCTCTCATGAATAAATAAATAAATAATCTTTAAAAAATGATATTCCACAGACAAACATACAACATGCCTATCCTCAGAAATTTATCTTTGTTGTCTGAGGCAAGTAAAATACACCCAGGGAGCCCCAAGGGTCTCAGTGCTCTATTGTGGCAGGAAGACCCAGCATCCTATTGGATTACAGTTTCAAGCAGTTCAGGGGCGCTGGTTCTAAGTCCTGGGCTGAGGAAGGAGGGATGCAAAAAAGAGCTGGGGAATGTGCAGCCCTCCTCTCAGACCAAGTGATCCTGGTCCCCACTCATTCCTTAATTCCCCCCTGTACATGCTACACTTTTTATTCTTTCCTTTTTTATTATTATTATTTTTATTTATTCATGACAGACACAGAGAGAGACATAAGCAGCGGGAGAAGCAGGCTCCCTGCAGGGAGCCTGATGTGGGACTTGATCTGAGAACCCCAGGATCATGACCTGAGCCAAAGGCAGACGCTCAACCACTGAGCCACCCAGGTGCCCCCTTATTCCTTCCTTTAAGAGCATCCATTAAGTGCCTGACATTCAACATCAGGTGTCATCCAGGCACTGGGGTCACAGAGATGGACAAGCTGGTACTCCCTGCCAACAAGATGCTCACAGACTAGGTACGGAGACAGACTGGGGAAAAGCTAAATAGAAACTACACTATAAACACCAAGATACCCCAGCTTCCAGGGCTTTCAGCCCAGTTGGCAAGTACACCACACACACACATGCACATGCATACACACATGTGCACACGCACACACACATATGTCCTGACAATCTGTATGGCTGTGAGCAAGTACACAGAAAACACAGACCATAAAGTAATAAACATATGGAAGATAAAAGTAATGGATTATTTGAATGTCAAGGGTAAGCCTTTTTTTTTTATGGCTATTGTAGAAAGATAAGTAATGGGTGTTCTTGCCCAGAATGAGGGTAGTAAGAAAGAACTTTGGAACAGGACAGGGACTGCAAAAGTAGGGGTTCCAGGTATCTGGTGCAGCAACTGGGGAGAAAGTGGGAATCAAGCTGAAGCCACCACGCTAAGTTGGCTGGGGCTGAGTGAATGGGGTAGGCAGGGTTATGGGAGAAGCCACATCCAACAGAGAACAAAGAATGCAGGCTGGAGAGCCAGACAGGCCTAGGTTTGAATCTCAGCCCCACCAACTACCAGCTGTGTGATTCTGGCCGCGTTACTTAACTTAGCTTTGGCTCCCTTACCTTTTAAAATCTGGCTAATAATAGTGCCCACATAATAAGGTTGTTGGAAGGATCAAATTAGATAAGGCTTGTAAAACATTTAGGTCTACACTGGCACGTGGCACATGGTTATCACTTAATAAGGAAGCTAACAACAACAGCACAGGATAGTCAAGCCGCCTGCCTGCATAGCCCCCTGGGGCTCTGTGCTTTCCTATCCAAAGCTGGCACAGGCCTGCTATGTCCTTCTCTACTTCCCTCCACATGCTGCCCTTTGCCCAAAGAATTGTGAGAATCACCGTCAGAAGCACCCCACCTGCCGCCTTCCGACGGCTGCTGGAAGCCCACACTCCTCTGCTGTCTGGGGCAGTCACCCTGAGCCGAGGCCAGCAGGTAGACAGAACTAGTCTCAAACATCTTTCTGCTACACATGAGTCACCCCGGGGAGCTGTGGGTGGAGTGAAGTGCTGGTGGTCTCTGCCTCCACCAACTCACCCTGCCCAGCTCTGCCCCACCTGTTGGTTCAAGGAGGAGGGATGTGCCTCGAGGGTGGGGCAGGGCCTTGCTTCTTGGGATGTCCTGGGGAGCCAGGAACACATAGTTGGAGCCCAGTAAGTGTTTGTTTAATCACAGGGGAGCCCCAGCAATTCTTACAGCCTGAGTCAGGACTCTGAGATGGGAGCCAAATTCCCACGAGAGAACGCTGAAGAGGCCTTTAGTTCTGCCCTAAGACCCATTTCAAGGGAAATCTTTCAACCTACTTTATAATAATGGCGATTAATGTTTCATGCACACACAGACACGCACAGAGTCTACAAAGCATGAGAGATATATTAAAGCATGTTGTAAACTGCAGAGTTGTACATCTAGTATGTTTATTTATTTAAGCCTATAAACAGAAATACCAAGACAATCAGGATAGGTGCTATCTCCACATTGAGGAAACTGGCTGGCAGGGGGGGTTATGGAAATAGTCCAAGGTCTCACTGGGCAGAAATCTAGGTCATCTCACTGCTCTATCACACCAGGCAGTTCAGTAACAAATTTACTGGGTCCCAAGTGCTGTGGTGGCGCAGAGGTGGAGGGTCCGTTAGAAAGAACTGGGCAGAGCCTTGGGAGAAGCTAACATCCTGGAAGGGGAGGGACCCCAAATGGCCCCAATACTCAGCCCTGTGTGATCACCTGTCTCACCACCCTGTCTCCTCACGCCAGCCTTTGGTTTCCCAGTCTCATGCCTTCCCTCAGCTTCAGCCACTGCATGGATTGATTACGGATCAGTCAGCCTGTGGCTCTCCAAAAGCTATATCCCCAGTCCCAGGGCTCCCCTGAACTCCAGAGCTGTAGACCCAAGTGCCTCCTGCACACTTTTGACATGGGGGCCTCCCAGCATCATTCACTGGGTAAGTTCAAGATCCCCAAGATCCCCACCCTCCCCAGTACCAGTTCAGCATCCTGCATTCCCCGTCTCAGATGATGGCACTCCTCATCCAACCACCTAGGTGTCATTCTTGCTGTCTATCTCCCCCACCCACATGGCCATTTGATGGCCAAGTTCTGTCCCATTCCCTCCAAAACATCTCTCAAATCCAGCCCTTCCCCTCCTCCTCCTGTCTTGTCCTCCATCAGGCCCTAATCTCTGCAATAATAACCTCCTGACAGTCTACCTGTCTCCAGTCTTATCTCTCGCAAATCTATCCTCTGTGGTCACAGGTCCTTCCCCACTTCAAACCCTTCAAACCTTCCTCTAGTGGTTCCTCCCTGTCTGCAGGGGTGAAGTCCAAGTTCCTTCATGAGGCTCCTCCCTATGATAGGACCTTTCCACCTTTACAGTCTCCTGGCTGGCCACTCCTTGCCCCAAACTTTTTACTGCACAAATGCTGGCCTGCCTTCACTGCCACTGCCACCACCAGCATCATCAGTGTGAGACCCGTCGGGATGCCCTCTTGAAATTCTTCCATCATAAAAATTTATTTATTTATTTATTTATTTATTTATTTATTTATTTATTTATTTATTTATTTATTCATTTAAAGGTTTTATTTATTATTTATTCATGAGAGACACACAGAGAGAGGCAGAGACATAGGCAGAGGGAGAAGCAGGCTCCCTGCAGGGAGCCTGATGCAGGACCGAGCCCAGGACCCCAGGTTCACTCCCTGAGCCAAAGGCAGATGCTCAGCCACAGAGCCACCAGAGTGCTCCTGCAGCTCTTTTATTTTATTTATTTATTTTTTAAAATATTTTATTTATTTATTCATGAGAGATAGAGAGAGAGAGGCAGAGACACAGGCAGAGGGAGAAGCAGGCTCCATGCAGGGAGCCCGACGTGGGACTCGATCCTGGGACTCCAGGATCAGGCCCTGGGCGGAAGGCGGCACTAAACTGCTGAGCCACCCGGGCTGCCCCAGCTCTTCTTTTAAAGACTCCATGTAGGTGTTATCTTTGGGATGCCTCCCCTTCCCCGCCCTAATCTACCCAACACGTAGCAGGTACTCAACACATGTCTATCAGAAAAACTCAACGGGAAGGCAAAATGTGACAAATGCCACCCACAAACGACGACGGACGGTAAAGCCAGGCTAGGCGGGAAGGAGGCATTTCTAACGGCCTCCGGGTGTCCCGGGTCAGCGCTAGGACCCTCTCGGCGAGCCAGGTAATCCTAGCACCGGAGGCTCGGCGGCCACCTAGCCGGAAGCGGCGGGTATCAGCTCTCGGGCGCCCCCTGCCGCGAGCTCGCCGCCCCTGCAGCCTTTTCTCGGCGCCCCGCCCCTCTCCAGCCCTCAGCCCGCCTCGCGTCTCCCATTGGCTGACTCCCGTCCTCCCGCCTCTCCGGGCTCAGCCATTCGGAGCCCCGAGGTGGGTGGGGCTTGTGGCCAGGGGAGGAGCGCGCGTCCCGATTGGCTCGGAGGAAGGTGGCTACGTGGCCGGAGGAGGCGCGTTCCGGCCTAAACAGAGGCTCCGCTAGCCCCGCGCGGGATTGGTTGTAGGTGGGGCTGGCGTGGGTCGCCAGCCGGAAGCGGAAGTGGAGGAAAGATGCAGGTGTGGGGCCTGGAGCTGGGGGCTGTGGGGGGCTGCTCCGGGGACCCGGGCTGAGTTCGGCCCGTCAGTTCCTGGCCCGCGTCGCCGGCCTCTCTCCCGGGCGCGCCCCCCACCCCGGGCCCGTCATTCTGGCCCCGCAGGGCGGCGGTTGGGCCCCGGAACCGAGCGCGCAGGTGGCACGCCCCCTCGGCGCGCTCACGCCCCGCTCCCCGGCGTGTTTCCCACCAGGACCATCAGCACGTGCCCATCGACATCCAGACCAGCAAGCTGCTCGGTAGGAGGGGACGCCCCGCGCAACCGGCTGCCAGGGGGAGGCCCTGCCCTTTGCTGCCTGTCGCCGACAGCCGGGAGCCCCGATGCCCCAAGGCCCCTGCTGGGGCGCTGACCACTCGCGGTGATCTGCTCCCAGCCGCGTCTGCCTGCCGCGCTCGGAGGAGCGGGAAGGAACCGTTCATAGTCTGTACTTGAACCTTCGGCTTCCACCGTATAACATCATGACACGTGCGGTCAATCATCAGGCCCAGATTAGTGGCTTACTGTAAAGATGGTCAGCTACTAAGTGGCAGATAGGAAGTTAGAGTTCGAGTCTGTCAGACTCCAATGTCTATGCTTTTTGTATAGAAAAAACTTCCCTCCTTTTAAAAGAAATTATTTATTCATGAGAGACACAGAGCCGTGGAGACATAGGCAGAGGGAGAGGCAGGCTCCCTGTAGGGAGCCGGATGTGGGACTCGATCCCAGGACCCCAGGATCATGTCCTGAGCTGAAGACAGATGCTCAACCACTGAGCCACCCAGGCATTCCCCCCCCCCCACTTTTTTTTTAAAGAGAAAAGCTTCCATCTTCCCCTGATTTTAGGAGGAAGAGGGACATAGACCCAATTGGGAACAAAGACCTTTTAGTGGCCAGGCCACCTTCCTGCTGTCTATATCTGATCTAAATACCTCCTCAGTTCAGAGCCAGGTAAGGACCTCCTCATATATGACCCTTCCAGGCAAGTGCACTACTCCTGGATTGTAAAATGCTAATTGCATTAATGGATTTGATGTCAGTTTTGTCATTAAGATGACGTCTGACTAGGACAGCCCGGGTGGCTCGGCGGTTTAGCGCCACCTTCAGCCCAGGGCCTGATCCTGGAGACCCGGGATGGAGTCCCACATCGGGATCCCTGCATGGAGCCTACTTCTCCCTCTGCCTGTGTCTCTGCCTCTCTGTCTCTCATGAATAAATAAAATCCTTAAAAAAAATGACATCTGACTACCTCATCCCCTTCTAGTTCTATTGTATCTACAGAGTTTTTCTTTCTGAAGGTTTCAGAGGAATACAGCAGAGGGGATATAGCTGAAAACTAGTGTGAGAGCACAGTGTTCGATCAGTTGGCAGGTATGTTAACAAGGGCAGGGTTCTCAGTTCACTACTGTGGACTATTTAGTGAGTTCTATGCAGTGGCCACGTCATAGAGCTTCTTTTTTTTCTAAATTTTTTAAAGAGATTTATTTATTCATGAGAGACACACACAGAGAGAGAGAGAAAGAGAGAGGCAGAGACAGGCAGAGGGAGAAGTAAGCTCCATGCAGGGAGCCCGACTTCGGACTCAATCCCGGGATTCCAGGATCATGCCCTGAGCCAAAGGCAGGCGCTAAACCACTGAGCCACCCAGGCTGCCCTGGAGCTTCTTTTTTTAAATATATTTTTATTTATTTATGTATTCAAGAGAGAGAGAGGCAGTCTCCTCATGGGAAGCCCGATGTAGGCAATCCCGGGACCCTGGGATCAGGCCCTGAGCCAAAGGCAGATGCTCAACCACTGAGCCACCCAGGTGTCCCCATAACGGAGACAAATTCAGATTTGTCCCAGTTCTTAAGCACTTGTGCACTCTTGGTGCATGAACTTGTCATTGGCTATGAAAAGGACCAGGAAAACAACAACCATTCGTTGAGTCTTTGCTCTACCAGGTGCTGTTTTAGGCACTTGACATTGTAAAAATGAGCATATTTTACTTGGATTTATTGAGTCCTTGTCATATGCCAGGCACAGTACTCCATTCTCTCTTGTGTTCAATATCTTATCTCCATTTTATATGTGGGGAAACTTGACACACAGAATGGTTGAGAGACTTAAAGTTGATAATTAGGGGCGCCTCGGTGGCTCAGTCAGTTAAGGGTCTTGATTTTGGCTCAGGTCATGATCTCTGGGTTGTGGGATTAAGCCCCATGTTGGGCTCTGTGCTCAATGGGGAGTCTGCCTAAGGTTCTCTCTCCTTCTACCCGCCCCCCCCCCACGCTCACATGCTCTCTCTTTCTCTCTCTCAAATAAATAAATCAATCTTAAAAAAAGGGGGGGGGTTAATAATTAGAAGCCAGGACCATCTGACCACAAAACCTAGCTCTTAGCTGTCTCCTACTGAGGAAACATGCATGGCTCTCATCCACCCACACCCTCTCCTAAAAACAGATCTGGGCCCAGAGTCCAGGAGGTCAGTCACGTTGGTGTTCTTGTGGTGCCAGGCAGTTCTTCACTGTTGAGAGTACCAGTGTTACCTAGTCCTTAGGGCGCTGCAGGTATTAGGGGCTTTACAGTTGTTCATTCATCCGGTACTTGGCATAATCATCTTGTATTTTCCATTGTCATGGTTAATCCCAGCCCTGAGGAAGTGGAAGTTGAAAGCATCCTCTGTCAGTAAGAAAGATATAATTACCCATGGAAGCAAAAATATTATGGAGAATTTAGAGTGGTCAAAAGTGGCACTTTGATGTCAGGACCAATTTAAAGTTTTTCTTTATCCCTGCGTGGAGGCAGTTGCTCTATAAAAGTCATACAATGGGGCGCCTGGGTGGCTCATATCTGTCTTCGGCTCGGGTCATGATCCTGGGGTCATGCTGCGGTGGGGTCTGTTTAACCCCAAGGGTCCCTTTGAGCCTCTCTCTCTCTCTCTCTCTCTTTTTTTTTTTAATTTTATTTATTCATTCATAAGACCAAGAAAGAGGCAGAGACACAGGTAGAGGGAGAAGTAGGCTCCCTGCCGGGAGCCTGATGCTGGACTCAATCCCAGGACCTCAGGATCACATCCTGAGCCGAAGGCAGACTCTCAACCACTGAGCCACCCAGGCGTTCCAGAGCCTCTCTTTATTCCCATGATGCTTGCACCTTAACCAATATACATATAACTTTTAGCCAGTGTCTTAGCATATTTCACCTGAATTAGTGGTGGGCTTCTGGCTGTGTCAGTGGGAATGCTGTGATGTGGGTGCTTCTCACACAGACTGGCTGGTGGACAGAAGGCACTGCAGTCTGAAATGGCAGAGTCTGGTGTTGACCATCCGAGAGAAGATCAATGCTGCCATCCAGGACATGCCAGAGAGCGAGGAGATCGCCCAGCTGCTCTCTGGATCCTGTGAGTGCTTCTGGGCTACATTACCAGAGCCCCTCTTTCCTGGAGCACTGGATATCAGCTGAGCCGACCCCTTGTTGTTTAGCTGTAGGGCTGACCCCTAGAGAGAGATTTATTTTTGGGGTACAGATGCCAGTTTCTTCCAACACAGAATGCTGAGGGGGAGAGCTATACATGCTAAAGTTCTCAGCATATTCATCAGTTAGCCGTGTGCCCAGAGTAGGTGGGGAAGATACTAGAATTCCCAAAGTCTTTGTTTTTCCTTGCTTTTTAGACATTCACTACTTCCACTGCCTAAGGATTGTGGACCTTCTCAAAGGCACTGAAGCCTCCACAAAAAATATTTTTGGCCGGTACTCTTCACAGCGAATGAAGGCAAGTGTGGGCAAAGCTGCAGGGTCAGAGTCTCTGGTCTCGCTAAGGGTCCAGTGGAGATGCCTATGTAGACTGTTTCCTGAGCTTTCTCTTTGCCCCCAAAGTTTTTTCCAAAGTAGATTCTATGCCTGGGTTTACATTTTCAGTCCTACTGCTTTGGGGAGCGCTTGTTGATGCCACATTCTTAAAAGGAAGTGTGTGGGGGTGTCCAGCCAGTGTTATGAAGAAGAGGTCTGTGTCTGATGTGATACGAGGGCTAGGGGAGCATCCCCCCGGGGCTTGAGCTGGTATGTGGCTGCCGAGCGCCATTCCAGCTCACTTCCTATTTCTATCCTCACCCAGGACTGGCAGGAGATTGTAGCCCTGTATGAGAAGGACAACACCTACCTAGGTAAAGTGGCCTAGCCTGGGAAGCCTGGTGTCCATGGGGCGGCCCACTCCTAAGAGTTCTGAGACTCTAGGCTTCTAGGAGGCACAGTCCTTGTGGGGGAAGAAGCTGGGGTATAGATGTTTACCAGGTGGGCAAAGAAGTTCCCCAAAGAGTATTGGGAGGAGGAGGAAGACCAAGCAGGTAGTAGGTATTGGCCAGGCCGGGCCTGGCAGGTATGTGTAAGTCCTCATTACTGACCTCTTGGTGACTGACCCACCTCCTCTGCACCCCTAGTCTCCACTGGGAAGAAGAGGGGCCACATTGGGTGCCTGAGAGCATAATTACAGGGCTTATGGTACTTTGGGGTATGTTTCCTCAAAGTCTTTTTTTTTTTTTTAAATTTTTTTTTATTTATTTATGATAGTCACAGAGAGATAGAGAGAGAGAGGCAGAGACACAGGCAGAGGGAGAAGCAGGTTCCATGCACCGGGAGCCTGACGTGGGATTCGATCCCGGGTCTTCAGGATCGCGCCCTGGGCCAAAGGCAAGCGCCAAACCGCTGCGCCACCCAGGGATCCCTGTTTCCTCAAAGTCTTAATAATAATAGCTCATACTTACCAAGCACCTAGTAAATGCAAGGAATTATACTCATGTTTTATGTGGATTCTCTCTTTTAATCCTCATGGTAAATATGATTGTCCCTATGTTACAGAACAGGATTGGATTAGCGAGGTTGAATGACTGTGTGAGGTTCCACGGCTGGGAGGGGGGAGCTGGGAGGCCAAGCCACATTCTCTGCTGCCACGGGGTGTATTTGCACGTGTCCCAGGGGCATGTTTGCCTCGGGGTGTGGGCATCTGGGGTAAATTTCCTGGGCCCCTTTCAGTGGAACTCTCCAGCCTCCTGGTTCGGAATGTCAACTATGAGATCCCCTCACTGAAGAAGCAGATCGCCAAGTGCCAGCAGCTGCAGCAAGAATATAGTCGCAAGGAGGAGGAGGGCCAGGCGGGGGCTGCCGAGATGCGGGAGCAGTTCTACCACTCGTGCAAGCAGTATGGCATCACGGTGAGCTGGAGGGCACCTAGCGCCTCTGTTGGCCTGAACCCAGCCCCTTCGCTTTTGGGAGAGGCTCCCTTCTCGGCCAGTTGTGCCCTTCTGAGCCAGTGTCTCACCCATCTTCAATCTTTGGGTGTTCTTTTTAGCTTGCTGCACTGTGCTTCCCACTGCTCCTGTCTTAGCCCTCTTCCCCCATCCTCTCTAGGGAGACAACGTCCGAAGAGAACTGCTGGCCCTGGTGAAAGACCTGCCGAGTCAGCTGGCTGAGATTGGGGCAGGGGCTCAGGCCCTGGGTGAAGCCATCGATCTGTACCAGGCCTGTGTGGGGTTTGTGTGTGAAAGGTAAAGGACCTTAGTTTCTCTCCAGCGCAGGGGGACAGTTGACCTATTTTCCTTGGCTGTTCTGTCTCCTCTACTTGTGCTTTTCCCACCTCACGTTTTTTGAGTTTTGGTTTACACACGTGAGCCTGTGGGAGCTCCCCCATCTGGCCTGGGGGCGCAGGCCGGAGGCCCGCGTGGGCTTCACGTGTGCGCAGCAGGAGCGTCAGGCGGTGCTCTGTTGCAGTCCTACAGAGCAGGTGCTGCCAATGCTGCGGTTCGTGCAGAGGCGGGGGAACTCCACGGTGTACGAATGGAGAATGGGGACAGAGCCCTCTGTGGTGGAGCGGCCCCACCTCGAGGAGCTGCCTGAGCAGGTGGAAGAAGACATGGTAAGACAAACCTGGCGAGAGCCGTGTCCTCATGCCCCACAGCTCCACCTCTACCTGAGTGCAGAGTCCCAGAAGGAAGAAAGTAGGATTTGAGTGCGAGAGACCCTAGCTGGAAGGGCCCAGAAGGCCCTCCTTTATTTTTCCAGGCTTCTTGAGGCCAGAGCAGAGATGAGCGTTGTAGAGGCTCAGCAATCTGGTTGACCTTGAACTAGGAATCCTGTCCTGTGAACTCTCTGAAGATGTGCTGTCCTTCAGGGAGCCCCCAAGCCATTGCCCTTCAACAGTGTGCTGGCGCCCCCTAGAGGGGCAGCTGAGACCTCTGAGGAGGCACACCCCTTTCTTTTCACCCACTTTCTCTAAGCTAACACTTTTTTCCCCGGCTAGATTGACTGGGGCGACTTTGGAGTGGAAGTGGCTGCCGAAGGGACCGATTCTGGCATCTCTGCCCAGGCTGCTGGAATTGACTGGGGCATCTCCCTGGAATCAGACTCAAAGGTTAGGAAGCCCTCTTAGCCCATCTCTCTGAGGACTTGCTGTGTGATCTCTGCTTTGGTGTTGAGAGAAGTGTTGTCTGTCTTTAAAGATGTTACCTGAAGTGGGCAGCCCCGGTGGCTTAGCAGTTTAGTGCCGCCTTCAGCCCAGGGTGTGATCCTGGAGACCCGGGATCGAGTCCCACGTCGGACTCCCTGAAGGAAGCCTGCTTCTCCCTCTGCCGCCCCGCCCCCCGCCCTCAAGTTAAAAAAAAAAATCTTAAAAAACAAAAAGATGTTGCCCGTAGACCTCAGGCGAGGTATAGTCCAAGGAGGGGGCATTTGACCCCTTTTCTCCTGGTATGTGGGGGTCTTGGCAGGTGGTAACTCTAAGCAGGGATGAGGGTAGCAACATACGTGGCTGCAAGTCCTTCATACAGTTGAAATGTGCAGGCATATTGAGCTTATCAAGGGTTTGGTTTATTCTGGCTCCCTTTGCTGGGGAAGATTCTTGCAACCCTGCTGAGGTTCTTTGCTTTCCACCCAGGAAGCTGGAGGTGATGGGATTGACTGGGGAGACGACGCCGCTTTGCAGATCACAGTGTTGGAAGCCGGAACCCAGGGTAAGTGCCCTCCTCCCTGTAGCTTTGGCAGGAGTGGATGCTCAAAGGTCCCTATGTCTCTGGAAACAAAAAAATGCACTGCCAAGATTGGGCTGCTCACACATCTAACTGTTTTCTCAAAATCATGATGATGATGTGAGAGTAGAGTAACGGAAGTTCTAAAAAAAGGTATTTTAAAGATTTTATTTATTTATTCATGAGAGACAGAGAGAGAGAGAGACAGTCAGAAGGAGAAGCAGGCTCCCCCATGGGGAGCCTGATGTGGGACTCGATCCCAGGGCATCGGGATCACAGTCTGAGCCAAAGGCCAACACCCAGCCACTGAGCCACAAGGTGCCCCAAGTTCTCAAAATCAAGCCTAGAAGCTCTTAACTTTTGGAAAGCGAATGTGGGTCACCTTTCTGATGGGAGGTTCCAGAAGGGCTGTGGGCTTGGAGGTCTGACTTTGACCCTCCTGCCTAATAGCTGAGAGGATGTAGTGGCCATCTGAGCCACTAGAGGGCGGTGCAGGATGAAACTTCGTGGCCGACAGAGCTGAGGGGCCCTTTCCAGGCCCTAAAGCCAGCTCTGTGGTCCTCCTTCCAGACTGGCAGTTGGAAGTAGTGTGTGATTCGAGTTAAGACAATGGGAAAAGGTAACCCTTCCCCCCACCCTGGGGTGAGACATCAAGTAGCTTCTGCAGTGAGTTTTTGTCTGTATTAGCCCACCAGAACTTCTCAAAGTTGAGGGTCTTTTTCTCTGGTCCTCAGCGACTATCATTTGTCTGACTCTCTTCCTGGCAGCTCCAGAAGGTGTTGCTAGGGGCCCAGACGCCCTGACACTTCTCGAATACCCCGAGACCCGGAATCAGTTCATCGATGAGCTCATGGAGGTACCTTCATCCTCTGTGGATGGACCCTTCCCGCTTGTGTTCATCTCCATCTGTTCCCCTCCCAGTGGCCTGCTGGCTGGTGAGGGCCTTATCTGCGTTCATAGTCCTCACCTGTTCCCTTTTCTCAGAGAGGCTCAGAGAGGCTCCTCTTAGACTCCAGGGCAAAGGAGGACAAAAGGATGGAGTTTCTCTGGTTAGAATAAGAGTGATAAGATATGTGGCTGGTTCCCAGATTCTTCCCAGCCCTTTCTTAGTCCAGGCTTCTCAAATATGAATTCCTGTTCCCTGAATCTCATTCCTCTCACAGAGAGAAAATACCTTCACTGGGACAGAGAGAACCCGTCAAATCTCTGTGTTTATAGTTATCTGAGCCACATGTTGGGAAGAAGGAGAGGTGTCCAGGGCTGGGGGCGGTGGGGAGTGAGATAGCAGGAGGGGCGGGAGATTAGCGGTGGAGGCTGCTTCAGGGTCTCACGTCATAGTTGGTAAGTTTCTAGCAATTACAGTGTTCAGAAGAAATAATCCCTCCTCACCAGGAGTCTAGCCCTCACATCTCATTCTTGCATTATGAGCAGTCTGAGGGCTTAGCCTCTGAATTCTCTTCTTGGTGTCAACCAGATCCTCTTCTGCCCTCAGCTCGAGATCTTCTTGTCCCAGAGAGCCGTGGAGATGAGTGAGGAGGCAGACATTTTGTCTGTGAGCCAGTTCCAACTAGCTCCAGCCATCCTGCAGGGCCAGACCAAGGAGAAGATGGTTACCATGGTATCAACACTACAGGACCTGATTGGCCGGCTCACCAGTCTTCGAATGCAACACCTGTTTATGATCCTGGCCTCCCCAAGGTCTGGCTTTCCTGTTGACTCTGGGCTCTTCCGGAGCGTGATGTGGGGTGCCGCCATCTTGAGCAGCCCTGACTCTTTGCGTTCCCCTTCTCCATGACTCCTCAGAACTCTTCTCTGCCTTCCATGGCAGCTCTGTCACAGCTGGGATCCAGGGTTCTCTTGGGGCAGGATGGGGTGGTTTGACATATGCAAGCAGGTTGTGCTTCCCAAGTAAGACAGGAGAAATGGGAGCCATAAACCATGCAGGGAGGGAATGAAGGGGGTGGAGGCCAAGTCGCTGGGCAGGGATTTGGTTGCCTTTGCCTTTCCCAGCAGATGAATGGGGATACTCAGGCTACTCAGCTGCCTCAGACGCTTAACCCGAGTGCCCCGCGCAGGTATGTGGATCGAGTGACGGGGTTTCTCCAGCAAAAGCTGAAGCAGTCCCAGCTGCTGGCTTTGAAGAAAGAGCTGATGGTGCAGAAGCAGCAGGAAGCGCTTCAGGAGCAGGCAGCCCTGGAGCCCAAGCTAGATCTACTGCTAGAGAAGACCAAGGAGCTTCAGAAGCTGGTAAGACAGGAAAGGCAAACCTGCCCAGGGGGAGGACCCCCAGATTATACAGAACGAGGCACCTTTGCCTCTCTGCTTCTACCCACTTGGTATCACTGTCTTTCAGATCGAAGCTGACATTTCCAAGAGGTACGGTGGGCGCCCCGTGAACCTGATGGGAACTTCTCTGTGACAGCCGCCACAGATCCACCTGCCCGTCTTCCCAGCCTTCTGGCAGGAGGGGAAGACAGCCTGGGCTGAAGTGGCAGGGCCCTTCCTAGCCAGAGACCATGGGATTGGAGGATGGAAAGCCACGTGAAGGAGCCATCTCCTCGATGGTGACCTTTGACACTTGCTATACTCTTTGGCAAGAAGCTATCTTGATTGGCCCTGTGACCCTCAGTCTGAGACCACAGTTTCTGGGGCTTCTCATCATCTAGTTGGACTTAATAAAAAAGGAAGAGGCTCTTGCTTCACTACTGACAGTTTGTGTTTCTCTGGCCCTTGAATCAAGGCTTTGTACCTATTTGCCTGGGCTCTTGATCCAGTGGGCTCCCAAGGCCCCGGCTGTTCCTACAGAGCCCCAAGGGGGGAGAAGGGACTTCCCCCTCCTTTGCTTGTGACAGGCAGGGCCCCAGATTAGTATCTACAAGTGGTTCCGCAGGGGGCTCTTGGGGATCTCCATTGGCTGGGCCCCTTTTCCTGTCCATGGCCAGGCTAGACTGCCCTGCTCAGGCCAGAAGCCCAAGGGTAGTAGTCAAGTGGCAGCCTTGTTGGAGCCAAGCAAAGCTGTATTTTCCTTTTAATCACAGCTTACCTCCAGGCAGAGGGAAGATGTGGTTTGGGAGGAAGGGTCTGATAAACAAGGTGGAGACAGGAGTTGTCACCTTTGCTAGCTAGCTGCCTGTTCATTTCCTCCCCATAACTGCCAGCACCGTGATTGGGTAGAGGCCACCCCAGGATAGCACCCCTCTCCCCAGCCACCTACCCATCCCCATTTCCCAGGAAGGGTAGGGGTTGGGGGTGGCCGGCAATTCGATTTTAATTTCATAGCAGAGCAGTTGATTCATGGCTCTTTGTCGCTGGCGTTGACTCCCGTAATGACTTTCCATCAAAATGAAAAGTGGAGTGACACCACTCATTATTCCTGCTGCTTGTTATCTCAGTTCTGGGGAGGGCCGCCCCCTCCCTGCTGCCTTTCAGCCGTCCTGGACAGTGAGTGATGGCCCCTATTAATCACCGACCCCGCGGACTCCGGCGGACACACGCTATCCAAAGGAGAGAGAGATAAGGCAGCATGAACTGCTCAGAGCCGCTCCTATCAATTAATGTCAGCCCATCGCTTCCCCCCAATCTTTGCGTGTTCACCTCCTTTTGGAGGTATCGGGGGCTGAAATTACTCTAGGAATTGGAAAAGGAAAAACAACCTGTGCGGAATGTCGAGGTAAAGCTGTCCTTAGAATCGAAGGATGTAACGGACCGGGTGGGCTGTACCTTGCCCTCCGTCGTGGACATGTGCGGCCTAGGGAGCTGAGTCTCTTAGTCCCTTTCCCTCTGAGAGGGTGGCTGCTACCTCCTGCCTCACCTGTTCGGCTGCTGGCTCCACCGGTCTTCTGGCCTGCCTCTTGCGGCAGCCATCCGCTCACCAAGGCATTGCTACCCTCGCCTGGTCAGTGTCCCTCGTCCAATCACCAGCTGCTACATGGATGGATGCTGTTGCTTCCAGGCACCTAGCTGCAGGGAGAAGCCCTGTGAACCATGTGACCACGGTGGACCAGTTTCAGGCCTTAAAATTTCCTGCTCCTGCCCTGCTGGAGGAGCACCTTGCCTGCCTGCCTGCCTGCTCTGCTCTGCCTGGGGTTGATGGCAGGAAGTCATACAGGCTGAGGTGTGGCCATCTTCACAGGAGGGGAAGTGGGTTTAGATAGGCTTCTCTCAGCAGATTTGAGGCACCTTGTTAAGTGGTGTGGTTAGGGGACTGTTCTCTCTCACAGGGATCAGACCTCGTCCACTGCTTAGCTGGTAAAATGAAGGCCTACCCTACACTGATGTCAATTGGGTTTGTTTTGTTTTGTTTTTTAAAGATTATATTTATTCATCTGAAAAAGAGAATGCATGAGCGGGGGTGGGGGTGGGGGGAGAAGCAAACAGGGAGCCCCGATATGGGGCTTGATCCCAGGACCCCAGGATCATGACATGAGCTGAAGGTACGTGCCCAGCCAACTGAGCCACCCAGGCACCTCAATGTCAATTGTCTCTTAAAAGTCTCTAACCCTATAACATTAGTCTTGTCCAGAACCTTTAGCTCCTAGCCTTTTGGCCTGGGCTTCACTTCCTGGAATCCACTTTCCTGGCCACACTGAGACATTGGAGATCCCACCCGGCTCCTTTACCCCATGGGAGAACAGCACTGTGTCTTGCAAATCTGCTCCCAGATTCCCCTTAGCATTGCTCTGATTGCAGTTGGGTCCCCACTTGCTTTTCTCTGAATTGCCTGACAGTTCATTGTGAGGATTAAACGAGTTAACAAACACAGAGTTCTCAGAATGCTGTCTGGCACAGAGAAAGCACTCCTGGACAAATGTGAGCTCTTGGTTTTGGTTTGTGAAACAGTGGTTAGGGACTCTTCATCCCGGTCTAACTTGCCTTCCAGGAAGGGAATGGTGGGAGGTTCTTTGTGGAGCTTGAAGACCAAGTTCTGAGCAGTCAGATTTCTGGGGCTTCGAGAAGATGTTCTGGGAGAGGAGGAGGAGGCAGGCCAAGATTTATCCTTAGTTTGATGTGAATTGTATTGCCAAGTGCACACTCTACTTTAACGTTCATTTTTTTTTTTTTAGATTTTATTTATTTATTCATGAAAGACACACACACACACACACACACACACACACACACACACACACACAGCTAGAGACACAGGCAGAGGGAGAAGCAGACTCCAGGCAGGGAGCCTGACATGGGACCCGATCCTGGGTCCCAAGGATCACACCCTGGGCCGAAGGTGGTGCTAAACCGCTGAGCCACCTGCCCTCATGTTCACTTTTATGCCACCTTTTTCCAGGGAAGATTTCAGTCTCTCTCACCACTCAGCTCACTTGTCACCTTCCTTCAGACAATGGGGCAGAGTCAGTTTTCCTAGATCCTCTCTCCCTGCTAAATCCAGCTGCCCAATCCCCATTACCGTCTCTCTGCTCACGTGAAGCCTTTCTTCCCACGTCTTCTCCAAGTGCTGCTCTAGTCAGAGTCCACAGAAGTAGGATTCCTTTGCACCTCAGCTTGTGATAGCGGCCACGACCAGGAGCTAAGTGGAGTGCTGACAGCTGTTCGTCTGGCTTCTGGCTGCCCACTAAGAGCTTGCCGAGGAGATCAGGTCCTACCCATCTAGAACTAGCTCCCCATGGCCAGTGTGGGCAGGGATTCTCTCTGTCATGCAGAAGGGAAATCTCACTGAGAGAATGGCCTAGAGCCAAGGACCAAAGCAAAGCACCCCCACCATGGCGGGGGGCTGCAGTCCTGCTTGTTCCCTCACATGTACCTCCCTGCTCCCCTTTCTGTCTCTCTCCTTAATTCCCAGATGTTGCTTCAGCCTCCCCCCTAGAAACATAGGTCCTGTGGCTCTTCCCTGACTCATCTGCATCTGCTTGTCTTGTCACTAATTTTTATTTCATTTAATTGCCACCCATTCTCTCCACATTCCTGTACACGCACATACGAAACCTGATAATTGTAGTAGGTTAGGAAGGAAACAGGCAAAGCATCATGATGATTAGCACATTCTCTAGATCTGGACTGCCCGGGTCAAATCCTGGCTCTGTTCTTGCCACCATGTGATCTTGGACAAGTCCCTGGACCTCTCTGGGCCTTCTTTCCTTCCCGTATAAAATGATACTACTGGCCTCAGGGTAGGGAGCCATGGCAAGAGCGTACAGTGCCTAGATGGCCACTGGCCCAGTAAGACTCCACAGTCAGCTGTTGTGAGAGGGGATGGACCTGAAAGAACCTGGACTTAAAGTCAGAAACTTGTGTTTGGGTGTCGGCTCTGTGTGTCCCAGGTATCCCTAAATATCCTGAACCAAACCCATTGCTTTCTCCATTCCACTCTTCATCCCTATCTGATATTTCCTATAGGTCAAGCAGCAGGCTCCTGGCCCCTGCTTTCTCACCCTCATCATTCCCCTGCTTAGACACTCTGACGCCCCCTTAGCTCCCTAAGCTCCTAGAGTAGCAGGCCAGCCTTGGTAATTGGATCTCTATCTCCTTTCCAGCCTCGGCATCCACCCACGACACCAAACCCACATGTGTCCTCAAGCCCCAACCCACTTTTTGGCCCCATCCTAGCCTTCCTGCCCCACCTCAGACAAGGCCCAAATACATCTCTGTGAACATTTCCAGGCCCCGACAGAATGAGCCCCTCTTCCTCAGCAGCATCCCGAAGCCATGTGGAGATGCCCTTCACCTGTCTGTCACGGCGTCACAGTGTAATCCTGGCATCTGTGCTCCACTCTGAGCTGCCTGAGGATAGGAACTGGCTCTCGCTCACTTTTGTGTGCCCTTTGGAATCTCAAAATTAACTTCTCTAAACTTCAGTTGTCTTAATGATCTCTAAAGTGACTTTGACCTTTAAAATATTACTGTCGTGGGGCCCATGAGTTAGCAAAATTGAAGAATCCCGCAAACACGGGAAGTTGGGAAGGAAATTGGGTTTAACTAGGCTTTACGATGGACCGGTGGTCAACCTGAAATCCTTTCTATGTGCTTTCCAGTGGGAGCACCTGCCCTGTACGTGTCCCAGGCTCCCTCCGTCCTCTCTCCCTGTTTAGTGGAGGGCTCTCCTGGAGAGCAGAGGAGTAGGGCTGTTGTCCCATCCTTTGGGAGACACCGTTGCTTCTGCTCTGAAGCTGAGGTCAGTCCCCACGATGGAATGCCGCTCCGATGCTGGGCTCCAAGCAGACTGCTCTTCGTGCTGTGGGATCAGGCCCCAGGTTGCCGGCGCCTGGAGGATCCCGCAGCCCATCGGGAGGGGGTCAGGGCCGCTCCGGGGCCACGGAGGCCGGGTGCCAGCAGACCGCAGACCCACGCCTGTCCTCCAGGTGCCCTTCCTCTGCGATGATGAGCCCGGCCTCCCTGGGTAAATTGGCCCTGAGTAAACTCTTACTTATCCTGCCTGCCACCCTCCCCTCATTCCCCAGGCTTCAAAGAAAACCGGTTTGAATATTTAAACTTCTCCTGTGTGTCTAATAAAAAGTTCTGCACTATTTAACGGCCCAGCTATCCATTACTGTCGGGAGCTGCCCTCTCCTCCCAGCCTGCCCCTCCCTCCCTCTCGCCCAAACCACGTGCAGCAAAGCCATTTGTCACAGCGCTCCCGCCGCGGGCTGCGCTTGGCTGTGTCTGAAAGGACAAGCCGCCCCACAGGGGAAGGTGGGAATGAATAAAGGGGCTATGCAAATTGCTGCTTAATCTGCAGAGAAACACCCAGGCTTTG